TCATAAGGGGTCTCTCATAATGAGGCTACGTCACATTCAGGCTGCTTGTAATGATGTGCTTAACGGCTGGGAGGTCATCAGCTGAATTTAGAAGCAATCCAACATATTGTGTTCAGGACATGTAAACACACGTGCAAATAACGTGACACGTGCAAATAACGAGACACGTGCAAATAACGAGACACGTGACACTGATCGTATTAATCATTCTAAGTAGGTAAATTAGAATGAACACTCAACGGTGATATCATGAATTCCTCCCATTCCGCATACTCACCAGATTCATAAAACTATAGAGAATTTATCACGTATAACTATTAAAGTATTAAATATTTGGAATTTTTTCTTGAAAGTATTTAGAATATCTAGTGCATTGTGAGGGTACACACCTGATACAGTGCGTGATTATACCATCTGTGAAGCCCTAATTATAGAGAGATTATGCTCAAAATAAACCAGGCCGAAAATAAACTCAGAGTAAACCATGTATATTTCGTGATACTAACCTCCCACGTGTTAAAATAGAAGTTATACTGAATATTAGCGGAGCAATTACACTAATTCCAATACATATTTACTAAACACGCGTATATTATGTACAGTGAAATTACTTTGCCAAAGCAGCATATATGTATTACAGCTGACTATTCTTTGAGAAAAGCATGCCATATTTTACATCGGGATAAGTCTTACACACACGCACTTTACACGCAATATTAACACTTGTTTGGACGAGTGTATATCGTTTACAGTTGATCATTAATACTACTGTTAGCTGATATGTAGCCATCAGCAGACACTTTGATGACGTCACGCTATGACGTCACGCTATGACGTCACGCTATGACGTCACGCTATGAAGTGATTACTCTCCAATCACAAGAAATGCTGTTTCTTGACAGGTTATGTAAAAAAATGAATTTTATTATCACAGAATACACAGTCAGTGAATACATTGGAGTATTTAGTGTTTTGGTATGGGTTATGGCCTATACCAGCTGATGTTAACAGATTCATATGTTCTTGTACAAAAGTGAACGTCGACAAACATTTGGTGGATGTTGATAAACAATATTGGCCCGACCAAAATGTGAATATATACAAATGTTATTTACAAAGGATACATAAGGATTGTTGGACTATAATCTATATATAGTTCAGTAATCCTTATGTACATTGTACCCTGAATCATATCAGGACAAAATGTGAACAAATGAAAGTGAAAGTGAAATTAAACAATTGTAAATTGGAGAAATGAAAGAGAAAGAGAAACTAATCTGAACAATACAGGTTTACCAGTGTACAGATAAGAGATGTATAACTGCAGAGCAAGTGTGTGACCTTCTGAACGACTGTGGGCACTGGGAGGATGAGGAGAACTGTGTTAACCATTTCAAATGTGCTTCCACTCCTGTCAAGTACATCAGATTCGAACAGGTTTGCAACTTCCCTTTCACTTCCACTTTCAATCTCAATATTCAAGCACGGCAATATCAACGTTCGATAAAACCTGGCCTTATAATATTATCCATAATTTACAGCCTGATGATGAAACACCCAAAGATTTTTTTGGGCCTTGAACAGATTTTGTTGGCCTTTTTTGGGCCATAAAGGTAAACAAGGCAAATAGGAGTAGGAATGTAAGTTCAACTGTTCTGTATTACCAGGTATGTGACGGTGTGGCAGACTGCCCTGACTCAAGTGACGAGTGTGGGGTAGGGTGTAACCAGACAACATTCCTATCCACTGAGTTCTACATATTTGGGAGTGAGCAAGTGGAGACCCTGATCATCATCGCGGGGGCGCTCAGCATCATCATTAACATCCTCACATTCTTCTACCTCACCTACCAGCATTCCTCTGACTACTTCAAATACCCCACCAAAACTACCAACCTGCTCCTCCTGAGGGGAGGAATGCTTGTTTCTGCCGGTGTTGGATCGTATGTGTTCTTGTTAAGCTGGCGGGTACGCGCAGACCACAAAAACGCGCTCCCCCACTATTGTTACAGCAGGGACTCGTGGACAAGGTCTGACACATGCAGTCATCTTGGTATTTTGAGCACAGGATCTCTTCTCTCAGTTGTAACATTGTCTGCTTTGTCTAACTTTGCCTCATCTCGTTACAAGCTCACTCGCTCCATCCCCCCACTGGAACCAGTTCCACGCAACACTGCTTGCAGTCCCGCAAACACAACTATCACTCTGGTTATCCTGATCTACTTCTTATCGTTTACCTACGCGTATCTTCCTCACAGTCACATGGTTCATGACTTGTTTGCAGGAGAAGTTAGATATGATCTCTTTCCTCTGAGTAACGGGAGCAGGGCGCACGTTCAGGAACTAGTGAGTGAGTATTATGGGGGAAACGAGGAGCCGCGCACATGGACACAGATCAACAAGCTAGTCGGGGAAATGTTTGTGGGACACCACCAGGAGCTCTCAGTAACCTACAACACACTACACGGTTCCACAGACATCTGTATACTTTCCCTGCTGGTGGAGGAGCTCACTTCCCCCAGATCAATCTACCAACTCTTAACACTCGGATACCTCTCACTCCTGCAGCTCCTTAACATTCTCCTTATTCTCCTTAACAAGATATACCCCCTGACCGTTAAAACAGACTTCCCCCACGATCTAGTGCAACTCTGTACAGGTCTCTGCGTCCTCACCACCACTCCTCTCCTTGTTATTAGCATAGCACACAATACGCGGCTCATCAGCATTGCGTACTACTATTCAGCGCTTGCACTTTGTTCGCTTGTAGCGCTTGCGCTAAGCAACCTGGTCCTCCTCAGTTACATGGTCTATAAGCGGTGTTGGAAACTAAGGTATAGAGTGAGGAGGTACCCTAGTGTAAGTCACAGCGTGGGACATGGTGTAGGACATGGTGTAGGACAGGGGTGTAGGAAGCGGGGGGGCAGGGGGGGCCATCGCCCCCCCATGAAATCTGGGCAAGGGGCCAAAAAGGGCCAACTTTTTAATTTAGGTTTCTAAAAATTTTTTCCCCGAAAATTTATTTAGTCAAAAATTTTTTAAGTCAAAATTTTTCAAAGTTTTTCTGAAAACTACTTTTGTTCATGTTTCATGCTACCCTGATCATTATGAGCCAAAAATATTTTTTTTGGTTTTCGAAGTTCGATGTATGATTTTGGACTCGAGGGTTCCCCTTTGTGATGCGATCTCGGAAGGCAGGCATCCCCTTCGCAATACGAGCTCATAAGCGGGAGCTCTGCTTTCAGAGGTACGTATCGAGAATGACTCGGACCGAAAATTTTCAAAGTCAAAATTTTTCAAAGTTTTTCTGGAAACTACTTTTGTTCATGTTTCATGCTACCCTGATCATTATGAGCCAAAAATATTTTTTTCGGTTTTCGAAGTTCGATGTATGTTTTTGGACTCGAGGGTTCCCCTTTGTAATGCGATCTCGGAAGGCAGGCCTCCCCTTCGCAATACGAGCTTGGAAGCGGGAGCTCTGCTTTCAGAGGTACGTATCGAGAATGACTCGGACCGAAAATTTTCTAAGTCAAAATTTTTCAAAGTTTTTCTGGAAACTACTTTTGTTCATGTTTCATGCTACCTTGATCATTCTGAGCCGAAAATATATTTTTCTGTTTTCGGTTTTTTGAAGTCCGTGCCTACATTCGGAAGGTTGTGGATGCGATACTGATTGGTTTCATATACCTACTAATTATAGAAAACGCGAATTTGGTCCGTAGATTTAAAGGAAAATGCGCAATTTGACGCGGAGAACTGAAAAAAATCGCGATTTGTCGTGAGGCCAGAATCTGAAAAATCGCGATTTGTCGCGGCAAACGTGAAAAATCGCGATACCGCACATGCTGCAATTTCCTTTTGCCCTTACCCTCGAAATTCAGGATTTGGCGCGAAGCGCCAAAAAATATTTTGAATTTGGCCCCCCCATGACGAAAATCATTCCTACACCCCTGGTGTAGGACATGGTGTAGGGCAGTACAAGGGGTTTGGAGAGCCTTTTAAAAGAACACGGCTCTCTCAAGAATCTAGTGACTATTTCCCTAATTCTTCATTGAGTAGTGGTTTCAGTAACAACTTGTTGTAACCATTTTAACTTAGTGATTTTTGACGATTAATTCTACAATCTACATGACAATATGGTTGATAATTTTAGATTTTCGAGAACAATAAAGCTTTTAATAAAATTGATCTAGATATTCTAAAACAATCTATTTTAGTTACAAAGTAACCCGCTTAACCACTCCAGAAACTCGTGAGCTCAATAATTGTTTGGTAATACTAATAGTTTAAAGATAACACTTTATTTTGTATGGAACGTATCTTTACTTGTGGTAAACTTGTAGACTATCAGACAATACAAGTTGGTCTAAGAAATGTAATCTTAACGGAGCACTTTGTTTGGCAAGAGCACCGCTCTAACCATGGACCATTGTAATTGTGTAAATTCGCACGTCACAAACCAGATATCAGTCTGAGTGGTTTGAATACTTGGTGATTGGCTAGTAGCCCGAATACAGCCCTGTGATTGGCTAGTGTGTGTCGAGAGGTCCGAATACAGCCCTGTGATTGGCTAGTGTGTGTCGAGTGGTCCGAATAAAGCCCTGTGATTGGCTAGTGTGTGTCGAGCAGTCCGAAATCGGCTCTGTTAGGGATCGTTCGCAGAATACTAATAGTTCTAATTGCTTCAATCATCTGTTTTAAACAAATTATTATTTTCATTCCATTTTGTTTTTACCTTAGCAGCTAAACCTACTCAAGAGTTGAACATTTTAAACACAGAAACTTCTTAGTCTTGTAGAATTCCAACTTTAAAACACAGTTTTGTTATTAGTTAAGCTAATATGTTTTGTATTCTTAAGTTTAGCTTGTTTATTTTGTTTTCATCAAAGAATTGTGTAAGATCTTCTAAACTTTCTCAATAATTCCTGCATGGTATTTAGTTGACAGTTAGAAAGACGTTAAATAGAAACAGATAATAACAAACGAGGAAAATAAAGAAACCTGAAGAAGCCACCAACTGATCCGGGTGTAACGTATCTGGAGGAGGGGTCGAACTGGATATCATCTTGTAGTTGTATTGGGGAGCCAGGGAGAGGGCTTACTGGAACCACCTGAGATACAAAGGGGGCGTGAAACTAGCTGATTTGTCGTATGAAGTGTGGCTGATGTACCATGTAGTGGTCCGTCCTTGCTATCATATTCTTTATTCTTAACTTGAGATATTTGTAGTCTGGACATGTTGTTCTCACAGTAATTTAAAGCGTGTGTTATGCCTCATATTGACGCAAACACCCGCTCAGAGATGCTATGTTAGGAATTCAGAGAATCAAACACCAAGGAATGTCCTAAAGTTCGCGATTTGAGAATAGAATTTGGGAGAATAAGATTTGGGAATTTGTGCACGGTTGTCAGTAAGGTGGTCTGTATGTGGTGGGCGGTGGTCGGAATGTAAGTGTTGCACAATACAAGGACATGCAATTGGCATATTATGTGATTTTCATTTTCACAACAAGCACAAAGACAGCGCAGACATAAAAGTAATGACAACAAAATTAATGATGATGCAGTAAAAGTGACAGGCTGACCTTCTTGATGGGTGAGAGTCGAGCACCTCTGAATGTGTTAGCGGAGTGACAGGGCCCCGCAAGAGCCTCCATACCTAGAACAGGCATGATATTTTCACAGGAGCAACTAAAGAATACAACACGCACACATACTAAAGCTCAAATCGTAGTAACTGGAGAGTGAGAGAGAGAGTGAGATGTACAACCTGTGTCGACCTCCCAATCAGCGAAGAGTATTGTGATCACGTGACGCAAACTAGCCGATCAGAAAGCGCGGATCAGTGCTTGCGGACCCAGTGCTGCAGTGCTGTGAGGAGACAAGGTAGACCGCTCAACTGTTAAAAAGGTCCAGTTACTGAGTTATCAGTACTATCAGCCACTGTTCTACTTCTTGTTTTTATTACTACAGAGAGTCAGGACGGCATGTGATTGGTGGGATTTTATCACGTGGTCAAGGTAACGGTGTCCAATTGGACAGTAGGAGCGCCTTGCGGTAGAGATCGACAGATATGTGACCAGGTTGCTTAGGAACGTGATTTCATTACAGTTAAAATATGTACCAGGGAATGATACTCTTATCGGATTTCATTTTAAATATTCATTCCCATTGAAATGCTGCTAATATCCATTCTGTTTGTGGTAATTATGATTCAATCTGAGAACCAAGTCATAACATTTACTTGAAACGATCGATGTCAAGCAACAATTGTTTCAAGTATGATGATACCCAATTATGTTATTATCCAAATATAGCAATGCCCAAATATGGCCATACCCAAATACGATACCTCGTTACTTATCATACCTTTGTTCTGTAATGACTAATGAGTGAGTTGTTTCGAGCCTTGAGGTATACAAGAGACATTCATTACCGCAAACCAGTAACATCAGGTATTAATTATCGCACTAAGCTCCTAGTTGATAAGGAACTGTAATTTAAATTAAAGTACTTGGACTTGGTATTACTTGATTTCCAGTCTATGTCATAGTCGGCATCTCACGAAATCTTCATAATTTGCCATCTTCCGACTTCCACTCGGTATCCCGTATCTCACAAAAACTTGATCATTTGCCATCTTTCACTCGGCATCCCACAAAAACTTGATCATTTGCCATCTTTTACTCGGCATCTCACAAAAACTTGATGATTTGCCATCTTTCACGCGGCATCCCACAAAAACTTGATAATTTGCCATCATTCACTCGGCATCTCATGAAAACTTAATAATTTGCCATCTTTCACTCGGCATCTCATGAAAACTTAATAATTTGCCATCTTTCACTCGGCATCTCACAAAAACTTGATAATTTGCCATCATTCACTCGGCATCTCATGAAAACTTAATAATTTGCCATCTTTCACTCGGCATATCATAAAAACTTAATAATTTGCCATCTTTCACTCGGCATCTCATAAAAACTTGATAATTTGCCATCTTTCACACGGCACCTCACAAAAACTTGATAATTTGCCATCTTTCACTCGGCATCTCATAAAACTTGATAATTTGCCATCTTTCACTCGGCATCTCACGAAAACTTGATAATTTGCCATCTTTCACTCGACATCTCACAAAAACTTGATAATTTGCCATCTTTCACTCGGCATCTCATAAAAACTTAATAATTTGCCATCTTTCACTCGACATCTCACAACCACGTAATGCCTGCCCAGAACTTCAAAGTCTTGAGAGAATTGGGAGAATTTTTCGATCCATATTATTATTGACATTTTATATATCTGAACTCCTCCGAAAGTCACAAGATGAACTTCGTGGACGATCACCAACACCGCATCCTGTTAAAACTTCACGACATTTAATTCGAAATTGTGGACGACAAGATGTCTTATACTATAATTCACCACAAAGTCCGACACCCACCACTTCAACGATTCTCGAATCAAATTAAATTTATAATGACTCGGAGTAGATCATTAAAGATAGATAAAGACGCGAGGGTTGAAGTGAGTTTATTAAACACTCTCATTTCAATAAAACAGCACTTTTAGTTAAAAATATTCCTTATAAGGTGACTTACAGATTTTTGGTCTTTATTAATAGTTCTCCGATCTTTATGTTAGACTAATTAGTTTATGTTTTGCGTAGGAGGTTAAACGAATAAACTGACTTTTTTTATATGTTTAGTATTTACACTCTATACTTTCAAAATCTTCATGATTTCTCAGTTTCAGGAAAGCTTTAACTTCAAACCAACTTTCAAACGTTTTAACATGCACAAGAACCATTTTTTGGCCAGGTCGCCAAGCGTTTCAAAGATGGAACCACTGCAATAATTATCTAACGCTAACCAAAGGCCAGTTTATAAGACTAGAAAACTACTCTGATTCTAGAAGAGTTGAAATAGTTGAAATATTTTCAACAACTCAACAACTAGCCAAGCCGCTATAACCGGAACATTATGCGAATTACTCAACAACAGATCTCTAACAGACCTTTAACAGGACGTAACGAATGCTAATAACATACCGGAGGAAATAAACAATGAGAGAGAGAGAGAGAGCAATGATAGAATCTAATCAGAAAATATACCATGCAGGTGAGAGCAGTTCCTCCTGATACAGCCAGATCATTGCCCTCCAGTAGGACGACATGCACCACCCACCATATTATTAGATTATTCAACATATTCTAGGATATGTTTTTTTGACGCGGCCAGCTAAGATTGTTAGCGGTTTTTGCAGAAAATGACTAAACTTGACCGTTCCGTTCTTAGATATGTTGTAACTTTAAACGTATGTTAATTTTACAAATCATACATGATGCAAGCTTACTAAAGCTTACCGATCAATCTAGATCTTTTATTTATGGTCGTTTTATGAGAAAGTATTATTAGAAATTATTATTGGAAATTATTATTAGAAAGTATTGTTGGAAATTATTATTGGAAATCTGTTTGAGATGGAACCTAAAGGTTTACCTTGAGCACATGGATATTATGTGGATAGTTTGTTCAATTTGTAATTACCCTTACCTCAACCACCTTACCGCTGAAAATGACCGAAAGTAGCCTCTGATCAATTCCTTACAGGTATGTATACTGTATAGTGTATAGTGTATACTGTATAGTCATACAGGTATGTATACTGTATAGTGTATACTGTATAGTCATACAAGTATGTATATTCCTCATTCAGTACATTCTGAGCTGCTGGCCAGTGATCTTGTCTTATGGAAACCAGGAAACCTGTACAAATCCTAAAGAGGAACTGTGAACCCTGATGCGGGACAGGGATATATGGATATGGTTATAATATCGCGTAGATCAGACTTAGTTCTGTCCTATTAGTAACCTGTAACGTTCCGGTACCGGGTGCTCTTCAAAAAGGGCAGATGCGCATGCTAAGTGCTGATGGACAAGAATTTTACCCAAAGTTTAGTGCATCAAGAAATTTATTGTGGAAATGCCCAAATACAGTAATGCCTAAATATTGTCAGTGGTTACCAGATAATTAGAATGCTCTAATGTCTTACAGAAGTAGAAGAGTAGAATGGAACACCAGAATGGAGTCTCCCTAAAGGACCTGCTCTAAGCTCGATATACTTGTGCAGAAAACCACTGCGACTTGTACTGGACATGTCCTCTCCCCCATAACCCCCGAACTGCCCCAAATCTCGCATCTAATTTATAAAGAATATATAAAGATAGCACGATTCTCATAAAGAAATTCTGTATGGCAATTTTAGACTCATAAAGTAATAAAGTCATAAAATTGCCATTATGAAATCATAAAATTACCGTTGCGTTTACTGCAACTCGTAGCATGAAGAATCGGACACATGTTTGATTCATCACAACTCAAAAACTGGACAACTGGACACAAAATATCGCAAAAACGCATTATCTACATGAAAGTCACGGTCGAAGAGACAAAATGAAACATCATCAGCTCAGGGGACATATGAAGTACGTTAAAAGTGACTACTAATTGAAAAATATACACATGAACTGTAACACAGGTGGCTGTAAACGTGATCAAATCCGATCAACAGAATGAAGACGCGTTGTGTAGGTTATGTAACGTATTATTCTTGCTGGACACTACAATTTTACAACTGGGCTGATAACGTGCAAGCGATGGGATAAACTGTGTAAAGTCATCCTGCTCGTCGCTTGTCGATATTTCATTTGTTCATGTTACATGAATCCCAATGAATTCTCAGAGCAAACTCTCGTTTTAAAGTACAACGACGAAAGCTTTTAACTCGGCGCAGACTTCTCTTTGAACAACTAAGTGAACTGCTCGATTTATCTTCTTTTAATTATATCTCCATTTCAAGGTTGTAGGTTTATAACTTACCTACCTGCGTGCCGGGTATCATCCTTAAATTTCAAGGATGTGTAAATTAGTTTCTTTCTGAATAGTTTTCAAGAGTCAAAGTGGGAGTTAAACATTTAGGTGATACAAAATTAAGGACACGTATATCATTTTTTGATAAACCAAAAAGAGCATTTATCTACTAATGAATATTACAGTTAGTCATATCGTTGTAAGAAATCTAAGATAAACTGGCACATTAAACAATCACAGTTTTTCTGCTGGAAAAAGTTTGTGGTCATCAAAAATCTTGATAAAAATACAAAAATGCGACCTTCAATGGACGATTCACTAGATTGTACTTTAAAGTGCTCACTATAAATTCATGAGTCATTCTTTTAAACCGCAAACAACAAACAAAAACAAACAGCACTGTTATGGCTAGTATTTAAAAATACTAATACATCGAAGTCTTTGCGGAGTAACACTTAAGTTAAGTCCTAAGTTCCTTGGTAAATATCACTGAAGACTATAAATCACTTGTCATTCTCTTCAACCGACCATACACATCGTTTGGTTGTTTTAGGTGATAGTGTCCCCATGTAGCAACACCTTATATGGTGTCTTGAGTTCAATAAATTCACTTTATCTCTCACTTAGGCTCTAGTCTCTCAATTTTCGTCTTAAAAACCTTAAAAATCACTCGTCCCGGACATTCCATGACACAGAGATTTAGTGGCACTGGACTTTGACACTGAGATTTAGTTTTTCTGAAATAGTGGATGTTGTAGAGGGGTGATGTTAAGTTTTAGCTTTGATCTCGGGACAGGTTTCCGCTGACGTGCCTTCCTCCGACGAGATAGTTGTTGTCTCCAGTATTGGCCCTATGATATCCTGAAATGAATTTCAACTTTAGCATTCAACAATCAGATCAATATAATTGTCTAATTATACCAAACAACAAATTGTATACTATCTTTTTGGAAATGTGCTAGCCAGGAAGATACAGGGTGGGCCAAAAGTAACGTTACATACGTTGGCCTTTATAGCTCAGTCACCTGTGCCCGATTTGGTAATTCTTTTTGGTATGACTTAGTATTACCGCTCATTCGAGGAATATGTTAATTCAAAGAATATTCATGTTCATTTTTGTTCGAATGAAGGTTTATTATCGCATGTATTTAAAAGTTCTGATAATTGGATCGAGCCAAATTTTATTGCATTGTGTTTGGCCATTCGAATTACGTTTGTCCTGAAAAAATGAGAATTTTAGCTTCTAAGATGACTGAGATACGAAGCATAACGAGCTTATTCATTACGTATGATCAGGTGATTGGCTTACCTGATCACGTGATTAGGTGACCAGTTAAATTGTGAATGCAGCCCAGTTAAGGTGTCGTGTCACATAATCACCCAATCAATTTTGTTAACGATATACACAAAATACTTGATAACTTGTATCCGTTTTGCCTCATTTTTTCAGATCAGATGCAGCAATTAATTATCTACAGTAATTTGCAAAAATCTAGCATGTTTGTATGTAATGTTACTTTTGACCCACGTCCCACACTGTATAATACGTGGTATTTATGTTCAGAATATCTGATAAATCCTACAGTAACTTACAGGCATGATGCTTTGTTCTGGTAGGGCATTGCGACGAGCAAACCTCTCACACTCCTTGAACTCTACCAGTTTGTCAGGTGTGGCACTCATTTTATCAGAAGTCATTCAACCTAACAATAACTTTAATGAATCTGTCACCTTCACAAGTTTTCAAGTAATATTGTTAGTTAATCAGGTCATGTGAAAGTCATAGAATGGAACACTTATTTAAAATATAAACAATTTGATTAAATCCAGAGACTCAAGCCTAGAGCTTTCTTTGTAAAGTCATTATTATGCTCATTGCTCAAACCAAGCAATTCAAACTGAAGTTTAAGCAAAATACCTACATTTAAATTAGATTTACTTATTTTGCTTGGTAGCATGATGGTAAGATGAATATCATATTTGTAATAGTATTTGCAACATGATCATTGGTCAAGATAGCACTGATTCAGCTCTGCTTAAAACAAGTTCTACACGCTTGATTTCTTGCAACATAGTTAATATATGATTAGAAAAATACCACTTGTTCCCCACCCTGGTAATGATTCCAGACAGGTAGCCGTGATACAGGTTCAACTGACTAATTAGCTGTCTTTATTTCTAAAGTTATTTATCAATGACAGGAAGTGAAACTAAAAGTTTAGCAACAATTTAAGACTGCTGCACTACATTGAGAGAGATTAAATCCTAACCCTATGAATGGAAACTGGTACTATCATTCTACCATTTTAAATCAGAAAAATATCAAGGATCGAAAGTGTAGTATGGGGGAAACGAAAAGTGCACGGTATAGAAAATACCCAGCATAGAGGTTCTCATGATGCCAATTCCCAGTATTTGTAGCCTCTCAAACAACCAGTGAAGCGTCTCATATACCCCATTAGGACTTTGAATGCACGTATTGTATCGTATTGTGGATGGAATATGTACTCGAATTACCACTAAATACGATATGAGCTATGATAAATCACATTTCTTGCACAAAAGAAGCTATTCAACTAAACGTTTGGGGAAATGAGAGGCCCAATACATTATTAATTGAGCTACCCGGTGTAGATAGGCACAGTAAATAAAGGTTTATTGCATATCTAAACACTGCATTTGTAGATAGCAACCTAGGACACATAAAACGAACATGTATACAGTATAATGAATAAACATGGTGTTTTGAAGGAAGCCTAATACATAGTATGGTTATCACTCTTTAACTAATTTAGACAAAGGTTGACACTTATCCTCGCACTAAATGGAATCCTAGTGAAATTTTTATGTGAACACATTTTTTTACGGTTAAGAAAGGTTTGGGATTTCGCGAACGGAATAAAACTAGTACATGATAGTTTAACGGGTGATACTCTTAAAATATCTGTTCCTTCGACGAGTCCAACTCGGCGCGCGTCCTGGTAGGTTGTAAACCTACAAATGATAGTGTGCTGGGGCATTAATAATGTTACAGCCTTGAGCCTACTGCTGCAAACAAAAAATGTATTTACTATTGAAATGAATATGATGATTAATTTGTGAATCTGATTTGTTGTAGTTTTAGTCTAAAGCTAGAATATTTGTAGCGCGATGCACTACTGGGCCGCGCCGCGCATCTTCTCGCAACCAGAGATCAGCAATATGCACCACTGGGCCTCGCCGAGCTGGGAAGGATTGACATCGTGAATCAACTAGAATATAGAAATTTTAATTTTAATATCTTTTAACCCTTATAAAACAAAATGTAATATTAAAACATGTAAAATAATAATTTATTTTCATACATATTTAGCTTGAAAAGCTAATTCATAATTGGATGTTTCAAATATAAGCAAAAAATAGAAAAACTGGTCGGGTATTGTTTAACATAATTAAGTAAAACAAAAACTATAAATTTGTAATCTAATCTCGACAGTCTGTCTATTGTGTCATCAATTTTACCTAAGTTAAGTCAGAATTCACACACCACATGTACCTCAAATAGCCCACTGGCAAAATCATTTTTCTACAGAACCCATATACTGTGGAATGGACTCCCTTTACAGGTAAGACAGATTGTGTCTACTAGTCTTTTCAAAGCTGAGGTCACTAAGCATCTATGGAAATGTTTATTGGATAGTGAAACAACAGTCTAGCCTAGTCTCTTTGCTCCCCATATTATTATTATTTTTGTTTTATTAATTTTTTTATCTACCTTCCTATACTTTCAACATCATATCACACTTCACCCGCACACCTTCTCACACATTAATGACCATTTCAGACCTGTATCTAATGTATCTGGAATTTTACGTATTGAAATACAAATTTTGACTCTATATCCACAGTTATTCACCATGGATTTGTTTGTTATTAAATAGTTTTTCATAAATTTTTGGATTTAGATTAATTCGATGTAATGGGTCCAAGTTACTGCGGACATAGTTCACTATGTGTTACCGTGTTTGGGTGCCCATCATATTTTACAGATGGGGGCGATATTTTGAACGATTCTATTTTATATTCATCTATTGCTGTACTCTGTAAAATTTGAAAAGTATTTAATAATAAAAAAATCGACCGCAACCCACAACCCGCGCGCCAAGCTAAATTTCTTATTTGAAACAAATAATTGCAGTTATCATTTTATTGTAACACACTTTGTAGGTTTACAACCTACCAGGACGCGCGCCGAACAGATATTTTACGAGTATCACCCGTTAAAACACACTTCACTACTGAACCGCGCCGCGCATAAAATAATGCTTATCGCGCCTGTATGCTGTAGAAAATATTATTTGTAAACAAATGTAATTATTAAACTTGCGATCGCAAGCCTAGCTTAGCGCGGACCAATTTTGAATTTTTATTGTATCTATAGTTAGATCTTCATAATTATTTAAATATTTTTACATATATCAATTAGAAAAGTAACACATAAGACCTAGTAAACAAATTATGTGGTGTAAAAACAGCGCCCAGCGCCGCTTATAGGTTTATAACCTACCAAGACGCGCTCCGACCGTGCATGGTGCAAGTCGTGCCAAAAATGGAAAAAGACGTGACAAAGTTGAACAAAAGACAAATAAATATATTATACACGCTGTATTTACCAAATAAATTTGGTTTTCATGCATTTTATCTCGCACACAGGTGAAAATGCATTTTTCATTTGTATAATTTAAAATTTCTTTTGGTTAAAAATGTCATTCCATACTATTTTAGCAATCAGTTAGTAATATTATAAAACGGTCCTTGGTATAAGTGATAAGTACTTTTGATGCTTCGACTATGTTTTCCGTACTGTTTAATTGTGTTTCTGATCATGATCTGTGGAATTGATCTCACTTAAATTTGAATTAACTTTAAGTTTCATTTAGGCGTCCTCTAGTATGATACCATGTAATACTCCTTTAGCTCAGCCATACGTCTAACCTACTACATCTTTGTTTATCCTATAGGTATTAAATTTCTTTTGCGTATACAGTAAACATGTGTTTTGTTAAAATGTTTTTAAAAAATAAATTATTGACCTAGCAATGAATTGTGCTCTGCCAATTGCAACACTAAAAATTTGATTGTGCTCTGCCAATCACTTGATTTATTTGAACGTATAATGTATATATACTGTTTGACACACTTTTCCTATACAGTTTAAAACATTAATCAATTATCGATTAACGGTATAACCTAATCTTCTTTTGTAATTGATACATTTCTATAAGCTGTTATTCTGTGTTTGCATATTATGTGACTCTTAGTGATGTAGTTGTGCAGTTTATAATCTGTAATCGGAAGGTTCCAGGTGAGAGCCCGTACAGTTCTATCAGTTAATACGATGAGCTAAGAACTTCGTTAGGGCTCTGCTAAGGTCTACTAAGCCGAATGACCGAGAAACTGTGATTAAGGGTCTAGTGAAGAGGGACTTGCCAAATCAACAGGGTACCCTTCAAATTCACATGTAGTGCACTGTAAACCATAATAGCAAAAAACTATGTTAACAAAGCGAGAGGACTGTCTCTGATTAAGGTCCTTCGTACTGTCTCTGATTGAGGTGGTAACCCACACTCAGCACAACTCGACCAGTATGACTGTAACACATGGTTATTAGTGGTGAGTTGAGCCATATGATTCGTTTGGCATTGATTTATGATTTGATTATCAGAAAAATATGGCCCAACTCCCAGCTCAAGTTTATAAGTGGTCACTTTTTTCTAATCTTTAATGTACAATGAATGATTTTATAATTATCTTTAATTGAGTCATGTGATATGACATTAATGGTTGCATGACCACTACTCCCACAGCAATCTCATGTCGTTAACCAAAGTTAAACCAGTGACCAGACAAGGACTGTCGTTCTGTGATTCAGGTATTTCTCTAGAAGATTCAAGGCCCCCTTCCTTACATTTTTTGTAACAATGCTTCTTATTCAGAACTTGTTTTTGACATCATTATTGTTAATGCATGGCAAGTTTTCTTACTTCGGCAACAGACATTAATATTTGGTGCTGACAGTTCATCCACATAGAAGTTTCAATTGTGTCTAAATGTGCCTTTGTTTAAATGACTCCACCCTTAAAGGTGGTCACCAAGGATAACAGACTCCAGTTCTTTGATGTGTTCTGAAAAGATGGTAACAGAAATGGAACTTTCCAACAGATTTTCGAGGTATGTTGTAACTATTTCACATCCACTGCACCGTTCTTTTGATTTAATGAAATAAGGACTACAAGACAGTATGTCAGTACACTGAAATATATTAGGTTAGATTTAGTAGAGTGCTTCTTAGTTGACTTTTAAGAAAGTCTTGCTGGAATAGCAGATACGATACCTATGCTTTATTACTGTTGATACATAAAAATGATATTTCTATAATTGTCGTGGATCATCATGTATCTTACAGAACATGGAGACCACATTTATTAACTATACAAGACCTTAAGTGAAACAAAATTGTTTATCTATATACTGTTCTTTCTGAATGGAGTGTTCTTTTTGAACATATCAAACACAGCACATACTTTATTACCTGAACGCTTATGCTAAAAACACTGTTCTTTCAGATTATAGATCGTGAATAGATATGTAATATTGACATTTGCTACAGCATGAAGGGTAAATACAGGGAAATGCAACAACTTTAGAATGAACCCAGTTTATATTGAGATGGACTGCCCGTAATAAATAGCTCTTTGAGATGTTCTCAGCTGACCTAAAATTATTCATTGGACTTCGCTATCTTGAATTAGGACTCAAGTACAAATATATAACATTCCTGAAAATCTAGCATATTGCCTGACCTGGATTACAAACGTTAATATTGATTGAACTCATTTTAGGCCCCTGTCAATATCACAAAATGCTGCCTCTGCAATGGTGTGTACTCCCTGTAGAGTAATTATTGTACAGGGTGGCCCATAAAAGACTACCCATCCTTATCTCTTAAAATTGTAACAGGTCGCTGAGATCTTGCTAATTATTTTATTTCAGAATGGAAAAGCGCCATAACTTATGTTCTGATTAATATTTTTGCTTCAAATTTTTAGAGAATGCCAATCATAATTAGACACAACTTCGTGCCAAGTTTTGTGTGAGTCTGAGCTTGTCTGACAAAGTTAGCTCCTGAGGGTGCTAGCTTTAATTTCTCACCCAGAACTGTTTACATGTTGGTTAATAGGAACCACCAAAAAAAATCCTGGGTAAAAAAATTAAAAAACCACCATTTATTTATGTTTTACCAATTCTATTCACCATGATGCATCGCACATTCCATGTGAGAAGAACGATATAAACAAGCAGGAAGCGTCATCTGTGAAAGTCCTTATCAGTTAAAATATAGAGAGAATGGAATGTCGATGGATCATGGTGAATAGAATTGTTAAAACGTGAATAAATCGCTGGTTTTTTGATTTTTTTACCCAGGATTTTTTTGGTGGTTCCTATTAACCTATGTAAACAGTTCTGGGTGAGAAATTCAAGCTAGCTCGCTCAGGGGCTAAATTGGTCAAATAAGCGCAGTGAAGCTCGCACTTACACAAAACTTGCCACAAAGGTTTAGCTACTTGTTATTAACATTCTGTGAAATTTAGAAGCAAAAATATTTATCAGAACATAAGTTATGCCACTTTTTGTTTTTAAAATAATTATCAAGATCTCAACGACCTGTTACAATTTTAAGAGATAAGGATGGGTAGTCTTTTATGGGCCACCCTGTATCATAAATATATGAGCTACCTCCCAATGGCATATGTGTACAGTTTGAGTATTCCATAATTCCTAGAGTGAATATCAATATTTAATATACTATTTTGCCATTTCACTGTTACAAGATCTTACTCTGGATTTGGGCTCTCTGTCTACAAAGGTAACGTTTTAGTTTTGAAAATAGGATATCATTGTATTTCATTGTGACTAACTGCATGGCTGTAGAGTAGATAAGCATCAACTGACAAGCATATAATCTGTAGAAACTGTCAATGTTTTCATAGGGTGACTATAAGAAACACAAAATTACTTATTTAGTTGAATCAAATTTTCACATTTAATGTCAGAAACATGCTCTTAAGATAAGTGCCTAAGATAAAATGCCATGCAGTTAGTCTATGTACTTAAAACAGAGCAGTAAATATACAAATTTAGACTGTAGGTTTTAAGTTTTGCTACTAACATTCAATGCAAATCCCTTCAGCAATCCTCTTGACATATCTACCGTCCAAAAACGAAGTATTTACAACATAATGCAAAACATTTAAATATGGTTTGCTAGACATCTGTAAAAAGGGGACAAATTTGAAACCAAGTTACTCCACATGTAAAAGCTGTAAAAGCATTTTAACCTGCCTTATCCTGAGAAGAAAGTGAAGCAGACGGAACAGTGCAACACGTTTACTGTCAACTACTGAATTCAGATCGGAATCGTTTGTACCAGAAAGCATTTACAGTACTGTGTTATTAGAAATGTGAGAGTATTAAAGTTGATTTCTACGACTGAAGTGTACAGGGTAACACAGAGGTTATATTATTTTTTTAAAGCAACACAATGTCACTGGGTAAAACACCTTGGTTTGGGTAAAATCATCGAACGCCTACAGTGATACATTTGGTAAATAACTAGGCTCCTGGTTCCTAGCCTCAGATAAGGTGGCTTTTCAGTTTCCTCTGCAAAACAGCCAATATTTCCGTATGCGTATGCAGTGTTGTTTCATTGGGAAATAAGATTAATTTCCTACAAGTAAGAGTTTCATATCATCAAAACATCCTGACTGAGTGTAACATGTTGCTAGTGGCCTTGTTATTTGATGATATAATGATACTATTTGATATAACTTGTATACTAGAAGTACATATCAAGCTCTGCACTGAAGAGATATCACATTTATACCTGTTCTAGCGGATTCCATTCTACAGAAAGAAAAAAGATACTCTCATCAATCGAATGGGAATACAAATTTGAATTCGAAGTTATCCAAGTTTAGAACTTTAGAAGCTCAGAACATATTTTAAGAAATAGAAATTAAAAGGTTCCTGACTGGGCCAAATCTCTGAATGGTCACTGGCCAGCATGAATATCAAGATACTGTGACCTCTCCATCCAAACTTGTTTCCTATCGATATTCCAACATTAGTCAGGTAAAAAACCAGCAAAATAATAATGTATACACGAATACATGAGATAATTTTATATAGCTACATCTAGATATAGAGCAGTATCACTGTTTAAGCAACAGTTGCATCACCCAGGCATAGATAACATCTTAATATAGATGGAATATTTGTATCTAGTTTTCTCAGTGCAATGCTGAGTTTCTGTCACGAGACCAGAGACCATGAATATCTGTTCGTTAATATTCTTATGTATCGTATTCTATGCAGAATGTAAATGATATGGAACTGTAATCTGTATTCTGAAAACTATATTTTACCTTGTTAAATATCCAATTTGTTTGTATTGATAATAACTTACTGAAGTTTTCATGTGAATCGAATTTAAGCAATGATGTCGATTACAGAACCGAGTAGATGCTACTTATCATTATATATGATATTACATTTCTTTGTCAAGATAATTTCACACTCTTGCTATTCAACTCGTTTATTGAACTCGTAAATTTACGTAATTACGTACAGATATTGCATATCAATTATGCGCAAAATTGTATAAATGTTTAATCGAATTTGGGGTTGTAACAATTTGGTGTTGGCAAATGGTACGCATAATTTTCGATTAATCAATGTGCTTATGAGTATCGAGTATGAATGTGCTGATAACACATCCATATGAATTCGTCACGGTGTAAACACACATGTAGACATGATCTGATACACACAAACTTAATCCTCGGTCTTAACTACATTACAAACAATGCAATACTCTAATTTAATGAAGCTATAATACTCAGCAATCCTTATAAAAATGCGCTTACAAGAAGAACAGCACTCCTTCATCTACGTCCAGAAAATTACCATGTGTTCATTTATGGACCGGTGCTGTTTTAAGACACAATATAACAGTATATAACTATAAGCACTGCATATGTAATCGAAATTCTATATCATTTAACGATATCACGGAAGTGTACTATTTGCTGAAGCTTGTAAGTTACTAAGCTGGTTACTAAGCTGGTTACTACCCAGTAGCTACCTGATAACAGCAAGGAACTAACATAGCGCTATTTAGTGCTATTTAGTGCTATTTAGTGCACTATTTATATTGCTTTTAACATAGCGCTATTTAGCTCAAGACATGTCCGACACCCAATCTCGAGACCGTGGTCGCCGCAGTGATGTTGATAACCGTGGAGAACGTGGCAGTGATTCACGCGAAGAGCGCAAACGCCCCTGGAGGAGCGAGGCAGGCGACAGAGACGGAAGAGAGGATCGGGGTTTCAAGGTGAGGAAAAAACTGGTGGGGTAAAACTAACTATAGCATAGTTACTAGTTAGTTAGCCAAAGATAAAGTACTAACTTGCTGTTTTCCTAACGTTACCCGAGATATACGTTAAAAAATATTGGTTATTGGTTCTGTGTAACAATACCACTCTTTAACGAGGGGACATTTCAGCAAATGAAGCCAGGAGCAATCGGAATGAAGGTTCTGGTACCTAACTCTCTTGTGGGAGCAATCATAGGCAAGGGAGGCGAAGAAATGAAGAAACTAAAAGAAGAAAGCAGTTGTTTCATCAGACTCTCTCAGGTAATCATCCATGCTATCCGGATTATGTGATATTTCCTTCAGCTGATGGTAAAATGCATAATAATATATGTATCATATTATATATAATGATAATAATATTAGTTTCTTTTGACTATTCAAGATTTTGTTCACTGAATCCTTCACATGTGATGATTTAAATTGCTTTTGACAGAGAAAATTGGCGCAGAATGCAAGTTTTATAATTCTGTTTTATAATTAGATACCAGCGTTTTGTTTACACTATCTGTTAGTTAGAACTTTAGTATATAAATCCTTCACCTTTTTTCCTCTCAGAACGACAAATATTTCCCAAACACCAACGAGAGACCTTGCTACATTGAGGGTGTCCCAGAGGACATTGTCAAAGCTATACAGACCATTCAGGAGAAGTTAGCCAACGATAACCCCAGACGAGGTTAGTATCCACTTCATAGGTGTCACCACCTACACTTCATGAGTTTTATTTGTTATCATACTGTCATATCCTCATTCCTCAATAACTGTCATATCCTCAATTATTGATGAAAAATACTATAATATAATATAGCCATAGCCACATTAAACTAATTCTAAGCGAGATGGGTAGTATAAGTTAGTAAGTAAGTTTAGTCAGCTCAATAGAATTACCTTCTCTAAACACACTCACTAAACCCACCATTGTACCCTAGGTCCGAGTATAGACGAGACAAGAAAGAAGCAGTGTAAAATAGTAGTGGGAGCTAACGCAGCAGGAAAGTGTATCGGTAAAGGTGGTGAGAACGTGAAACGGCTGAAGAGCGAGTTTAGTGTTTGGATCAAAGTTATGGGCAGAGACGACTCTATCCCTGGGTTAGAGGAGAGGACCATCACGGTGTCTGGAGACAACGACAACACTCTCAAAGCTATCAAGGATGTGAGTATAACTGAACTTGTGAACCACTTCAGAAAAGTATTTGATATTTCATTGCAATGTAAAACAAGCGTTCAATTGTGTCTTGTTCCTGGTTGTGTCTTGTTCCTGGTTGACTCCCCCCCCCCCCTCCCCCCGGCCCCCCCGCCCCCCCCCCCCCTGGTTGACTGCGTCACTAATCTGTATATTTGTAGATCCTGGAGATGTCAGTGCAACTGAACAATGGTGGAACTGACAAGAACTTAGACTACGACAACTTCATGAGTGGCGCACCTGCTGCTGCTCCAGCTGGTAACCAAGGTGGTTATAACCAGGGTGGTGGTTATCAGAACAACCAGGGTAACTTCAACAACCAGGGCGGCGGCCAAGGAGGGGTAAGATATTTGTTTTTTTTTAATATTTATTTGTTCGGTCTTATTTTAACAATGATTCCTAAAATTACATCTCAACGAGATCCCGATATTTGTCTTAATGAGACTCAGGCATATGTCTTCTTGGTGATTTTGTATATATTTTATCTGCACTTTTTCAGTACAACAATCAGATGGGAGGAGGAGGAACATACGGAGCTAGAGCTGGAAGTCAGGGCGCTCCAGCCCCTAACGTAGCACCAGTCGGCAGATCTGGCAGTCAGGGTCCTCCTGGCCCAGTCAACAACATGGGCGGCTTCAACAACATGGGTGGACCTGGCCCTAACAACATGGGTGGACCCGGACCCAACAACAACATGGGAGGACCTGGCCCCAATGCCCCAATTGGTGGACCTGGACCTAACATGGGTGGAAACATGGGAGGAAACTTCAACAACCCTACTCCGCCTGTGCAACAATACGGTAGCAACGCAGCAACTCAACAGTTTGGTCAGCCCGGACAATTCCAAGGCAACATTCAGCAGTATCCCAACAACAACAGCAGCAATCCCAGCAATATCCCAATTCAGCAATACCCAGGCAGTGACAGTCAGAGTAGTGGCTATGGAAGCAACCCCGGCACTGGTGGTGGTGGTTACAATAACCCCAACCAAGGAGGTGGATATAACCAGGGCAGTCAAGGTGGATACAACCAAGGTGGACAAGGCGGCTACAATCAGACACCAGCTAGTGGTAATCCAGGCCAAGGTGGATATAACCAAGGGTACAACCAGGGTGGTAGTGGAGGAAGTGGTGGTGGTTACCAGGGTGGTAGCCAAGGTGGATTCCAAGGTGGAAACCAAAGTGCACCTTATCAGGGTGGCAATCAGAGAGGTGGTTTCCAGCCAAGTGACAGCCAAGGCGGAGGTTACCAAGGAGGCAACTTACAGGGTGGTCGTGGCGGTTTCCAGAGTAGTCGTGGAGGGAACCAAGGCGGTGGAAGAGGTGGATTCAACAGCCGCGGAGCTGGAGGTAGAGGTGGTGCCCCAAGTGGTGGTGCTGGTGGAGACCGTGGTAACGCTAGAGGAAGAGGGGGAAGCCGTGGACGAGGTGGACCAAGAAATTAACTGTGACTTTAAAAACAAAAACACCCTCATAACACATAAAACACTTGACTGAACATGAGGGACTTGTTGTTGAAATGTACCTTTTATTGGTTACCAGCCTTAAGTCTTTTAATGACGATGTTACTTGATACATATTTGTTTGAATGTTAAGATTTATGATAGCAGCTGATTTACCCACCAACCCACTAATGTAAGCCCACGTGCTGCTAGGTCACGTGTTAGTCCACGTGCTGCTTGAGTGCTTGACAATGTTTACATTTCATGGAAAGGTGCACTTTTGAGTTCTGCTTTCTCACAGAGCTGCTTTCCGATCATCTGCCTGAATCACATATATTTGTTTAAGTGTCGACTGCCGAAGATATTATTTATAATTTTACAGTAATAAACTGTATTTAATTTTCAATATAATCCGTATTGATAATTTTAAAAACAGCAGTTTATTTTTATATATAAACTTTTGTCATTACTTGAAATTGTACTGAAAATCTATGGTCTCCAAACGTGCCTAAGAACAGGACTCCTTCAACACAATAAAATGTAACAACTGAAATTACCAACAACAAAAAAGATCTGCTATGAATGAGATATTTGTTGTGAATTAAATAAACTCAATGAAATAACCACAAGTAGAAATGTTACGTCGAGGTGCAAATGGTGGGGTTAGGAAACAACCTGTTATACCAACTGAATCATACGAGATATCCACCACAACCCCTGATCTGCAGACAGAAACTGAGCAGCTAGAAAATGAACTGTTCGGTGATATCGAGAAGCAGTTTGTTAACAAGGCTCCATCAACGTCACATGGTGAGACTTCATTGTGATGACTTTTTTACCAGTTATTCTGTTTCGGAACTCTGATAATTATAAGAAATCACCGCATCCCACTGACACTGTTTTGTTTCCAGATGATGCGCTGTTTGTGATAGACAGAGGAGAAAAGCGTGCAGTGTGGAGTGACGAGGAGGAGTGTGACAGAGAGATCAGTCTGGGTGACAGGAACATCACCAAGAAGCTCAGGACGGGAGATGGTGACACCATGTCAGGGAGGCAGCTGGAGGTCAAGCTCAGGAGTCAGGTAAGCAGGAACGGTCCTATTAAAGCGGGAAATTTCGATATTTCGAGGAAAATAAATTATCTTTATTAACAACAATTTTTCTTAAAATCCCCATAATTTTATTCTGATGATTTTGGTCAGACCATTGAACGGAAAATCAAAAAATTAACCCACTTTTCACCTCAGTTCAAAAAGATCCACGGCACTCCAAACTGGACGACTGGTGACAAGACTTCCCAATCCTCAATCCTGGCCTCAACAGGTCACATGACCCAGCCCAGTAAATCTCTCCCTGTAAAGAAGTTATCCGTAACCCGGTGTAAGAACCTCAACTCTCGGAAAGGAGCTAAATGTGTTGTTAAATCTCTTGAGTTTCATCCTGCCGCTACTATTGGCTTTGTTGCGGGCTACTCCAAATCTTTAGACTTGTTTGAAGTTGACGGGGAAAATAACAAGCACCTTCATAGACACCATTTCGCAAACTTTCCTATAGACTGTGCTAAGTTTACAGCCGATGGCAGTGAGGTTATTTTGGGATCAAAGCGACCGCATTTTTACACGTTTGATCTTAACAAGTGTACCGCAATCAAAATGGCTGGAATCAGAAATCGGCCGGATGTTCACTACAAAAACTTTGTGCTGTCAGAAAATGGAGAATATCTGGGGTTTCAGGGCAATGATGGATTGTTTTCAGTTTTTAGTGCTAAAGATAAGCAACTTGTGAAGTGTATTACTCATCGCACGCGGATTAATTGCAGTTCATTTTTGACTGATAATATCATATTAACCGCGGGACATGGTGGTTTTTGTTCTCTGTGGGATATGAGAACATGGAAAATTATCAACGAATTTCAGGTCAGTTTCATTTAATTCGTTGTCCTTTTTTGGTCTAAACGTTTATGGAATTACTAAAATTCCTTGAATTTATTACCTCCGAAAAATTGATAAACATCAGCTCTAATAGCAAACAAATAAAATGCAATTCATCTAGGACGACGGCGCATTGCACGTGACCTCGATAGGACATTCGTCACGTCACGTAGCAGTAGGAAGTGACAGTGGAGTGGTCAACATCTACAACAAGGACGATATCTATAAAACTAGCAGTAAACCTCTGCGTGTTCTCATGAACTTGACTACTGAGGTTGACAGGACTGTTTTCAACTCCACTGGAGAATTGCTCGCTATCTCTAGCAAGGTTTGTGTTCTTAACTCAGTGCCCAGTGGATGTCCTGCTTCTTTAGAGTTGATTTAAAGGACCAGTTAACTGAAAAAAAAGTTATCCTCATATTTTGACAGAATGTGACAAATAGCAAACTAAGCAACGAGTCGAAATTCCTAAATCTCTAACTGCTCTCTAACGCGTGTAAATAGCGTTTGTATTATTTTGGCGATGACGTCATAAAGTCCCTTGCGCGCGCAGAGGAGCTCGTTAGACTGTATTTTACAGGTAGAAAATGGACATAATACAATCTTTTCCCCCGAATAACTCGAAAAGTAAGTAATTTAGGGTACATTTTGCTTCATAAGTTGTATATAAACATGGCCATTCTGCACAATTTACACACATTCAAAAACCTTTAGGGCCTTCATAGCCCAATTTACCAGATACCCATAGTTTTGCATGATTTCTGGAACCGAAAATCAGTTTTTCGCCAATAACTGAAAAAGTAAGCACTTTAAGGCATATGTTTGTTCGTAAGTCATATATTAATATGCTAATTGCGGTTCTTTTGCACCCTGTCTAAAGACTATCACGATCCGATCGAAAATGGGCTCAGCACCACGCCCAAAATGGTTTTAGGCGAATTTATCGAAAAGTATGGATTTTAGGCCATGTGTTGCTCAATAACTCCTATATAAACATGCATATGCGGCTTCGTTTAAGCCTATTTTGAAGTCTCTACGACCTTCAGAAGCAAGGGGTCGGTTATGTTATTGGGTCAATATGGGCGTGGCCCTCCTGGGTTTTCTCCACGGTCAAAAAAATGTCTCCAAACGAAAATCGTTTATTCATAACTTCGGGAAGGTCTGTGCAAAGTTTCGTGAGTATTAGAACATTTGCAGGTTCATTTCCATAAATGTCCATAAATGACTGGACTACACAACTTTAGAGTTAACTTTAGAGAAACTCATAAGTCATTTATCTCAAATTAAGCTGTTAGTGTCCATGATCAACCTGTGGCGACAATGTTTTACATGAAATGTAAAAATCAGGAGTAATATAAAAAGTGTATTTTTATATTAAAGTGCTAGCTCATAGTTTTAGAATTGTATAGATTAACGTTGGTCGTTTAGCCATCTAACAATCGATCGTGCCGTATTATATGGCCAGAGAATAATAGGGTCTTGGAGATTCTATAGTTGTTAAGTGGGTCGATTGACTGAACACGTTTGCACTTGGTATTTAAACTTACCAGTAGTTTATTTATGTTATGTACCGATGATAATGCAATTAGGATAACAACTAGGTAAGCCGTAAGTCTAATTCAAAACACACCTCACACCGTACACTCCAATCAGTATTACTATTTGGTAGACCGGGTATTTTGGCGGGAATTCTGTTCCCACGGCACTGTTGAGTGACTGTTCTGATAGAAGCTACTTCTACTAATGGTCCCAGAGGAACGGCCGTAAAGTAGCCAGACTTCTTGTCTCCTGTACTGGCTGACACATTCGGATTAAAGTTAGAAATTTCGCTATGCTATAAATATAATTGCTCTCGGAATTGAACAAACTCCTACTTATCTAGATCCTTTCTAAATTCGTTAGAGTTTCATGGACTGGGGAAAAATAATCGGTAAAGTCTCCCTGCTTGTGTAATTAAGCAATGAAATCAATCCACAATTATCACATATGACATAAGTTGTAATAGCAGAAACTTTCTAACCGTACATTCACCCGCCACTGTTCAAGAACCTATATCACTGTTTATAATCATGACGTGAGCACTGTACAGCCAATCAGCTATTCCTTTAGTTAGGATGATAGCCAAAACTATAAGGATTTTGGAGAACTAGGGTAATAGTCATAATTCTAAAATTTGAGTGAGTTACACGTGTTTTATTGACGATGATAAACATTTGCAATGTATTACGCTATATGCAAGCGCGCACTGAGGGACTTTATGACGTCACGAGGCCACAGCTTATTATTGCAATAACACGCGTTACACGTACGCTAGAGAGTTGGTTCTTTCGGCGATACGATTCTTTACCAGTTTGTCACAGCTGATTTAAATCTTAGCCAAATTGGAGACTATTTTTCAGTTAACTGGTCCTTTAACTGAATTATATCGGCGTTCGATCTACATCATCTGATTGGCTCTATTTAATTTACTTTAATTGGCTTTAGACAGGAACTAATTTGATGAATGAGTCGGAAAATATCCAACTGTGACCCCTGTGACCTAAGAATGGACTGGCATGCGAATTGGCATTCCATGCATACAATGAATGTATTTTTTAATAAGCCTGCTTGTTGATAAAGAATGAACATAGTGACTTGAGCGTGCCGGACAGTGTTGACTAAAGCAAAAAATTAACCAATTCTTCATATGATTTAATTAAATAATCCCTCCCCAGGAATTGAAACACTCGCTCCGTCTGATAAACCTCCACTCTCTTCAATGTGTTCCAAACTGGCCCACCTCCAACACACCCCTAGCCCACGTATCAGATATGCACTTTTCTCCTAACTCTGGTTATATTGGTGTCGGGACCACCAAGGGGAAAGCTCTTCTTTACAGACTCACACACTATCCGTCTTATTGAGATTTGGAACTGTTTTTAGACTTTTTACTGAGGGTAATTTATTAAAGTTGACGAGATGGAATTTGTTTAGTATATTCTGACTGTATGTTTTTGTTTGATTTTAACTAGAATTTTAACTAGTGCTAAATCAGTGTCCAAGTCTTTGTAATTTCGGTGTGGATAATAGTAGTGATGGTCACTTCTCAAAAAAAGTTGTAAACTTTTATCTTTTAATCGTTGATAACCTAAATAAATAATTGTGAGTTGAATATTTTAATTATAAACTAAATTCCAAGTTTTCCCTAAATTATGATATTTTTGAACGATATATAAGTGGTAATATATTTACCTCCCGTATGCCATCAGGTAGATCCTACAGATGGATATAGACGAATTACTAGACTTCCAACCAGCCCGTACGTTGAAACGTGCCCCTGATGGTGATGGAGATGGAGACTTCGAGGGCATGTTCAAACGCAAAGCAGTGGAGGCACCACAGAAGAAGAACTACGAAGACATGACGGATGAAGAACGTCTGGCTTTGGTGATGGAGCTGGACGAAGACAAAACAGCAGAGATGGACGACGGAACAGTGAAGAGAATGATCCTGAATCTGGAGAAGAAGTACACAAAGAACCAGGAATTGCGCATCAAGCACACGGAACAGCCGGAAAAGTTCATGGAGAGTGAGATAGAACTTCATGTGGAGGTGGGAAAGTGTCTGACTATAGCGACACAGCCCCAGCTGTTCCCTGTACTGGTACAGTGCAAAGGAGTGAAGCTTATCGTGTCCCTTCTTGGGCATCCTAACTCTGATATCGTGTTAGGAGTGGTTGATCTCCTTCACGAACTAACTGACACTGATGTTATCAACGAAGCTATTGATGATGCTTTGGAGCTTGTTGAAGCTCTTGTCCAAAACCAGATTATGTCAGTTCTTGTTCAAGTTCTCGAGGCTCTCGACGAGAAAAACGAGGATGAAGCCAAAGGTCTCCACAACATTCTGGGTATTGCTGAAAATTTAGTGGAAGCAGATCCGGAACTAGCAGATCACGCCTTCACACAAGGTCTCCTAGCCTGGATCCTTAACAGACTCAAGGTACGATCATTCGATCAGAACAAGTTGTATTGTTCTGAGTTGCTTGCTATCCTTTTGCAATCCTCTGTCTCTAATAGGACCCAACTAGGGAACATAGAGGGTATAGACACCATGTTGCAAGCCCTGGCGCTCTACAAGAGACGTAACCCTCAAATAGCTGAAGAGCAGGAAATGATGCACAACTTGTTTGATAGTCTCTGTCTCTCCTTGCTAGCTTCAGAAAACAGGGATATCTTCCTAAAGGGTGAGGGTGTAGAGCTGATGATCCTCATGTTACGAGAGAAAAAGATGTCCCGACCTCCTGCCCTCAAAGTGCTCAACTTTGCCCTCCAAGGAGATGAGGGTATTAATTGTTGCGCAAAGTTTATAGATGTATACGGACTACGATCTCTCTTTCCTTGCTTCATGAAAACTCCTGGTAAGAAGGTTAAACGTGGTGGTTTCAGTGAACAAGAGTGGGTGGAACATGTCACCTCCATCATATCACATCTGCTGAGAAACTTATCAGGCTCCCAACTCCAGAGACTCATGAATAAGTTTGTTGAGGATGATCATCTCAAAGTAGACAGGCTTGTTGAACTTCATCTCTTCTATCTGTACCGAGCCAAGGCTGTGGACAGAGATATCGAAGAGGAGAAATTACAATTGGAGGATGTAGATGAGGAGAAGGAGAATGAGTTTTATATGAAGAGACTCGACGTTGGACTCTTCACACTTCAGAGACTAAACTATATAATTCTCAGTATAGGAACTGCTGGTATTAGCACCGTTTTTGATAGAGTGAGACAACTGTTAAATCTGAAGGGGGAGACATTAGAGCCAGTTAGGGAGATTATGCAGGAGTATGCTGACAGTTTGGGCGATGATAAGAATAAGGCTAACGAAGAAAAGTTGAACATTAATCACATGATAAATCAGCTGACTTGAAGAATGTTGTTTTAAGAGGGTGATTACTAGTTTTATCACCGTTTTTACAGTTTAACATTTCATGTGATGGTTCTAAGAGAGTTGAAAGATGATCGAATATAGCAATAAATATTTGACCAGTGTGGAAATAAAGTTTTCAGATTCAAATACTATGCAATAACTTTAAATTATTTGTGATGGATGTTTTGTGTGGTTTTTCACGTTTTACAGATGACAAGTTGCTATCTTAAATTCTTTTTATTATTCTCTAAATAATTAAAAATCCAACCAATTCCAAAGATTATTTACGTGAACATGCTTTACTTCTTAATTCGACTGATCACTTTAACTCACGGTTAATGATACTGTAGGAGGCAGAATGTCAAAGCGTCCTAACATGGAGAACGGTACACCAGCTACATCCACAGGACGCAAACGGAGACTTGACATGGGCCCACTGGGAAACACTCTTAAACCGTCAGTATTAGTTCCCTCTGTTCAACCTTCTAGATACTCGCCGATACAGCGTTTTATTCCTTCGCTAGATTGGATTCACCGATGATATTTAATTGCTGATAATATCTATCCTGATCATGAAAGTAAGTATTTGTTTCAGAACACGTGACTCCATGAACCCGTACACCAAGCTGCCGTACACTGCCAAATACCACAAACTGTTAGATAAAAGAATGGACCTGCCTGTTTGGGAACACAAGGCCAAGTTCATGGAGCTGATCACTAATAACCAGGTTGTGGTGTTGGTGGGTGAGACCGGCTCAGGGAAAACAACTCAGGTCAGTTTGGTAGTGTTGAGACTTCTCACGAATATTTTTCTAGCTCTCATTTTCCATGTTTTCTGCCTCATCTAGGAGATATTGTGGTTCTTTTGTAAATGTGACTGTAATACATTGAATTATTTGAATTTTGAAATAAAAATTAACCAGGACTTCTGTTTTTAGATTCAGGAATGTTTTTAGAGGTTTCTTATTAAAAATAGAACTCTACATTCTCCGTCATTATTTCGTTCCAATAATTAGATGACATAGTCCTGGTTTATAAACAATGTGCCCGGCAGATCCCCCAGTGGTGTGTGGATGTTCTACCCGAGTTAAACGGAAAGAAGCAGAACTCTGTAGCCTGTACCCAACCCAGGAGGGTAGCCGCTATGAGCGTAGCTACACGTGTCGCTGAGGAAATGGACGTTAAACTCGGTACGGTTTGTAACTTGCTCAGGTGTATCTTCTAGACGAACTTCTTTCAAGAAATGAATAAGTTCAAGTCGCATCAACCATCACACTTATTTTTGCTTTGAAATAAATTTATTGGTTAATTAAACATCTCCAATGATCTTGTGATAACCAAGAATTTAAACTGAATAGAACGTTTTTAATCTGCCTTTATTTCTCTTTAAAAAGCCGTATTAATTTTTTAAAACTTGATCAGGAAATGAGGTGGGCTACACGATCAGGTTTGAAGATGTGACAGGGCCCAACACGTGCCTTAAGTACATGACTGATGGTATGTTGCTGAGGGAGGCTATGACCAACCCAATGCTGGAAGCTTACAAGGTCAGTTTTGAGGGTGCTACGCTATATTGTTTTTCTTAAAGTTGTGGGTATTTCTTTCAGCTGTTTTGGCAGTGTTACTGTGTAAGCCTTAAAGTTTCTGGTTTTTATTCTGGGTTTTTCCAAAAATTCATCATATAACATGGCAAACGTTATTGATTAGTTTCTTCTTCTAACATAATGATCCTAACAAATTTACACTTGAGTCCTAATAAACATAGATGATAACTTTTCTCGTCAGGTAATAATGATGGACGAAGCGCACGAACGGACTCTGGCGACTGATATACTGATGGGAGTGCTGAAGGAAGTGATCAAACGTAGACCTGACCTCAAAGTGGTTGTCATGTCTGCTACACTGGATGCTGGAAAATTCCAGAAATACTTTGATAAGGCTCCTCTTATGGTATTTTTCTCAGGAGACTTCTGATGTTGTTTTTAATATAATGCTGTGATCTTTGTATGTTTTTATTGATTTTACTTTATTAAATGTTAGACGACGAGAATATTATGTATAAATCCTTAAATTTTCTTCCTTCTATAATCTATAACAGTTGATTGTGTATTTCAGTCCATCCCGGGACGTACACATCCAGTAGAGATATTCTTCACACCTGAGCCGGAGAGAGATTACCTTGAAGCTGCTATACGTACAGTCCTGCAGATCCACATGTGCGAGGAAGAGGCCGGGGATATTCTGCTGTTTCTTACTGGGCAGAAGGTAAGGGTAACCTCTGAGATTTATATTGGGTAATCATATAATTATAATTATGGTCAGTACTCAATGATACAATTAAGATAATGCCTTGCTTGTGGTGGTTAATAATCATAACATGCATTTTATAATTTCTAAATTGGATAATTGCAGGAGATAGATGAAGCGTGTAAGCGTATGAAGAAGGAATTGGATAACTTAGGAAATGACGTAGGAATGCTTACCTGTATACCTCTGTACTCCACCCTCCCTCCTGCTATGCAGCAGAAGATATTTGACCCTGCTCCGCCTCCACGTAACGGCAAGGTCGGCCGTAAGGTCGTTGTTGCAACCAACATTGCTGAAACCTCCCTGACAATAGACGGAGTCGTGTTCGTGATTGATCCTGGATTTTCCAAGCAGAAGGTTTACAACCCCCGTATCAGAGTTGAGTCCCTGCTGGTAACTGCTATTTCTCAAGCTAGTGCGCAACAGCGCGCGGGTCGAGCTGGACGTACTCGTCCTGGCAAGTGTTTCAGACTGTACACTGAGAAGGCGTATCAGAAGGAAATGCAGCCGAATACCTACCCGGAGATCCTGAGGAGTAATTTAGGGAGTGTTGTTCTGCAGCTGAAGAAGATGGGTATTGATGATCTGGTCCACTTCGACTTCATGGACCCTCCCGGTATGTACTTCATCCCTAGCCACTTATTCCTAACGCACTATTTCATCCTACTTTTATTTCTGACTAATTTCACTGACTGTTTTTTCCGCAAAACACCCTGCAAATGTTTACATTCTAACATTCCTCAGCACCGGAAACCCTGATGAGAGCTCTGGAGCTGTTGAACTACCTACAGGCTCTAAGTGAGGAAGGAGAAATGACGGATTTGGGCGGCATGATGGCAGAGTTCCCTCTGGACCCATCCCTTTCCAAGATGAGCATCACTAGTACCGAATACAACTGTTCTAACGAGATTCTTAGCATTGTTGCTATGCTCAATGGTATGACATGCTACGAGTAGGAGTATGTTTGTAATCTTTAAGTCATTCTTAGATCTGATTGATGATCATTTCTCTATAACAAATTAGTTAAGGGTTGCATTAATTAAATGTTTGATTATATTGTGTTATGGGTAAGATAGTGATTGTTAAGATTGTTGTATTTTGAAGTGCACTTTGTGCAAGTGTCATACTCAGTGGTTGATGGAATGTCTCCGGGTGTGGTGCTTACTGACGCGGTGCTTACAAGCACAGTGCTGATCCGCGTGGTGCTTGCGTGTTTTACTTAATGAGCTTTTTAAAACTAGCAAGTAATTACCCGAGATGATGAAACCTTATTTAAATCCATATGTGTGTCTCATGACGCTGCACTCGTTTTGCGCTGCGCCAGCCTCAGCACCGCGCGAGGAGACAGCACTCTGACTGCTGGGTAACACTGGGTGTTCCCTTAGAATCTCTAACTACCGAACCCTCTGCGCGACAGTTCCACAGTGGTTCCTGCGGCCCAACGAGGCTAGGAAGCAGGCTGACGAGGCTAAGAGGAGGTTTGCTCACATCGACGGAGATCATCTCACTATGCTGAATGTCTACCATGCTTACAAACAAAGTGAGCGCCTATTATTTTTGTCTTGAAATTATAGATTAAGCCTTGCAATTCTGTAAATGAGAACAAAATTTTTAAAATTAGAATTAGAATTATAATCAAATTTACACAGCAATACAATAAGAACAAAAAATAATTTAAGAAGCTTCAATCTGCTGTGCAGGACATTCAAGTCAGTCGAAAACTGTTAGCAGAACACCCTTCTAGGGACATAAAGATCTAGCATGTAAAACATAATAAGTAATAAATTAATGAGTGATAAAATAAGATATGATTTAACAGTGAACTGTGGGCATGGAGGTAAATGCCAAGTGCAAGTGAATTTTAAAAACTTTTATTTTCACATTTGACTCACTTTTATTCTTCCCTTTTCAGATAACGAGTCAATGCAATGGTGTTTTGATAACTTTATCCAGCAAAGAGCGTGAGTATTTAATATTTGGCCAAATGAGGAGTTGTTTACACTTGATAGTTTCCAGTAAGTATTCAGTAAGTTATCTTACAATTAGACTGTATATTATCGTACTAACAATTTCTTGTGATGTATCTTTATACCCCTAGTTTGAAGCAAGCAGACAGCGTGAGAGATCAGTTGTCCAGAATTATGGATAGGTTCAACTTAAAACGGGTTTCTACAGACTTTACAAGCAAGGAATACTACCTAAACATCAGAAAAGCTCTTTGTACCGGCTTTTTCATGCAGGTACCCACTTATGCTAGCCTGCTTTGCTTTACAATGTATTCGATTGTAATGTGCAATTACTGTCTAACTTTATTGTTCCCTTTTAACTTAAATTTACAACTTTTCAGGTGGCACATTTGGAAAGAACAGGTCACTACTTAACGGTTAAAGATAATCAGGTGGTTCAGCTTCATCCCAGCGCATGTTTAGATCACAAGCCCCAATGGGTGCTGTATCACGAGTTCGTACTTACGAGCAAGAACTATATCAGAACATGCACTGACATCAGACCCGATTGGTAAGCTATTTATTCAATAATGATCTTGTTACTGACCCTCGTGAATCGTGATCTATCACTAATTTGTCATGCCGATGTCCCCGTCACAATGTAGTGGCTAAATGCCAACTGAAACTGCACGCGCGAAGTCGTTTTCATGAATTGAAGCTCATATAACTCACTCCTTCTAGCTGACTTTGTGCGCCGCGCAATGCCATATTCGGGCATACCTTTGTGTAAGCGTGGGAAAGTTAAAGCAAATCTTGGCTCAATCTGGTAATAGATAACAAATACGCAAACCAATATAATTCAGTTAACGAAACCATTTTAACCTTTTAAAACTAGATAGTCATCGAGTTGCAACTCTGTGAAAACATATAGATGGTTGTTCAACCGACTACCGAGTGAAATTTGAAGTCTTGCTAGTATGTAGTAGTTTTTGTGTCCCTCCACAATTTGATCCAACATCAGATATATTGAATATAATCTCTACCAGGAAATAAAATGTTTAATAATCTGCAATTCCCGCTGTACCTACATTAATTTGAGCGCTATAAACTAGACTTGAAATCCGTTACGACAAAATATTACGCTGTTAGTGACAAGTTAGGAGATAACACTGTAAAGCAATTACAGCCGTCAAAGCAACTAATTACAACACTACAAATCTATTACATTTATTGAGAATTGTATAATGTAACGTGATGGAAATATTTTAAACGGGCATATCCTGCCCAAACCCAGGATGCACTACATGAAGAATTCGTTGTAACTTTGTTTGAAAATCATTAATAAGACCGGACCGGTATATATACTGGATTATTAATTGAGTACATGGCGCAGAACATGATCGTCATTGAACGGTCTTAACAATGTACCGTCAGGCGTACAGTAATATAACAATAAGCTCGAAACGGCAATTTTAAGATTCGCGTTCGTACCAGTGTAATAGTTATTTTTAATCAGCTCGATTAATTTAGGTTACTGAAGATCGCCCCCAATTACTACAACCTGAAGAATTTCCCGAATTGTGAAGCTAAGCGCGAATTGGAGAAACTATACGAGAGGGTGGCAAGGGGCATGAGGAAATAGACTGACATTTTGTCATGCTTATGAGCAAGTTAATTATTATTGAAAAGTTATAATTTTCCTGCTACTATTTTAAAATACTCAAAATGATTTATGTTGCTATATAATGAGAATTATTGTAACTTTCAGAAAGGCAAAGTTAGAAGTTGGTTGCCATGTTAAAATATTTAGCATCAAGATATTAATCCAACTCCTCGACTTATATCCCTTTATTTTCATGAAATTGATATTTTCAACTTTGATATATTGATAGCAAGAGCTGGTCTTGGTCATTTAATTTATTGCTTCCACTTGACATAACTACATTCTTAAATACTGATCAGTAGATTGTGATCTTCAACGATTCAGATATTACGTAATCACTGTTATCCTCGGCCTCCCCCCTCCGTAATCAATCCTTTCCGTTTTTAAACTCTCCGGTTATGCATTGAATGACCATACGTGACAATTAAATTAATAGGTGATATTTAAAATCTAGAATCCTTTTCAATAGACTGGTTGTCTGAAGTAAAAACGAGTGTTAATTTAAATCACTTTTTAAAGAAACGGAGCTTATCTGATAGTATTAGTAGCACCTATTGTTATTAAGAATGAGCCGGGTTTTTTTCTGCTTTTGATAATATGTGATGTAAGGTTGATTCTCAATCTGAACTGGGAGACGAAACTTTTCCATGAAAATGGTACTTCGGAAACAGAATACGTGGCCTCTTCAGCTTAAAACTGCTGTATATTAGTTCTCTGTTTGGAATTTTATTTTGATTCAGATGTTGCTTCACTTGCTCCATGCTAACGTGCCGCGCTCGTCTTACAAAGCCGGGCGTACGTTACGCCACTGCAAGCGCTTTGGTTTGAGAAAATCGTATCGAATTATTAGTAACGTAATAATAATGTGCGTCTTTGATCAAATTGAATTTGATACACACTGTCAAGACAAATATCTCCGAGATATTTCTTATCTAGACAGTTGAAGCCCTACTGTACCGATGTATTTTCGAACGCTGATTCCGGTTCTATTCCCAATTCGCTCGCCCAAAAATTTCACGTGACTTTGGTTTTTATGGTTTTGCAGCCGTACAAAACGGTTTTACATAAACCCCTAATCCTAACCCCGAAGCTATCCATAACCCTTACCACAAACCCTAACCCGAGCGCTAAACAATCGAATTCATGTTTTACTAGCATGTCACGTGACCAAACCTTGTCATACGTTGAAAGACACGAGTGCGCGGCTCCCCCTGTATCGTCGAAACTCTACTATAGTGAAGCGACCGTGGGGGTCACCACGTGATACAAACCAAACCGGCTTTTTGCCCATAACTCTCCAGGGAAGCATTTTTATCCTACTTCGTGGGGGGTGATTCGGAATCAGCGTCCAAAAATACACCCATTTAGATCAATCTCATAGGGCCTTTTCACAAGAATTTTCTTAAAATTTGGGCGAGTGATTTAGTACATAGTAGGTGGTACATGGTAGGAGCGCACCCCAACCCCACATGATCATGACCGGGTTAAAATGGTCCCTGGCGTGATTATATTATATCTGCGAAAACCCGTCTCGGATCTCCATCAAGTGTGACTTTCGCCCGATACACTAAATGAAATGACAATGAAGGTCACGACGTGATACAAATACAAAAGCGGCTTACGTGATGCGCTTCTTTCAAGATCGTCGGCGCGCGTCTTGATAGATTATAAACCAGTACAAGTATCAAAAATAAAAATAGAATTTGATGACATCTTCACGATTCGCCATTGAAATTATACGTACATTTATGATTTAACAAAGCGCATCTAACCCTTTTCATGCGCGGCGCTCTTTTCGGACTTTTTGCATGAATTGAATAGGCAACCGTTGATTCACGATATCAATCTTTTGCGGCCGAGGGCTCAATGAGGCATTTCGCCGATCTATAAACGGCCCAGTAGTACATATATGCATCGCGCAACAAAAAAAACCATAATATCAAATATAAAGCGTTCGAGATTAGGAAGCTAAATAACAAATAAATAATTATATCATATTATATTGACATACTTACTTGATACTTGATACAGATAAGGTCTCCTCAATCATTCGAGTGGCCTGCACCAAGGAATTGCCGCTTATGTCGTATCATCTCTCTCCAGTGCTTTCGGTTTCCTGCCAACTCTCGGACCTTATCAAATACAATGTCTGGATCTCCTGTGAATGTTACTGCGTCTTCTAGGACACAGGTTCGCCAATTCTTTTTTGGCCGCCCACGTGATCTTCGGCCGTGAGCAGGTGTCCAATCAAATAGATACTTTGGTAGCCTGGTGTCCGGCATTCTAGAAACATGTCCAAACCAGCGAAGACGGTTGGCACTGATGTAGGTTATAACCGGGTTTATTCTTGCCCGCTCCAACACTTGAACATTGCTCGTCCGGTGGAACCACTTAATTCGAAGGATTCTCCTCAAACAGTTTTGATGAAAAACTTCGAAGCGATGTAGTTGCTTTGAAGTAGTGTTCCAGACTTCGCTTCCATAAAGTAATATTGTTAGAACCGCTGCAACATATATCCGTATTTTGGTGTTAGTTTGGATATTGCGATTCTTCCAAATATTACCGAGCTGATTGAATGCTCCTGAGGCTTTCTGGATCCGTGCAGACAACTCCCGGTCAATAGTCCCATCACTTGATATAATCGACCCAAGGTAAGTGAAGTTGCTGACTTGCTGGATAGCCGTGTCTCCTACTGTAATGTCCACTGTTGATGCTTCAGTATATGGCCTCTGTGATGTATTCTTGCCGATGGCCATAACCTCTGTTTTCTTCGCATTGATTCTGAGGCCAGCCTGAGCCGCATACTTGCATAAAAGATCAGTCGTCTCCTGGAGACCGTCCTTGGTGTTGTCCATGATAGCCAAATCATCTGCATAGTCAGTATCCAGGACGACTGTATCCTGACCAGAGCTGGTGGTAGCTCTCTGCAGCACTGCCCCGTGTGACAACACTTTGTTATCCTCAGCCCGCTGCGCAGGCAGGTTGATGCAAACATTAAAGATAGGTGGACCCTGAATATCCCCCTGCCCAGAACCAGATGTAACGTCAAACCACTCAGAGAGCTCGCCATTATGTCTGACAGCGCTGACGGTGCCGCAAAAGAATGCTTGCATTATGCGAATTTATTTACAAGGCAAGCCATAATGACTGAAAGCTTTCCAGATAAACTCCCGATTAAGTGAATCGAATGCCGCTTTAAAGTCAACAAAATTTATGTAAAGGGGGAGATTAAACTCAATGCTGTTGTGAATAATAGTACGGAGCGAATAAATCTGATCTATGAAAGACCTGTTTTTCCTGAACCCGCACTGATTCTCTCGGAGCAGTTCTTCAAGCCCCGCATTCATCCGTCGCAACACTATTATCTGATAGAGTTTTGATGCCGTGGAGCGTAGGGTAATGCCCCTGTTGTTCGAGCAGTATGATGTATCACCCTTTTTCGGGACAATAACAATGATACCCTTAACCCAATCCTCTGGCACATTCTCTGTCTCCCATACACGTGCAAACAGTTTCTCAAGCCTGTCTAAAAGACCAGGAGCCCCATACTTCAGCTGTTCGTTGGAAATTTCATCAATTCCAGGGCTCTTGTGATTCTTCAGACTCTTTAAAGCTTCAGAGATCTCTGTTCTGCTAGGGGGTATATCACTATCACTCAGATACGGAAAACATTGTGCGACCTCTAGACTGTCTAGGTCTGAAAGGTCCACGTCTCCTATCTGCAGGTTTAGTAGTTCAGCGAAGTGCTCACCCCATCGTTTTCGTTGAGCAGCGGGGTCAGAAATCAACTTCTCGGTTTTATCTCTGACAGCAGTTGACTTCCGACTTTTCTTGCCTGACAAGGACTTGATCATCTGCCAGACCTCCCTCTGCTGACCGTGTGAAGAAGCTGTTTCCAGATCGGCTGCAACCCGTAAAGCCCAGTTCTCATCGTCCTTCTTGCAGCTCTTCTTAACACGCTTATTAGCAAGAGAATACTCAGATCTATTGAATCCATCACTTGGGCATTTCTGCTTGACCTTACTCCGCTCCGTGATGAGATCCTTTGTCTCTTGTGACAAGTGCTGCTTCTTCCTCCGGCGCGGGCGTTGACCCAAAACCTCCAAAGAAACCTCCCTGATGCCCTCCTTGACCAACTCCCACTCTCCATCCAGACTCTCTTCCACCGGCAGACCACTGAATCGGTTATGCAGTGCGATGCAATACTCCTGCACCTTAGATTGGTCACGCAGAAGCTCGATAGCTGGTGCTTTTCTATGTGACCCTTGTATCTTTTGATTCCCATCAGTTTGATCCTCATAGGACTCTTGACCAAGTAGTGATCAGAGCCTATGTCTGCACCTCTATAAGTTCGAACATCAAGAAGAGAGTGACTCCACTTGGTAGAGATACAAACATGATCTATCTGATTGACAGTACGGCCATTGGGAGACCTCCAGGTGCCTTTATGGATGTCCTTGTGTTGAAACAATGTTCCCCCAACTGTCAACTGATACATGGCACAGAAATCCAACAGTCGAAGTCCGTTATTACTTGACGTCTCATGTAAGGACTCTCCTCCAATTACCCCAGACCAAGATGAGTTGTCGCGACCAATCTTCAATCTTGGCGTTGAAGTCACCAAGAAGAATCTTCACGTCGTGACTAGGTAGGCTGTCGAATGATCCACCCAACTGCTGATAAAAATCGTCCCTTAACGCTATCCTGCGCATCCTCCGTAGGAGCATAGGCCACCACAACAGAAATATTGATGTGCCGACTATGTAGTCTAGCTGCTAGGATACGCTCCGACATAGGGGTGTAAGAGATAAGCGAATTCTTGACGGTTTTTGACAAAACCAACCCAACACCCTGCCTCCTATGCCCATCCGATCTCCCTGAATAAATGAACAATGACCCATTATCCAGCATTTCCTCACCAGTATGTGTTTCCGTAAGACCCAAAACATCCAACTTGTACTTAGAAACATTCTGTGACAATTCATAAAGCTTCGATGTGCTGCTTTCCAGAGACAGAACATTCCACGTCCCCAAGTTAAGTCTGTTTTTTATAAAATTGGAAGGGGATGATCTCCCTTTTTCGGCGTTCACGTTGGTGATGTGTGAACTAATAACACTGTGGCAATAAGGTGACCTCTTCGTTCTCATCTGCGTCCTGGGGTCCTTGCAGCTTTGCCCAGACCGCTTCATACTGGAATCACCATTCCTTGCATTCCGAGAATCACTCCTATCACGGTTTTCCTTGTTGTTTCTGTAGCGTTGTTATTTGAGGTGGAAGGGATGCTGGCCCTTCGCACCCGATGAACCGCATGCAGTCCTAACGAGACAGATGTCCCGGTTATATTTTTCGACCTGTACTGGTCTAGAGCCGCAGTGTTCTGTTACCGTTGACAAAGCTAGCTATAATTTTTTTGAAGGATAATTGTTTATTTTTGATATGTAAATTTTGTTCAGTGCCGCGCCGTCGGAGTAATTTATTTATTTTCCCTAAATTTTAAGTTTAAATATTTGCACTTCAACTTTGAAGAACTCCGATGTCCGATGCGCCGCGCACATTATCGATCATGCTTGCTTCGCTACGAATGTGGCAAAGCAAGCACGACTGTAGTAGTAAAGCTAACAAGAATTGCGCCCGTTGTTTCGTTGTCAGTTGTGGGGGACGCTAGATTTCCATTCACTTCAACTACAATACAAGCTCTAATCAACTGATCACTTCATAATATGAACATTATGTTTTAAATAGGGAAACACTTGTGATTGAATTCAATTGCCGCAGAACTTAATTTGTATTTGTAATTCAAGAAATTGTAAGCAAAAATTGAACTATACTCATGTTTTACAATTTTACACATCAGTACACTATACTACGCATGTCACATACAAATTGGGCGTATATTGCCTAATACTAGGAGGTGCACGATAAAAATAAACTTGCTCGGATTTTAAAAATTTTTGTACCACTGTTTTCTAGAGATTGTGAGAATTTCCCCAATACCAAATTTGTCATACCTTTTTGGAAAGATCAGTGAGTTTCGCCTAGGTGCCATATTTGATGGTGCGCGGCTTTTGGAGCAAAAGTAGCTGTAAAAGTCGCGTAATTTGACCCAAATTCGTCTAAATTTGACCATTTTTGTCGTATTATTCGGATTTATCTTCAGTTCCTTAAATGAGATCATTCTGGAAATTGGCGACGACCTTCCAATAGGGCTTTCACAACTGTCCGAAAAATTTGGTGGATATCGGAGTTGATATAGTAATCAAAATGGGGCAAAATACGCTACTTTTAGCTGTAACATAATGTCTGATGGTTGGATATGCTTTAAATTTTTCGGACACTTTCCTTGTAAGTTTTTAAGTAAGCCTACCAATTTTTGTTGCAATTGGAGGTCGGGAAGGATACTCAATATCTATTTGTTTGAAGAAAATTGTGCTGGCCGAAATTAGCGCTAAAAAACCATCCTACAGTCGGCACGCGCGGCTCACTGTCGATGGCGCACTACCTACTAATACATTATAAAATACACTCGCGCCGCGCATACACTGTCTACAGGATAATATATATACATTACATCTTCGCAATTAGCTACCCTTGCGCGCCATACGCGCGTGTAGTTGACTAACGAAAGGAAGGCCGTAATGACAACATATTCAGACCCCCCTACCGCTATCTCCAAAATCCACGTTTTTCTGCAAAAACGACCATTCGTAACCCTTCACTTTTGCCTTTTTATAAAAGAGTGTGAACGGAAAAAATTGTAGCGCGATGGACTACTGGGCCACGCTGCGCATCCAATAATGCTTCTCGCAACCACATATTCGCTAGATCGGCGATATGCACCACTGGGCCTGATTGCCGAGCTGTGAAGGATTGACATCGTGAATCGCTAAAAAATTAACGTATTTTAAATAAATACATGGAAAGAGCATTTTTTGATGTAAGAGTGTTTCACGCTCCTGCTCCAACCAACGCCGCTAAACCAATTCCTATGATGTATTTGGCTCACGAGACTGAGAAGAAAAGACCATATAATGCAAGGGTCCTAGAAGTGGAAAAAGCTACCTTTACACCTTTAGTTTTCTCCACAACAGGAGGCATGGGAGTCGAAGCGCAACGCTTGATTTAATTTTAAAGCTCGCACAAAAGATGGAATCTCCAACGGGTCAGCGTTATTCAGACTCAGTTACATATTTTAGAAAGCGCTTGCGCTTTGAGGTATTAAAGACAACGGTTATTTCGATAAGGGGGGACAGAGGGCCCAAGTTGCGATATAAACCAGACAATATTGAAGATTTAGATTTAAATATTGAGCCCTTTGGCTAGAGAATACTTTCTTGCATATTTTCGATAGTTTTTAATATTGGTAATATTAATGAATTGTAATTGATTGATATGTAATATTTAGGCCCGTGGCCAGTTTTCACAAAGATTTAATGTTGTTCATTCATTGTGTAAATTTGTATGTAATTGATCGATTTAAAAGATTTAAATAAATACAATTTCTTTTAACTTAAATTATTTTAGGATTATACCATTTTACTTGATTGTGTATCATACTATTGTATCAGTACTGTACTATTATACTATAATGAATAGTTTTCCACTATTGTGTCTCTGTATCCTTGGCGCAATATGATAATTGAAGTGTTGGTCGCACAGATGTAGCTGCGGCTTTGTTTAAATTCCTTTGCAACAGTACTCAAGATTTCTGTGTCTCTACTCTCTGAATGAATTGCGTCTTGTATAACCTCCACTTTTGCATGACAAGGTATGGTTGATGTTGGTTGGTTCTTCCACCGACACTTCAAGGAATTTTACAGTTCTCTTCTTCTACAACTGCATGTATTGTATAGTAGTAGTGTTTTGTAAACAATACATAGTACTTAAATGTACTTAGTTTGTACAGCCGTGCTACCAATCTTAGTATGTATTATGCCCAGACTAGGTTAATTTATGGCTCTCAGCCGCTGCCAGTGTCTCTTTGGTTTACTCAGCCGAATGATCGGAGAATGATTCGTACAGCCGTGCCACCAATCTTAGTATGTATTATGCCCAGACTAGGTTAATTTATGGCTCTCAGCCGCTGCCAGTGTCTCTTTGGTTTACTCAGCCGAATGATCGGAGAATGATTCGTACAGCCGTGCCACCAATCTTAGTATGTATTATGCCCAGACTAGGTTAATTTATGGCTCTCAGCCGCTGCCAGTGTCTCCATACTCAGCCGACTGATCGGAGAACCAGGATTGAGAACTGGACCTGCCCAAAGGACCACAAAACTTTTTAGTGTACTTCTTCAGTACATGTTCATTATACATTGTAGTTTGTGTATATATTTGATAGTTTAAAGTTCAGAAGTAAAGTAAAATCATTAGTGGCGTAACAAAAGGCCCGGAGGAGTGGGGGGGGGGGGGGGGGGCTAACAGGCAATTTTACGCTACCGAAAGTAATTAAGTGTTATTTGCTCTGCCAATTGCATCACTTGATTTAATTGAATGTATATATTGTTTTGAATGATCTTTTTACGTACATTGTACGGGGGGGGGGGGGGGGGGGGGGGGGGGGGGGGGGATCAGGTACCAAGTGCCGGACATCACGTCGACTAAGTGTAGTTTTGGATATTTTTCACTAGACCCACCTACCCCCTTTGCGGTACTAACTGTTTTTTTGGACAATACGTAAGACACCCACCCCTTTTGCCGCCTTTTGCGGTACTAACTGTCGAAAAATCGTGGTACTAACTGTTTTTAGGTATATAGAATAAGATACCCACCCATAAATTGCTTTAAACAGCTCATTAAACATTGGAAATGGGAAAATTATACCCACTATTTTGTAGGGGTTTTGTTTTCAATGTAGTCGAATTAGATAAAACGTTACACAGAAAATTTTAAAATTACAAAAAACCCAAAAAAAACTCACAAAAAAAAATTTGAGTACCATGTACTAACTGTGTTTTTGGGAGAAAAAATGACCCACCCACCAACGTCATGTCCGGTACTAAGTGTATGATCCCCCCGCATTGTAGTGTACTACATAGTCAAGGCTCAACTAGGATCCCATCTCACTGTCCTCTTGCTGTGCGTCAAACCGTCGTTTGAATGTGGGGCAATTTTGTAAAACTTAACTGAGGTACTATCAAAACTGCGCATTTTGCTCTAGAAACACACTTTTTTTAGAGATTTTACCGGCTTAAATAACTTAAAATGTCCAATTTTACGCTTCTACTTTAAGAGAGGAGGGGGCACTTTTTCAGCGGGGTGCCAACAGGCAACGTTACGCCACTAGTTAAGTAAAACAAAAGGCAGCGTTATCGAGTATGCAGCAGTGTTTTATATTAACTGTACTGCAGAGTCGCGATCCAAGAGATTCAATCTCTCCTCCAGGGTTCTCTATTTTTTGAGGTTCACCCTTTTTGTCGATTTCATCTTTGCCCGTGATGTTAAAATGAATGAACTCTGTTTGTCTTTGTTGACAAATAAGTGCCACTCCTCAGTCCTCCAGGATCTCTTTAACTAATATAAGTCGTTTTGAGAGTTTTTTAGGAATCAAAAATCGCAGGGGCTGCAGTCAGTAGGAGGGTCCTCTACCAAAACACCCTGGTCCTTTGAAAACGTCCATCCTTCCCCACAAGCTACTTCTGTTGACCATATCTTAAATTTATATTACTAGGGAGTAGCTAAGGATCCATTGAATCTATGCGATCCCCTTGGTCGACTCAGCCGAATGATAGGAAACTTAATTGAGGGTTAAATGAGGAGGGGTACCTGTTAAAAGTTCAAGAAACTTCTATACTATAACTATTAACTATTAATTATTATGTAAACAGTAAAAGACTGATCTGCTGCAGTCAACTTATCGCAGCAATACCATTTAAAATTTTAATTAATTAATATTGGTTACAGATAGGAAGAAGCCAATGAATATGTAATATTGTTTTTTCCACTCTGTCAAACCATCCAGCCCTGTGAACTGGAGGGTAAGTAATTCATGATTATTTTTTATTGTCTTGTTAAATTTATTGTTATAAGTAAATGTTTCGTTTTGTTTCGTTTCGTTACCTTGAAATCTGTAATAATTATTAGTTTAAACCCTATGTAGTTTTGCATTCAACTTTGAGCTTCCTTCCTAATAACAGTGTGTTGCAGTTTGTGTTGGAAAGGGTGATGTAAAGGGCAGTACGAACATTACAGAGACTGCAATGTGGTTGGCATGGTACAGAGAATCACTGGCTCCTGATAACCATGATGCTCTCAGGCTAAAGGAGGCAAAACTTCCCAAGATAACTGGTTCCTCTCCGCAACTTCACAAACGAAGGTTTGTAAAATTCATGTTTAACATTGTTCTGTTTTTGTCTCATTTTGGTGATGTTGAAATGACTAATTGGCCACTCTTCATCTCCTCATACTTCATTAGTTCATTTTTGCCCTCATCGGTTAAAAATTGAGCCAAAACAGTGAAATTTGGGCTGCGGAAAGCTGAAATCTGAAAATGTCCTACCGGTAGCGGTAGGACATTTTCATAATTTTCCTTTCATTAATCTTTTCTTCGGATATTCGGCTTCTAGTACCTCGATGGTGACTTCTGTCACTCACACTGACCTCACTGATTGGTCTCTGGTAAAAATTCAGCTAAAACTGTGAAATTTTGGTCAAGGAAACGGCAGAAAAGCTTCCATTCAAAAATCTGCCAAAACGTTTCTTTCTATTCTTCAGATGATTTTCCGTTTATCAAAGCTTTCTTTGATAATCAAACTTTCAGTACCTTAATTGTTTGCTGTGCCATCCACAGTGAACTCATTATTGTTAATTGAAGAAAAGTTGAGTCAAAACAGTGAAATGTGGGCTGGGCGGCGGAAAGCTTAAATCTGAAAATGTTCTACCGGAAGGACATTTTCATAATTTTCCTTTCATAAAATTTTTCTCCGGATATTTGGCTATCAATACCTCCCATACCTGGATGGTGACTTTCGTCACTCACATTGACATCACTGATTGGTCGTTGGTAAAATATTTGGTACTGGAAAATTCATGTTTTGGTTATGTTGCAATGACTAATTGTCCACTGACCAAGGTCCGCTTGCACTCCACATCTTTACATCTCTTTATACTTCATAGTTTATTACTTCAGTTTTGTCCAACTGTAAAATTCGCGGAAATTGAAATTTCATATTTGGTCCCATTCCACGGGAATTTAATTTTATCTCATTTCATACTACCTTTTAATCTCTAAACTGGGAGTTCTCTGAATTAAATATGAAGGTATAAAAGGTGAGGCTGTTCTCTAACAGGAAGTAAGCTGTACATATTGGTACAGTTAATCTATTAATAGCAACCATTTCCTGAAACTAACAGTCTAACTTGATCCAGGTACCTAGTCGACTGGGTGGCAACTATTTGCGAGCGCTGTGACATAGCTTCAGAGACTCTTCATCTGGCGATCACATGTCTAGACCACTTCATGGATAAATACAGTATAGAGGACGCTCAATTACATCTCATAGCACTCTGCTGTCTTCTTATTGCTGGTAGTTATTAAATTTAGCATTTTAGAAAGTATTCAATGAAGAAATTGATTGGCTCGGTGATCTGTAATTCTTCAGTTTTTTAAGTTCTGCAGTCTTACTGTTTGAAACTATTGAGTCATCAACTTCTCTTCTGGGAACCCCTTCAAGGACATCGTCGAAGGGGAAGACCACATCTCACATACATTGACATCCTTCGGAAGGACACGGGGCTTGACGACAGCAAAGAGATTAACAAACTCATGCTGGATAGACAGATTTGGAAGAAGACTATTTCTGTTCGGACGCTGAAGCCGCCCTAAGTCGAGTCGAGTGTTTGAATCTTAGAATTTATGTAACTGACCAAAAGTTTGTGATTACCATTTATTTTAAAACTACAGCCCCCTTTCTGCAGCTAAGTTTGAAGAATGCGACGTAAAGATTCCTCGAATACAAACTCTCAACTACTTTGTACAGAACGCATTCCTTACCAATGAGTTCCGGCAAATGGAACTGCTCCTGCTGGAATTCTTCTGTTGGAATCTCGTCTTGCCTACTTCTGGTAATTTTAATATCGTTTTGTAAACATAAAGAACACCTGAGTATGATTTCTATCAAATGTCGGTGGATATAATTTTATAGGCCCTAAAACTTCCAAAAAAAGTATTTTTTCTAGAAGAAATTTATTGGAATAAAATTCTTCTTTTGGGCTTATATTTCCCTGACGAATATCCTTACAAGCATTGTTTGATAGTTGAATCCTTTACTAGGAAGGTTTATTCAAGTTTTAGATTTATCAGGGAATACATCTAAAACTTGAAACAAAAAATATAGTATTGCGTTAGAAGTTACGCTCAGTAAAATTACTCCCGTGTCCCAGTAAAAACGGGTGCTAATATTAATTAAAATTTCCTACACTTACAATTGACAATAGAGTTATTTAACCGCTGCCGCCGCCATGGGCGTGTGGCTTAGCAGTTAGCTCTGGCTGGACCCTGTACCCCTATGGCCGCGTCGTTGCCGGTGGGCAGTAGTGTTGGAAAAGAATAAAATTAACTTGTTAATCGAATATTATTGATTAATATATTTTATGACGATGAATTATGAATTTCGATTAATTTACATTTATTTGGTCTCCTATTATTAAACTGCAGAAGCTGGTTGCCTCAACACCGTAGTATGACTGAATGGTCCAGCCGTGATTAGTAAAAAGGAAACAAAATATAACCTATAATTTATAACCTGATAACCATCAACTGAATAATCGTTTAAATTAATAAGTATTAAAACACAAACCATCATGTGCCGTTTAGCAGTAGGGTGTGGCTCACTAGGACCACTGGGCCAATCGGCGAAAAGGGGTTCGGAAAAGCCATTATTGGCACTCGAATACTTGATCTTGTCGATGGTGCACTGGGCCTTTTGAGCTGCCATCCTTCAGCTTTTATCGATTGAAATTGTTATTAATCCAAGTTGAGGCAATCAGACGACGCGCGGCTTTTTATTTATGGTTATCTATGGTTATTTATGATATGTTCAATCTGTAATAAAGATCAAAATTCAAATTTGTATTTTTTTTAAACGATCTTAATCAGATATTATGTTTCAGCTCACTATATTGAGTATTACAAGATGGCAGCTCTGAGCAGAGATGATAATCTGAACGGAGAAAAGGTACGTGTTTTTTGCAGCTTTATCGGGTCAAATCGTCTCCCAAAATGAAGCGTTATGTTATAACGAATAAACGCTGCTTGTCATACATTAAAACGAGTAAAACTACCGTAAAAACGCGTTCCCCATCTTTTTTAGCGACTTGAAATTGTCTAACGAATTTTACTAAACTGATATCGTATATTGAATCTTTATATTAATCTTGTTCTAGGTGACGGTTAACATGGAGGCGAAGATCATGAAATACATAGCAAAATACTGCAAATATTTTCTAGACATTTCGCTCCAAGGTTTGTTATGAAATAAGATCACGTCCTTAATGTTCTGTTGTCATGGTAACTAATACTCTAAACTGATTTGCTCTATATCATGACTTGCTCTATTACGTTGAGTTTCTCAGTCTCGCAGCAACACAGCACATTAACTATTGATGCTAACGTAACTCATATTTCAGATTTCGCGTTTTCGCAGTTAGCACCATCATTGGTCGCTGCAGGAGCCATCGCCTCTTCAAGGCACTGTTTAGGGCTGATTCCATCCTGGACCCCTCAATTGCGTGAGGTGACTGGATTTACAGTATCACAAGTGCAGCCAGTCGCTCTAGCTCTTATCAGGTAATCCACTGAAAGAAGTGATTTATCTTATGATTCTATTCCATGTTGGGTTTATTGAAATATCGCTTCGGACAAAATTCACTCATGCTATGTAGCAGTGTTAATATTGTAAACAACAGCATCGTAAATATCGTTGTTTTGAAATTTGGCGCGTCGATAGACTAAATGTAACGCGCAAATATAGTGTTACTATGTCACTACGGTTGTGGCAAGTATTGCTTGGGAATTTGCGCACGCGCGCGATATATGTTCCGGCCGTGCGCGCGCGCGTGTGGACTACTTAATTTGATTTATTTCAACAGCCCGCTTCAACGGGGGTTCTCGAAATAGAGTCTAATTTTGTAGACCTCCCGTAACAAGTGTTAAATTAGTAAGCCAGAATTCGGCCCTTCTATGCCTTCAACAAATATGTCATAAATATTGAATTTGAATTCTTTGTGTGTACTATCATTAACTCTAATCCCTAGTGTGTACTATCATTATAGAGCGAGGGATGCCGAGGCCGAGAATGTGGAGGTCCCCTCTGATATGATGTCCAAGATTCAGACCTCTGCAGATGGTCCAGAACAGTCAGTCTTAGCCTGACCGGTGAGCCTTTGCTCCTTCAATTGTGATTATTAGTAATGTACATAATGTGGAATTCTGTCTCTTACAATTACAATGTACAGTACATTGTAATTGTAAGAGACAGAATTCCACACTATCCAAGAAACAAAACCAATAAAAATTTTGTTACATGTTTTTGACCCTGTGCTTGATTAAATTTTCGGCACGATCCCACACTCCACCCTTACGTCCTTTTACCTTACTAAAATATTCCACGCAACACTCTATTAACACAATTGATATACGAGACTGGAGTATTATCACAAGGATAGTTATTTATAAATGTATTGTTGTAATAGGACAATGTTGCTTTCACGCCGGTGGGTGTTTGTTATTTTTTTGTTGTTTTCGTTTCCAGAATTTGGGTTGACATTTCGCAAAAAAGCGTGATTTGAGATTAATCATTCCTGGGTTTTTGTAAAATATTGCGTGTAAATTCAGATGCTTATTTTTTCTAGATGTGTAAAATACTATAGGCTGTCTAAAAATGGGCTGGAAAGTTCAGTATTTCCATTGATCGTCGTCACTATTTGTTAATTTCTGTACTCTAAAATCATCATGCTATGATTGTTACTTTTGTTAGGCTTTTCCTTCTGGTCTTGAAAATGATGGCGATCTTTTTGATCCTAAAAAGGGCCATTTAACTCTTCAATAGAGACTTGATGTTTCAGTGATGTCGAACTAGATGGTGTGTTTAATGTTTTGAACTTACCCCCTCTAGCTCTCGTAGTGACGACGAAGAATGTAGATACTGCGCTTTAAGATCTTTAGATATTAAATATGTTAATGACAAGCTTTGATACTGGATCAACTATAAAATATGATGGAGTAGGATTAGATCTGAAACCTTATCGGTGATGATTCAAATGGTTATAATAGTGAGAGACAGAGAATGGCAAATTATGACTATTTGACTGGCTCAGCGCAGAAAAATACCGATGGATTGAAGCTGAAAGTTTCGACTTCGAAGATTTGCGTTAGGGATCGTTCACATATTACGTAATCAATATTTTAGCAATTTTTACCCCCCTCCCCCCTTCCGTAATCAACCGTAATCAAGACCCAACCCCCCCCCCCTCCTGATAGCAATATTACGTAATCATGGACCTGAACCCCCCCGCACCCCCCCCCCCCCCCCCCCCCCCCCCCCCCCCCCCCCCCCCCCCCCCCCCCCCCCCCCCCCCCCCCCCCCCCCCCCCCCCCCCCCCCCCCCCCCCCCCCCCCCCCCCCCCCCTTGACTTTTTTCCTAGAAAACACTTTTCTCTACGTTTCATGCTACCCTGATCATGCTATCATGATGAGCCGAAATCATTGTTATGATATCCGGCCAGGCACCTTCTAAACTACTTACTATTATAGCCGGATATTCGATCAATTTCTAAATTTTATCACTATCAGAGTGAAATTGAGTGGAATTTGAATTAAAATATTGTCAAATTATTATTATTCTAGAGGGTAAAAAACAAAATTTTTATTACGTAATCAACGACCGAAACCCCCCTCCCCCCCCCCCCCGTAATCAACCGTAAGCATTTGGAAACCCCCCCTCCCCCCTCAGCTGATTACATAATATGTGAACGACCCCTTACCATTGAAACTTTTCAAATATAAGGCAAATAAAGTTAAATAGTTGGAGACAACTTTTTCAAGTTTTGAAAGCTATTCAGCATTCGGTGAAAGTAGCTTTTTTGTTTATTTGATATTATACCTTATTAATAATCACAGTGTCGGGATGAGATGCAAGTTTTAAAAAGTGGCGCCTAAAGATGCATGCTTTGTGTTCCATTGATACTATCAAAGCCGGACATAGAGAATCCTCTTGTATGACTATGAGAAGATTTATAAAAACCGTTGAGTGTTTAGGGAGAGTTCACATAATTCGTCAGCATTCTTGGGAACAAAGTTCGAAAAGTTTTCCGTAATCTTAACATAATTTTTAGTAGTAAATCTTTCAAAGTACGAAATATCTTTTTAAAAAGAGCATCCTAGGCACCTTATAGATAATTTTTAACCACGTAAAAATTACTGGAGTCTGAAAATTGCCAATTATTTGATATTGCTGACGTAATATGTGGATAATTCTTGTTGCAGTGTGGTATATTCGTTATGCTTATGTAATGTTATATGCTAAATAAACTTGTGAAATAACTTATATTTATGAGATTAAATTTGTTCTTTGTTTTGTTAAAAAGAATAGGGGCCGTTGACAAATTACGTATGACTTATGCCTTCTAGTCCTCGAGGTGATATATGGGGTAATAAGAAACGCCCTCGGTTACATTATCAATTATATTTTGTAGGTTTACAACCTACCAGGACGCGCGCAGAGTTGGACTCGTCGACGGTCCTAATATATGGAACAGATATTTTACGAGTATCACCCGTTAAATTATCAATTATATTATGCTTTGCGTGCGTAACCACAAAACTATAAATCTTTTTCGGGAATGGAAAATTATCCTCTCAGGATAGGTTTATAACGAGCGTGCTAAATCACTGACACTCTACAGTCGATCTTCGAGATTGTTCTAAAAGGGCCTCCGACAGTTGAAACCAACTTCATTCGATGTACCCCCCCCCCCCCCCCCCCCCCATGACATAGTTTTAAAATGCTCCCCTGACGAGATATTGGCGAAAAACTGTCTCGATCACGTGATAATGATATGATTGACGGATGTTACTCGTCTAAATTTCTTCGAAGTAGCGCGTGCCGCTTTCTTCTCGAAATCGTAGCCCGATGGCACGAGCTACGAAGTAGCGCGCGCCGGGCCAGATCATTAACAATAGTCAATGATATGACCCCCCTGTATCGTAGAAACTCTATCATAGTGAAACGACCGTGGGGATCACGACGTGATACAACATACAAGGATCCCCCGCTCCTAAATTTTAAGAAAATTCTTGTGAAAAGGCCCTTAGGGTGTTGGGTATGAAATTGATCTATATCGGTGTATTTTTGAACGCTGATTCCGAATCACCCCGCCCAAGGCCCCATATATGACGTAAAGTAAAAATGCTTCCCTGGCGAGAGTTATGGGCAAAAAACCGTTTTGGTCACGTGACAGGCTAGTAAAACATGAATTAGATTATTTAGGGCTCAGGTTAAGGTTGTGGTAAGGGCTATGATCAATACCTTTGGGGTTAATTCATAATTGACGATGTCAATTCATCGCAGCTCGGCGCGGCACAGTAGCGCATCTCGCCGATCTAGCGAGAGAAGCCTCATTGAGTGCGCGGCGCAGTAACGCATCGCGAGCTACAACTTTGGGGTTATGCTTAGGTTAACGGGTGATACTCGTAAAATATCTGAGTCCAACTCGGCGCGCGTCCTGGTAGGTTGTAAACCTACAATGCTTAGGGATGGGGTTGGGATTAGGGTTTATGTAAAACTGTTTTTACGGCTGCAAAACCATAAAAAGCAAATTCATGTGAAATTTTTGGGCGAGCGAATTAGTAAGAGCCGGTGTCCCTATGTATGATGTACGTAGCTAGTACCCGTTCGTTAAGCATATTATTGCCATATTATATGCTTTTGATCATTGATCGCTGTTCAAATATAACGATGAATTACTGTATACTTATACTGTAATATGTACTAACTGACTACTGGATCGCATCAAATAATGCTTAGCTCTCCACTACACGAAAATTTATACGCCATATATATATATTAATACCAAATTTATGCAAACTTATTTGTGCTAATTGTCCATTGTTAATGGATTATAAACCCGTCGCGCACTTGTATCACGTCGTGACTTACTGGGCGGCGCTCAGCCTGTAATTCCGCCGAATCTTTATTTTATGTTTATGAACATAATAGCCTGGGGTCCCCAGGTAAGTCGTGACACCCACGGTCGTTTCACTATAGTAGAGTTTCTACGATACATGTGGAGCCGCGCACTCGTGCGCGGCGGGTCATACAACGTATGGCAATACAAATTGGGATGATGATTAATCACTCTACACTCGACTGTCACGTAACTTTTTCAACCCGTTCTCTCATCTCTAGCTGGTCCTGAACGATTATTTGGAACCCTAACCCTCTAATCTGATCCAAACCCTAACCCTAACCCAATCCTTAACAAAAACATATGCTGAAACCTTAACCCTAACGAGAAATTAGACAAACTTCCTTAAACGGTCATATCACGTGATCGAGACAGTTTTTCGTCAATTTCTCGTCAGGGAAGCATTTTAACCCTATTTAAGGGGGGGGGGGGGGGGTGATTTGGAATGAGCGTTCGAAAATACATCGATTGAGGTTGGTTTCAACTGTCGGGGGCCCTTTTAAAACAATCTCGAAGATCGACTGTAGAGTGATTTAGCACGCTCGTGAAAATCGAGCGCTACATAAAAATTATTGTTTTCTTGGAAGTTTCGTAGATACAATTAATGTTGGTGGGGAAATATTTATTATATATTTGTTCACATATTGCGATGATATTTTGTAGACATATGTGATGATGTGATGTCATAAATTTTACTTTACTTTACTTTTACAATGTATTATACAACATAAAAATCATTTGGGTAATGATGATGAAAATCTAAATATTATAGGCTAGATGTAGTAAGAGTGTAACTAAAGTGAAGAATCTTCAGTCCTCTTTTCTTCCGGTACATAGTCATAAGAACTTCCGGTACATAGTCATAAGAACTTCCGGTACATAGTCATAAGAACAGATTTTCATCTCTCCTGAAATCTGTTGGTGACTATCCAGTTCTTGCTGACGTTCTGATATCACATCTGCTGTGGGCTGACGATCTTGTCCTTCTTGCTCTAACTCCCAAGGCCTTGCAAGTCAATATCAACATTCTATTTGATTTCTGTAACTCCATGGGCCTTCAAGTAAATATTAAGAAAACCAAGATTGTAATATTCAGCCCTAGCATCTTCCACCTAGATAACTCAGCACGCTCAGACATAGGGGTATCTAGTTACTCTGTTTGTAGAGGGTATCTTTGGACATCATACTGCGTGGCCAGCTGATAATTGGTATGCCCTCTGCTCCTATACCCCCTCCTAGAACTCGAAAAGAAGAACTCGATAGAAGAACTCGAAAAGAAGAACTTGTTAGAAGAACTCAAATAGAAGAATATATCAAATCGGAAAGACTGAAATCAGATAAGGTAGAAGAAAACCCTGTCACTGCCAAATCGGATTTATGTGGAATCCCCACCCTTTCTCAGATCTTGAATGACATCCGTAATGGTCAAGATGCAGAATCAGAAAATGCTGAAGGCAAATGGTTATGTGGGAAGTGTTCGAAAGTCCTTAAGGGGAAGGATAAGGCTATTGGTTGTGAAGGTATGTGTTCCAGATGGTTCCATGATCGATGTGTGCTAAGTGAAGAGGAACAACTTAAGTTTTTTGAGGACCAGTCAACAGAACCATGGCATTGCAAAGAATGTGTACACAGACTTCAAGAATCTATAAGATGGGGCAAGATGATAGGGGAAGAGGAGATAGGAGCAAAACTTGATGAAGTATATACAGAGATGATAACTTGGCGCAGCAATTTATTTGAAGTTCCAAGATGCAGAGCCGGGAAAGACTACATTGAGGAGGTGGCTAGGATTCTCAGTGAGTTTACGTATAACACAAAATAGAAACCCTTTTCCTTAAAGCTTGTCCATGTGTTCATGCCTTTGATGCTCCAGCGCCCAACACCAAAATCGAAACCCAAGCAGAACACCAAATATCTAAAGGAAAGGCTTAAGTTGTGGGCAGACGGTGAAATTGATGCAATTATGAAACAATGCCGTCAAATTCAGGCTCATCTGGACAAAAAGAAAAAAGACAGGGTCATGAATCATAAGAAAGCTTTCTGCAGATTGATGCTACAAGGGCGAGTCCAGAAAGCCTTTAAGTACATCAATGATGAAGAAAAACTTAGCAGTGGTGTACATAATCTTACACAAGCAGTCATTGATGAGCTAAAGAAAAAGCACCCAGAAGCTAGCCCTGAACATCCGGAGGTCATGCTAGAGGTCAAATCAGAGCTTCCTGATCAAGTAATTTATGAAAGTATTGATGCTGACCTGATTCAGAAAGTGGCAAAAGATCTAGATGGGGCAGGAGGTCCAACAAAGATAAGTGCCCATATTTTCAAGCATATGATATGCTCAAGATTCCACAGCACTGAATCAGATAAGCTTGCCCAGACAGTAGCTGATCTGACTAAAAAGCTCTGCACAGAACAAACTCCATCTAGCTACCTAAAAGAGTTTGTTGCAGGAAGACTTATACCCCTTGACAAAGAGCCTGGCTCTATAGTTCCTGCCATAAGACCTATAGGAATTGGAGAAGTCCTTCGAAGAATCGTTGCCAAAGCAGTCACAAGAATACTCAAGTTGGACATCCAAATGGCTGCTGGGAGTCTTCAAACATGTTCAGGGACAGAGTCGGGCATAGAAGCTGCTATTCTTTTTTTTTTTTATCTAGACACTTATTTTACTTCGGTGTATTCCAACAGCCACAATGTTACACAAGTGCAACCAGCCAATTACAGGAAGCCGAAGGATCTTTTTGGCCAGTGACGGTTAAGGTAGTGTGTACCATACTTTCTTCGTCCGAGACTTTGCTGCAATGTGCAGCTCCTCATTTAACCCTCACACCCGATTTCTCGAGTATTCGGCTGAGTAGACCAGGGGGCTGCATAGACCACTCATTATCCTTAGCTGAACGTCGACGACGCTCACCCCACGACCAGGCAGTCAGTGGGTTTCGAACTCGCAACCTAACGATTGTAAGACAGGCGTTCTAACCAACTGCGCTACCTGGCCACGGAATGAAAGCAGTTTTTGAGGACGAAGACTGCGAAGCAGTGTTGTTGATCGATGCCAAGAATGCTTTTAACTCCCTCAATAGAAAGGTAGCACTAAACAACATAAGAGAACTGTGTCCATCTCTTCATTGCTTCCTCCAAAACTGTTATCAAGATTCAACAGATCTATACATAGTGGATGAAAAGGGACAGCTTGAAATCATCAAGGCGACCCAGCAGCCATGGCTAAATATGCAATATCAATAAGACCATTAATGGATGACATCACCAGAAACCAAGACCATGTGTTACCCTTAGCAAAACAAGCCTGGTTTGCAGATGATGGAACAGCAGGGGGAAAACTTCTTCAGCTTAAGAAGCTCTGGGACACCTTACAACAGTTAGGACCAAAGTATGGTTATTTCCCAAATGCTACAAAGACTGTGTTAATAGTCAAGGACCTAGTAAATCTTCCTGCAGCTAATGCTATCTTCAAAGACTCAGGGGTTCACATAAAGAGGGATGGAGACAGACACCTTGGGGCTGTTATTGGATCAGAAAACTACAGAGACCTTTATGTGAAAAATAAAGTTTCATCCTGGATTGAAGATGTTAAACAACTGGCTGCGATTGCCAAAGAAGAACCTCAAATAGCATATTCTGCTTACACTAAAGGGTTGAGTCATAGATGGTCTTTTGTTCAAAGAACAATTGGAGGGATATCAGAGCTGTTTAGACCCCTCGAAGAAGCAATTAGAACAATACTTCTTCCTTCTATATTCAATCGCCCAGTAACAGACCTAGAGAGAGACATGGTTGCACTACCTCTTAGACACGGTGGCTTAGGAATTCAAAATCCTGTTCATACAGCAGACAGAGAATACGAGGCGTCACAGAAAATCACAAAACCTCTGGCTAATCTTATCTATAACCAAGATCATGATCTAGGCAAACTTGACCTCAAAGCTATTGCAAACACCAAAGCAGCACTGAAAGCTGAAAAAGAAAAAGATTTTGCAGCAGAGAGACTCAGAATAGAAAACGCAATAAGTTCTCCAGCAAAGAAAAGATCGTTTTCACTGGCTACACAAAAAGGCAGTTCATCCTGGCTGTCAGCCCTCCCAATGCAGTCTTATGGTTACTGCTTGAACAAGAAGGACTTTAGAGATGGTATATGTTTATTGTTTGCGATATGGCTGGCCTATACAAGATATTGCTAAACACTGTGCGTGTGGAGAAAGAAACTCTGTCGATCATGCCCTTTCTTGTAAAAAAGGAGGGTATGTTTCCTTTAGACATACAGTGCTTGTAGAAACCGAAGCAGATCTACTACGTGAGGCTAAATGTAGAAACGTTTATACTGAGCCAGCTCTCTTACCAACGTCTCCAGAACTTCATCCCAAAGGAACTACTACTGACAGCGGAGCAAGGCTAGATATTGTTGCAACTGGATTATATGGCAGGAATGCCAGGACTTTCATGGATGTAAGAATAACACACCCAAATGCACCATCAAACCTTAATGTTCCCCTGGACAAGTTGTACAAGAGAAATGAGGAAGAAAAAAAAACTAAGTATAACTCACGAGTCATCAACACTGAAAGAGCGTCTTTCATTCCTCTAGTGTTTTCTACAGCAGGGACTACAGCACCAGAATGTGACAGATTTCACGAGAAGCTTTTATTCAAATTAAATAATTACGGAATTAGGGGCAACGCACTGAATTTGATAAAAAGTTACCTGTCAAACCGGAGCCAATATGTTCACGTCTTAAATGAAAACTCCGATAAACTTCCTGTTGAGTGGGGAGTTCCCCAAGGCTCTGTTCTTGGTCCCTTACTATTCCTCCTGTATATAAATGACCTATGCAACGTATCTAATAAAGGCAAGTTTATCTTATTTGCTGACGACACTAACCTATTCGTTTCTGCAGACTCGAAAAAAGACGTTTATAATGTAGCTAACGATATTCTTTCGTCTATTTCTAGATACATGAAATGTAATCTACTACATATTAACGCTAAGAAGAGCTGTTATATGTATTTCTCCCCAAACAAACGTGTAAATGAATCATCTACATGCAGTACACCCGATGATTTAAATCTCTCCATAGACGGCTCCATAATAATACGTGTTAAAACAACTAAGTTCCTAGGTGTGCTGATTGATGATAAACTGAACTGGAAACCTCACATCGAATCACTAAATAAGAAACTAAGAAGTGCTTGTGGACGTATTTACCGCATAAAAAACTGTCTACCTATAAAACTGCACAAGCAGATATACCACACACTATTTGAATCACACCTTACGTTCGCCATCTCAGTATGGGGTGGTGTCTCTAACCAAGTTATCAACCCTGTATTCTTAACACAGAAGAGATGTATCAGAATAATTTTTGGAGATGCAAACTCATACCAAAACAAATTCAAAACATGTGCTCGTTCTAGACCTATTCAATGTAAAATACTGGGTAAATGAGTCTAATGAGTCTAATGTTAATAACTCTGTTAATCCACGTATTAAACCATCTGCAAAGTGTGTCCGCTCTAAATCGGTTGTTCATAATAAACTTGTTAGACCCTTATGTTGTCAAAAACTAGGAGCTGAATTCTATTCCAAGGAATCAACCAAACCATTATAATTATTTAACAGTCATAAACTCCTTACTGTTCATAATCTTTACAAACTTCGTACTATAACTGAACTTTTTAAAATAGTGAAATATAGGGTACCCATATCTCTCTACTCTTTACTTAACATGTCTGAACTGAGGGATGACCGTCTAATACCACCAAAGCCAAGCCATAACTTTATTTATAAATCTTCTTGGCTTTGGAATCAATTCAAGGACTCCAATCCACAGAATAAACCTGACTTTGTGAACACATCCTGTAACTCAATCAAATCAAGGCTAAACCGATCTCTTCTAGATGCCCAAAGCAGGTTCGATAATGAGTGGCATAATGACAACTTTAACAGTTTTGGACCATGCTAGATTATTGATAAAAACGTGGAATTTATGTAAACAAATACTTAATTACTTAAATATTGCCGTTTCCGTACGGCGCTATACGTAATATATGTTAAAAGCGCGCCGCAGCTACTCCCTACCTCAACATTTGCGCGGGTTTCTTAAGCGCGCACGTACGTTTATTCTTGGCCATTAATCAGACCCATGACATAACGCTATAGGTGGCAGTGACTGTAATTTTCTTCAACAATTACTGAATTATCCATCCATAAAGTGATTTACAAAATGACACCTAAACCTCGTGTTTCGGTGTTCACTTAAACGGTACTTGGCGGCTGAACTGTGGTGTCTGACGTTTGCAGCTAGATCGGACTCTGCATGATATTGTATTAGCAAATTTGTATAGTGTATAATTGTTTAGTGTTTATAATACTCTGCAACCTGGTAGCACGGCTGACACAAAAACAAAATGTTGGCCTGACTTGTGCATAACCAAGTAAATAACACGCACTCCGATAAAAGCCGTCTGGAGAAACTCCGCAAAATGTTCATTGTAGTCAACGGGCACAAAGAAGCACTACTAGCAATTGTGTCCTTTACCCTCCTACATAATTTGAACATTTTTGTGGCTAACTCATTGAACAACATCTGAATTAAAATGTGTCTAGTATTAAAAGATTCAGTAAGTAATTTTTTCATGTACGCTGTACACTGTAGTTAGTAAATCACATCAAACTTTTTCGACCGGCCGCGCGCTGAACCAGTGTTGCACTAGGTAAAAATTGTGTATATTTTGTTCATTTTTGAGTGTAAATTAATTTATTAATTTATCACAAATTATTTTATTATGATATAACCACTTATGTGAAATGGTTATTTTGACTTTAAATATTTGAACTAAATATGAATTGATTGTGGGTATAAAATAAAATTTGTTTTACTAAAAAAAAAAAAAAATTTGTTTTACTTCACAAACGTCTTGCTAGATTGATATCAAAGAAGAGAAAGGAGAGCTACACAGATGTTATCAACTACATCAGGACCAAGATATGCTTTGCTATGCTCAAAAGCATAGTGGTATCAGTTCATGGTGTGAGGAGTCAAGAAGAAAAGAAAGTAACAAAAACGGTTGCTGACACAGCATTTGGACTTATACCTAGTATGACCTCTTATGAGTGCCGTTAAATTATTAACAGGAAAATTGTCTTAATTTTGGTTGATCAAATGTTTTATATCAGATGTTGATTTCTTAAAGATAGGTGTATATTTTTGCTATTATTTCTATGAAAGGGGAGGTACAGATAAAGTACCAAACCTTATTGTGTATATTTGGTTGCAACTCCGGTAAATGATGAAACATGTCTCTTATGAGAGTGATACCGTGAGTTGCTTCCTTTTTTTCTTTTTTTTTAAAATATTATAGGCTATAATGAGCATTTTAGTAACAAATAGTGTGATAGATCTGAAATTTAAAAAATAAAAACCCTAAAAATATTTACACCCCAAGTTAAAAATATAAATACTTTATTTTAAAAAACACTATCAAATAAGGTGGTTGATCAGTCACTTGTGTCATTACGACAACGTCGTTATATGGGTAAAAAAAACGACATAAGGTAGCACGTAGGGTGAAAAGTGTTTTTAAAAACCACTCTTTGCATTCGCCAGTCACAAAAGGATGTCTCTGAATTTTTGGCCTTAGTATGATATCTGACCTTGAGTACGTAAATACTCCTGCCAAGCAACCAGAATCCGAAGTGGATTCTGGTGGTTTATATACTATTACACTGTTGTGTCTAATGATTTGTTAGGTCACTAAATATGTAGCAGACAGCTTCAACTGATGCTCTGATTCATCTAGAATAATCTTTCTAGTACGCTTATAGTCCTGTTAGTGATATCATTCCTACTACAAATATTTGATAACACGGAATTGCTTTTGTTGCAGACTCACAATTCCCTCGATTCTCAAATGAATTGACATGATCATAAAGATTGTTTATGATTTTGTATTGAGTTGATTTACATAAAATGGATGTTACAATTGTTTGGAATGGTTACTTGAATATTTTTTCGATTTGAGAGGATGATTCTATTAAATGTTTGTCTTCTATCTTTCCAGTTTTTATTCATAATGACTTGTATATTCAATTGAAATCCTCCATGACACACCCTAACATCAATTTTTCCATTAACTGTATGCAGATAACAGCACTTTTTCAGGAGTCAAGCATTCAGTGCTTGTTAATGAGTAGTTCATCAAAAAATGTGGTGCCAATACAGCCAAGTTGTAAACCAACACGCAACATTCTACCTATGGGATTTAATGGGACTATTGTTTCGACATCAATTGGTAAAAATCAAAATTTAGCCTCTGGCAGTTCAGGTGTAACACCATCAGGAAACGTTTGTATTGTGCTGAATTTAGTTCCTTTACCAGCAAGCCCATCTACAGCTAGAAGACCCAGACTTCTTCCTCGTCCCCCTAGGCCAGTAGGCAGTTTCACTAATAATTCTGTATATAGTCAACAACTTTCCAGAGCTAGTAAGAAACCAATGAATGGACAACAACCTGATATAGATTCCTCTAAACCCCATGTTTGTGAAGAGTGTGGCAAAGGATTCTCAAGAAAATCTGATCTAAAACGACACACATCCACTCACAGTGGTGAAAGACCTTACACATGCATGCAGTGTGATTTCAAGACTAGTAGAAAAGATTTCTTAAAAGTTCATGAGAGAAAAAAGCATGATTCAGAGTTTGTGAAGCCTATCTTATGTTCCAATTGTGGGAAACGATTTGCACTCAATTCTCAGTTGAAAATTCACATGCGAGTTCACAGTGGGGATCATCCATTTGCTTGTACTGAATGTAATTATACTACAACTCAGAAAGGTAATTTGAAAACTCATATTCTATCCAAGCATCCACATTTAGATTTAGGGTTTTGCTTGCAGGGTCTTGCTGATGAAAATGACATGCAACCAGACAAAATTCACTCTTGCAACATTTGTAGTAAAAGTTTTTCTCGAAAGTCGGATTTAAAAAGACATGAGGCTACTCATAGTGGTGAGCGACCTTTTAGCTGTGATCAGTGTGATTTCAAAACTGGAAGGAAAGACTTTCTGAAACATCATCAGCAAACCAAGCACCAATCAGACTTTGTAAAACCCATATCCTGCTCCTCCTGTGGAAAGCGATTTTCACTAAATTCTCAGCTTAAGATCCATATGAGGATACATACAGGTGAGCATCCTTTTGAATGTGACCTATGTGACTATACAACTACACAAAAAGGTAATCTCAAAACTCATATGAGATTGAAGCATCCATCCGTGCAGTCAGATGTGATCAAAGCAAAACCATATGAGTGCTCAACTTGCAGTAAACGCTTTTTGAATAAAGCAAGCCTCAAAGCGCACATAGTTGTTCATACTGGACAGTGGCCATATGCGTGCAGCATGTGTCCAAATAAATATAAATATGCAGAATCCCTCAAAAGGCATGAAAAAGTAAATCATTCTGAACTCCTTCCTGAAGCTTTGAAACCTCATTCATGTGATGTGTGCAACAAGCGGTTCTACAGTGCCAGTAAATTGAACGTTCATAAAATGGTTCACAGTGGTGAGCAACCCTTCTGTTGTGATCGGTGTGATTTCAAAACTGCATGGAAACGAAGTCTTACAAAACACCAGCATGTTAAGCATGGAATACCAGACAACAGTGGACATGTTAGTCAGATCGCTATGAACAGACATGTCAGGGAGATGGTGCCTAGTTTAAGCGATCTTACTCCAAGTTTACAAATGCACATGGCACCAACTATGCATCATATGCCCCAGTCAATACCAAGTATGAGGGATTTGTCATCAAATTTGCGTGACATAACGACAAATATCAACCCCATGCGAGATCATATCATGACTTCTAATCAGATACCTAACATGAGAGATCTGACATCTAACATGAATGGCTGTGATGCTCTTCATGTCCCAATACCCCATCCTCATGATTATAATAGATTGTTTTTTCACATGAATCCGATGGGTCCTAACTTAGGTCATGCTATGATGGAAAAGAAATAGCGCACTAAATTATTTTTTCATAATATGTTAAAAGCAATTTTAAATTTTGAATGTGTGACATAATTTGTTATCGAGTGTTGGGCTATAAATTATGGTTTTATAATTTTTGATTGGCAAAATTAATATTTGAGCAGCAGTACCGAATGCAAACAGTAAACTCTTGCAACTTATCAATTTTATATGTATTAATTTTACTGTATTCTACTTTAGAATAATTTGATGAGTGAAATTTTAAGTTTGCTTTTTTACTCACACAGTTAAGATCTTGATAATGATGTATCATGATATGTTTAATGGTTGACTACTAAAACGACTTTGATTACTATGAAGTATATTATAACTTGGCATCAATTATAAAATGATTTGCTGTTTTCAGTTTTATGATTTCATCATCTCCTGGCATCTTTTGTCCATAACTTAATTAGAATAGTTGCAGTCTCTGAGTAGCGTATTTATGTGCCTACTTTCTCCCCTTTTTTATCTAAGTGTTAGAAGTAACATGAGTTGCTATGTATCGAACAAATTATAATGTAATTTAGTTTAGTATTGTAGCATAAATAAAGTAGCATGAGCATTATTTAGTAATAGCATTGCTAGCATTATTCATTAATGATTTTGTTAATTTCCTTAGAAGATTTATTACGGTTGTAGTGTATCATATCAAAATCACTCTGATTTCATAATACTATCGTTTTTCATTGTATCCAGGTTACAATTATTGAACTTTCCAGCATCAAGATAATCATTGAACTGGATAAGACGATTCAAATTCTCTACTGTCTAATATGATTGAGCAATGTTATGTTCTCTATGTAATGTTCTTTGCTCTAGGTTGTATGTTTAATGATGCTGACATTTAAGTATGAAATTAAATACACCTGATTTATATTCAGCATGACAAACCATACGTTTGATCCGTCTACACTTTTCTGCCCTGTTTGGTGCTGGAAGGGATGTCATCTGGACTGCTAACGGAGAGGTTTGTATGTTGGTGGGTGACTGAGTGTGTGTGTGTCTAATTTTGTTTCATACTTTGTCAGCCTTGTTTAGTACGAGAAAGGAACTCAGTAAGAGTTGTGTTCAATAGCTGAGTAGCTCTGTCCTGACAAGGTGACACCAAAGCTAAAATACCTACATTTGCTGGTTTTGGTTCAACACAAGCATGCTGCCCTGAAATGTGTTTCTCTACTTTTACATAGGTTAGTCATCTTCAATTTTGTTGTCGCAGACATGAAAAATGACCATATCATGATCCCAACCGTCTGAAAACTGATTTGTGCATATGGGTAAAAAATTCAGTAGCGATTCCATGGATAGAAATTTGGATCTTTATACAGTTCAATGTAAATTTTGATTTTGCCCGACCGTGATAATTATTGTTGTTCAACATGTCAAATAAAACGACAGATATTAAAATGCAAGGCAATTAATGATAAATTGCAATTTTACGAATTGTTAAGGGCAAACTAAGACATGTTAGTTTACACAGTACACGCACCACATGTCTTCTGGCAGTACTCCTCAGCAATGTAGTCCCCTTCTTTGCACCATTCAACGTGGCAGGCTGGATGAGTATCTTTGCAGCCAGGCTCAGGGGGTGAAGTTTTTCATCGTCGGATCGTAGAAGTACTTCAACAGTACACGCACCACATGTCTTCTGGCAGTACTCCTCAGCAATGTAGTCCCCTTCTTTGCACCATTCAACGTGGCAGGCTGGATGAGTATCTTTGCAGCCAGGCTCAGGGGGTGAAGGTTTGTCATCGTCGGATCGTAGAAGTACTTCAACAGTACACGCACCACATGTCTTCTGGCAGTACTCCTCAGCAATGTAGTCCCCTTCTTTGCACCATTCAACGTGGCAGGCTGGATGAGTATCTTTGCAGCCAGGCTCAGGGGGTGAAAGTTTTTCATCGTCGGATCGTAGAAGTACTTCAACAGTACACGCACCACATGTCTTCTGGCAGTACTCCTCAGCAATGTAGTCCCCTTCTTTGCACCATTCAACGTGGCAGGCTGGATGAGTATCTTTGCAGCCAGGAGTGGACTCCTCAGCCATAGTAGCTCCGACAAGGAATAGGACGAAGAAGATCTTCATTTTGTCTGTAAGTTTGTGTTGGTCTGTAATGATACCTCATGATCTAGCTCGGCCCTTAAATAATATGTTCCCTGATCCAGTCAGATGGACTACTAATCAAGCAATTCTCACTGAAGAACAATGCAAGGGTGTTAGGTCCATTGACGTCTACTGGGTTTTATTCCTTAAACCACATTAACACAATACTTAATATGTTTCCATTGCATTATGATATGCTAATAGTATGACTAATATTTCGAACTAAGGGGTTGTAAAGTTAAAATAGAATTTCCCCGCTGTAGTAACTGTGTCTTCACTAAAAAAAGACGCACAGAAACAGCTGTCAGCCGTGTCAAATTGGTTTACAGCAGTTCTATAATTTAATTTAGAGTAGCTGAGTATAATAAGAAGGCTCCTTTCAAATGGAGGTAGTATTTACAGCCAATATAACACTATTTTCTAACTACAACTTTACACCACCCATGCAAAAAAAGTCTCAATTTGGGTCCCCCGGGAATCGGGATATTAAATTTTAAAAGCGATGCTAATCATTCTTCAATTTGATGTTAGCATAATTGAACTGGTGTTAAGTTCGATGTTATAGTAAAGATGTTCACCGATTTTGGCTGAATTTCACATATTATCGTAAGTAAAAGTATAAACAAGAACCCGAAGAGTGGCGTTATACATTACCAGATGTACTTGCCAAATGTATCATCTACTCACGTCTGCACAAGGATCATGGTTCATCTTTTAACAGTTAAAATAATAATATTCAAACCTAATTAAACATTTGGTAATAAATTACTACTTAAATGCGTGCTGATAAATTGCCCAATTTATCAACACACATATAAGAGTAAAAGAATACCTTATCACTGCTAATCGAGTAATTTTGACAAGTGATTATTAACAAACTTATAACTTACCGATCTTTATCATATGCACAGCAGTCTTGAAAATGAAGTTGGGAGAACCGTATACTTTTAATTTCTTGGTCTTGAAATACTCCACGTTGTCTCGGTTATTCACCATGGACTCTGTCAACTTCACTCCGTTAATGAGGACTTCGTAGTGATGCTCTGTGACTTGTATGAGGATTGTCATATCTAGATCATCTTCCAGATCCATCGGGAAACGACAATACGTTCTATTCCAAACATCATTGTACTTGCTCGAGAGTGTTATGTAATCTAACTCCCCTTTGTAAGTTTCTTCTGTCTCATTAAACCTTAGTTGGAAATGGAACAGCCGATTATTTGCTAAATCAGACAGCTTCATCGTTGCTTTTTCATTACTGGAGGGATTTTCACTAGTTTCTTTGTCCCTACTGGAGGGTGCACTCCTATAAACTCCGGTGAACAGGAAGACTGTTCCCACATGAACAGGGAATATTGACTGTGTCATGTCAATCAGCAATGGGACTTTCAGAAAACGTGCTGATTCTCCCAGACCAATAAACGCACATAATACAACTGATAGTAACATTGGTGTCACAGATTTATGCTTAGCAAAACAACATACCAATACTAAAACCATCGGGCCGAAATTTGGTGGTGCTATTATGAAATAATTCCTTAAATACATAGTTCAGTACTTTTGTTTGCTAGTTCAGTACGAGGGTTCTTATAATTAAAACACACCGTGCCTGGCAATTTATTGCCATCTTATCATCATTAGATGACGCTCTCCCTTTCATTATCCGTCTCCGTGGTAATAAACTGTCCAGGAATCATTGTTGTTAGTCCCGTGATGATTAACAACAGTGCTGCCGCGGGGATATAATTAACACTTAATTAGAGCTGGTACAGGTGGATGTGGACCTTGTCTTATCTTTAGTCGCGAGTTAGGGACATCAGCCAGTAGACTCTATTCTTAGAGCAAACTGTTCGATTAACGAAATGAAACGACCTCGTACAACAATTTTTTTCTTCTTCGTCATATTGTTATAATATATTATGTAAGTATATTTCTGTATAATTAATATAATATTGTGTATGTTTTTAAAGACTTGACAATGAAATTTCTTCAGACTTAAAATATCGTATTATTGTTTATAATTGTGCAATCCTGAAGTACAAAAATGAATTGAACAATCACTAATGCTATGAAGTTATCATAATTTATACCATTACATCTAATACATATAAGTAATATGTAATCAAAGAAATGACATATTCTAACTGTTCATTTTTTGACAAAAAAACCCAACTATAGATGAACAAGAATCTCTACAATATTCACATCCTTGGGGTGGGTTTTATGTTCGTATTCTCTGCGTTCATAACTGCCTCCTTCATTGAATCTATTGTCTTTAAAGACTTCGACAAGAATGGGATCGGAGGCAAAACAGGTAATCTTCTCACTCCTGTCTGATTTTGTTTTTATCACTGAAACTTGAAGTTTATAATCTGAAGTTAGGTGGACCCTGAGGTTAAGAATTCACAATCTCCTCAATTCTAATCTGTTTATGAAAACACAAATTCGCCATAAGTCCATCCTCAATCAGCTATTATTGCTTATCATTCAAGTCAAAATGATTGACAATTAATATAATTTTTAATTACTCACTATGCAGGGTTTTACAGCTTGGCTATTATCTACGTCTGTCTTGGTCTAGCTAACTGGTTTTCTCCTGCAATCGTCAACAAACTCGGTTTGTCATCATTAACTTCACTTCTAACTACTTATTTTACACATATTTGGTTATAATATTATCATTCCTCCAAATTCTATCTTGCTGATATCTCAAGAACACATTTATACTCCTATCCCCACCGTTTGCAATGTAATTATTGTGTTTTGTATCTAAGTATCCCTGAATCATCTTGAGATCCACTCACTTCAGGTTGTAAGATGTCTCTGTTCCTGTCTGCTGTACCATACACCGGGTTTATATTCTCCATGATAAACCCCTACCTTTGGTCTGTCTACACGTTTTCTGCCCTACTGGGTGCTGGAGGGGGTGTCATCTGGACTGCTAATGGAGAGGTTAGTTTCGTTGATTTTTGTTTGTTAAACTTCATAAACATATTATGGTTAGTTGTATTTAGAGGTCAATAAATATTCTTCCGACAGTTTTCTATAGTCCGAGATTAATACTATAATTTGAATGGATAAAATATATAAAGCTAGATTTCATGCATAGAGCGGTATATAATGCACTTTCAACAACCCACCAAATGACCACACAGATGATCTTCTTTTCAGGTGATAGCAAAGAACTCACCAGGTGACACCAAGGCTAAAAACACCGGAATTTTCTGGTCTTGGTTCAACTCAAGCATGTTGTTGGGAAACATCTTTCTCTACTTTTACCTAGGTTAGAAAACGTTAATTCCTGTAAAAATTGTACACGTTTGGTGAAAAAATGATGCTAGTTAACATTCCTTCAAGCGTTTAGAAAATTATAACGAAAAGTACTGAATGCTTTATAAATTTAACGTTTGGGGCACAATTGAATACAAATGTTATCACCAGGAAACTCTGAGAAGATAAGTGATGCTCAACGTCACGTGATATACCTGGTGCTAGGAGTGTTCTGTGCTATTGGAATGTGTTGTTTCCTCTTGTTAGCTCCCTCTGGAACTGAGGTTAGCATCTCATTTCACTAACTTTGATATGATCACATGTTTTACATATTTGCATAAACAATTTTAACTTCTTTAACAATGTCTTGTTTGCTGTGAAGTTCAACAATCATGAACCGTATTTTCCTCAAAGTCAGAAGTCGAAGAGGAGGCAGAAGACGAGTTGGTCGTAGAGTCACAATCCATCCTTCGTCCGATAATTGATGCTGTCAAATTCTGCAAAACATGGCAAATGGGATTCCTGTACGGACCCATCATTTTCACAGGTTAGTTTTCTGAGAAATGGTAAATCTATGGATTTAACAAATAGTACAATTACTGATTGTTCAACAATGAACATGTATAAGAAGGTTTCTAGGGAACACCTGGGCCCCCTCTCTTCTTAGTAAAACTTTCTTACTTAGCTGCAATTTTGAGAATGGCTTTATTTTCAACCTATGTTTTAGTTACCAATAAATTTCCCAAGGAGTGTCTCTTAATTTCTGGAGTTCGGTGTTTATCACAGTTATTGGCAATGTGTTTCCCAATCGTAGTTACCTTGCACTGGGTGGAATCTGCACTGGAATCGGGGAAATCAGCGCTGGGTATGACATTTATTACAATCTTTTGTTATAACAATTTTATCAATTTTGTCAATGTACATAAGTACATAGTAGCTCAGACACTTGACCTGCCAAAGTGTAAAGGTTCAATTATGATGAGGAAAAATGAAATGGCTTTACTGTCCAATCGTCATCTCGCTACATTGCGAAATTTCTCAAATAACTTTAAACATACGCGAATAAAGCTTTGCATTTCTATACTTGTTACAGTTCTTATCACACAATTTTTTAATTTTTGTTCTATTACAGGTTTATCTGGGGGAGATTGACGAGTAAGATAGGGAGACACGGAGTCATAATGTGCAGTACTGTTATCAACTGTTGTCTGTACTATCTCGCCTTTATCAGCTTCCCATTCGATGCAGCTACTACCACAGTCAGTCTCATTCTACTTTCAATTTTATTCACACGTAGAGGATTCACTCATCAATCCCTGAGAAATGCTGGTCCTTTTCGGAATACCGAAGTAAAGAAAGTATGACAAACATTTGATCTACTGTTTTCCCAGGCTTCAGTAGCAGAGGAAAACCCGATAATCCCTAGCAACATTTACCTGACCCTTGCTATGGGAGTTATGTTGGGCCTAGGAGATGGAGGATTCAATGTCTCTATCTACACTGCTCTAGGTTAGTATTTTTAATACTTTTCCAACTGGCTGAATATGGGCCGTGTGTTAAGTTCGAAGACTCAATAACATTCATTGCCTATTTGAGTCGTATAGCAGGTAGTTGTAGATGTATCGACTGATCCTTCACATATATAATGTGAAAACTTTACAGGTACAATATTTGAGGAGAAACCAGCGCCCGCTTTTGCAGTCTTCAAGTTCGTACAAAGCATGATAGGAGCAGCCGCGTTCCTGTATTGTGGTCACCTACTGCTACCCTTCCAACTAGGGATCCTAGCAGTGACCTGTCTTGTGGGTTGTGTGTGCTTCATCATTCTGGAGAGGTATCCGTCTCAAGTACTCCTGGTTAACGCTGAGGATGACCAGGATTAGTAGAACCAAGGGAAAAGTAAACGGGAAGTTTGGACGTTTTTAAGTTGATCTTGGATCACTGTGAACTGTGCTTGCCAGTTATGATTTCGACAGGTCAAAGAATTTGTGTTATGCAGTCCTACAAATTATTCATGATCTGAGATTCGTTGAATAGTAGTTATGTTAATTTTGTGCTTTTATTTTTCAGCTTTTATGTAAAATATTTTTTGGACTTCTGTTTTAAGGTTATATAGTATTGTAAATTGGTATGTTATGTGCTCAAATTAAAGTCTGATACAGTTGAACTGTTTTTATGGAATTGTGTTAACTAATTATTGAAGTTTTGATTTAAGACAGAACTGTTTAATTAAGCATGTAATAGTTTTGGGGCATGCTGAAAAGACTTTTTATTAGTTTGCCCTACATTAACAAAAAGAGGTCCGATATGTTTTTTTGTTTGGTGAGGTGTTTTTACTGCTGACTTCTTAATATGTAGATTTTACAATTTTTGTGTAATGATAAATAATTTATTTTGTTAGATAATTAAAATAATACTGTATTTTCTTGTCATTTTATAAACAAAAAAATCTGTGGATCTATTTCGTAAAGTAAACAGGTGTGTCTATCAAAGAAATATAATTTATCTAATTGTTAAACACTCGGCTGTACTAGATGCACAAGAACCTCTACAATATCCATATCATGGGGGTGGGCTTCATGTTCATCTTCTCCGCCACCTTTACAGCCTCCTTCATTGAGGTCATTGTCTTCAAGGACTTCAACAGGCATGGCATTGACGGCAAAACAGGTGACTTCCGTATAAAACAGAAACTTGTCCTGATTACACGTTATTAATTGAAATTGAATAAATCTGAAAAAGTATAAAATATATCGTGGTCACAATTAAGATTATGAAATACTACAAGTCTGTGGCTCGCCTTTTTACAATGAAAAATGGTAACTTCGTCACCAAGAACAAGATGGGGAAATGACCAAGAAACCTGGTCACTCCACAGTTGCCGAAAAGTAATCGGTCCGATCTCATTTAGTCAACTTAAACAATTTAGCTTGCCTGTAATTTGGTTCTAGTACACTATTCCTTTACATTCTTGATATACCTAAGTTGTTAAACATCTTTCACAAACGTTCAGAAATACTAATACTGCGCAGGGTTCTACGCTCTGTCCCTTACCTACGGTTGCTTGGGTCTAGCTAACTGGTTCGCTCCAGCTGTCGTCAATAAACTAGGTTTGTTAAAACCTGTTAAATAAATCAAATTAGAAGATATGAATCTCCTTTTTTATTTCAAGATCAACAAATTGCAATATCTGATACACTCTATCATAACCAATTATTGGTTCTATTTTCTAAGGTAAAATATACAATTTACATGTAGCACCTAGGTAAATGAGAATTATGTGTAAATGGTATAACCATCTTCCGTTCAACAGGCTGTAGAATTTCCCTTTTCCTGTCCGCAATTCCATACATTGCGATCTTGTTCTCCTTAGTAAACCCTTATCTCTGGTCTTTGTTTACTTTGACTGTTCTAGTGGGTGCTGGGGGAGGTGTTCTCTGGACTGCCAATGGAGAGGTTTGTCTGTTTGTTCATAAATATCTGTGTCTACCCGCATATTTGTGATGCTCTTACTATTGTGAAATGGTAATAAGTAATAACCATACATTCTCACAGAATACAAAGTCTTTGATTGCAGAATCTCCAATCCAACTGTTAAGGGGGCCGGGGGGGGGGTCTTCATCAAAATTCTCTCGAAATCGACTTTATAGTTGTTTCTGATAGAGGGGAGTGATATCTATCAGCTGCTTTTGGTCCCATGGAAAAATATTGTTCCTAGCCGAAATTATCGCTGGTCAAAGGTCAGCGCTTATGTGTAATTGTATTGCACGAGCGATTTTCAATCGCGCGGTCTGAAAATCGAGTCTAAAAATCTAACTTCTACATTTTTTGAGCAATCACCCTCAAACTTTCAGGATATGTTGTTTGGATCAGTAAGAAGAGAACTCTAGAGCCAGAATTTTGAGATAGGCCTTTAAAGATTTTTAATCCGATTTTGAAATTCTTGGACCTCTAAAAATTAAGGTCCAAGAATTTCAAAATCGAATTAAAAATCTTTAAAGGCCTATCTCAAAATTCTGGCTCTAGAGTTCTCTTCTTACTGATCCTAAGAACATATCCTGAAAGTTTGAGGGTGATTGCTCAAAAAATGTAGGAGGAGATAGATTTTTAGACTCGATTTTCAGAACGCGCGATTGAAAATCGCTCGCGCAATACAATTACACATAAGTGCTGACCTTTGACCAGCGATAATTTCGGCTAGGAACAATATTTTTCCATGGGACCAAAAGCAGCTGAAAGATATCACTCCCCTCTATCAGAAACAACTATAAAGTCGATTTCGAGAGAATTTTGATGAAGACCCCCCCCGGCCCCCTTAAGGCGTCGACATTGGGGAGGGGGGGGGGGGTCAACGTTTAGCTGGCTGTTGGGAGTCTAAGCTTTTTCTCTTCTGTTTAAAGGATCAAGAGCATTTGACCCACAATTTGCCTCCCGTATGATCATACCAACATCACCTTTTCCAGGTGATAGCAAAGAACTCACCAGGTGACACCAAGGCTAAAAACACCGGAATTTTCTGGTCTTGGTACTGCACTAGCATGTTGTTGGGAAACTTCTTCCTCTACTTTTACCTAGGTTAGATAACGTTGATTCCTGTAAAAATTGTACACGTTTGGAGAAAAAGGATGCTAGTTAACGATTTCTTCAAGCGTTTAGAAAATTAGAATTAAAGTTACTGACTCTTCTTGTGCATCTTAATTAATTCTAATCTAATTAATTTCCATTTTCGTATGTGTTATTCATAAACTCTTGATTTTATAGCTCTTACAAGGTTTTATCACCAGGAAACTCTGAGAAGATAAGTGATGCTCAACGTCACGTGATATATCTGGTGCTAGGAGTGTTCTGTGCTATTGGAATGTGTTGTTTCCTCTTGTTAGCTCCCTCTGGAACTCCGGTAACTCATCTTTTACTTATCCTCATATTAGCTTGCCTTGTGTATCATTTTAAACAAATAAGTTAGATTGTTTAAAATGTCCAGTCATTGATCTGTGATTTAACGTTGACATCAGCAGGTGGAAGACAAAGAGGAGTCTAGTTATGGAGTAGTGACAGAGCCACAGTCTGTTCTTCAGCCTATCATTAATGCTGCCAAATTCTGCAAAACATGGCAGATGGGCTTTCTCTACGCACCTATCATTTTTGCGGGTAATTTAAACGAATTTGTTTATTTAAGTAGGGGTTAATACTTAATATCCATACATGGTCATGATACTCCAACAAAAGTTATTATCATGCCAACTCTGTATGTCTTCAACTTAATGTCTTTCTTTATCTCTTTAAATCAAACACACTCTGAGCAGAACGGCACTACTATCTTTGGATCATTCAAAATATATCAGTTTCTCTCAGTTTCTCTCAGGGGTTTCCGAGAATTTCTGGACCTCAGTGTTTACCACTGTTATTGGAAACGTATATCCTGATAGGAGTTACATGGCACTGGGTGGAATGTGTACCGGTATAGGAGAAATCAGTGCAGGGTAGGTTGTCGGTTCCGTCTTGGGTTTCATTTGATTAATTTAAGTGGCAAAACATTTTATTGTTATAATAAAGTTTAAAACAGAGTGTTTTTTAAATATTGCTAGATGGTACTTGAAGTATCATTTCGATGATGGATGTTACAAAGAAACAGTGCAGCAATGAGATTAAATTCTCGTGTAATTGTGTTCGAATTAGCAATAAAACATTTATGATGTATAATTCGAATTCAGGTTCACATTGTTTGTCTGATTGTTCTTTGAACACGTCCTGACCACTCACCTGACGATTCGTCATTTACAATAGTTGAGTTTTCTATAGTTGAGTTTACTATAGTTGAGTTTGCTATAGTTAAGTTTACTATAGTTGAGTTTACTATAGTTGAGTTTGCTATAGTTGAGTTTGCTATAGTTGAGTTTGCTATAGTAGAGTCCATATTACAGGTTTATCTGGGGGAGATTGACGAGTAACATAGGGAGACACGGAGTAATAATGTGCAGTACTGTTATCAACTGTTGTCTGTACTATCTCGCCTTTATCAGCTTCCCATTCGATGCAGCTACTACCACAGTCAGTCTCATTTCACGTTCACCTTCACCATTTCAATAAATACTGAAATGTTATTTTCTCTACCCAGCGCCGTTGGAACAGAAATAGAGTATTATTCATTACTGAGTCAAAACGTTTTTTATAGGATACATTTAAATAAAATAAATATTGAACGTGCCGATTTCACCCAGGCTTCAATAGCAGCAGATAACCCGATAATCCCTAGCAACATTTACCTCACCATGGCGATGGGGGTTATGCTAGGTCTAGGAGACGGTGGATTCTGTGTCTCTATTTACGCTGCTCTCAGTAAGTTTATCGTGCAGAATTTTGGCGTGGAAAGATTTGTGAAATATGACCCCATACGCACCCAAAAAGAATTAAAAATATCGTCCGCAGAACCGATTGGAATGTAACCTGGCAGACATTTCAATATATTCCTTTAGAATTGCACCCTAATATGCTTGAAATTAAATTGCTATCATTTCACAGGTACCATATTTGAGGAGAACCCGGCACCAGCGTTTGGAGTTTATAATTTTGTAAAGTGCACAACAAGCGCAGTCGCGTTCCTGTATTGTGGTCACCTACTGCTACCCTTCCAACTAGGGATCCTAGCAGTGACCTGTCTTGTGGGTTGTGTGTGCTTCATCACTCTGGAGAGGTATCCGTCTCAAGTACTCCTGGTTAACGCTGAGGATTCACGCTTATGGAGGATATAACCGATTGTTGAATCATAAAGCTATGAAAATGTACTTTGATTAATGTACTTTGATTAATGTTTGGGATGTTTTTTAATTAATGGTGTTTAAGTTTATAATATGCAATTCATTAGTCTTAATTTTTTATTCGAAATCTTAGTTTAGGAACCTTTTTGTATAAACTGATCTTTGAAACTGTGTGTAAATTGAATCTTATTTTTTGATTTGATTTATATGGAATTTTATAAGTTTCCCGTCAGATAAATTTATATGAGCTATTCATGGATAATTTTTAATCTATATAAATGACGCTGCCTTTTAATTTGATTCAAATAAAAAACTTTGTGAACTATGTTTTTATAAGAAAACATAGTTCAAGAAATTTATCTTGTCATATTTAATCCAATGATAATGTTGTTTTTCCTTGGTATCAAAGAATTCTTAACCTTAACAGTAAGCATATTCATCATTAGTTTACAGTTAGCAAACTCACTTGATGGTTGTCCGAAACACTAATGTACAGAACTATATGACCGTAATTGAACAACAATAACCTCTACCAGAGGTACCCGCTTGAAGGATTACTAAACACCGTGACTATGATCTGTCTTTAACCCAATTTCAGGAGGTGCAGATACTTGACAGCAGGATAAATACTGAATCACAGGGAGCTACTCAAAGAGATTGTCAAGTGTAAATTTGCGACTTTTTCCAAAATACTCTAAACTTGGATGGTATGCAGCTAGGCCTGGCATTACCGCCGCATATTACGGGGTATATTTATTACATTTCTCCAAAATGCGGCTAGGTTGCAGAATAGCATGTACGGCATGTGTTGTGTAAATACAACTGATTTTAATCGCTCATAACAGTTACGTTTCTGTTTATCTAAAAACCGTCAAACTTATCATCGGATTTAAACCATTACATTTAATCTAGCACGATCAGTGTTCACTGTTTACTTTCGTTCTGTAAACCGTTGTATTTCAACGCTTGCGAATGTGTGCTTTCGTGAATAATGTTTAATGTCTATGTGTAGACACACCTGCATCCGTTCTACGAAGATAAGCATTAACCACTTTTTATTTTCCAATTAATAACTAAGCTGTTACAAATTTTCGCGTATGTTTTCGACTGTGGCACTTGTTTTTGGAGTTTTGTAGCAGTTCAAGCTTTGCAATTATTAAATGACTATTAGTTTAACTTCATTCCCTTATCACTACAACACCTCTTTACTAGTTAAAATATATCAAAAGAGGGTTAATGGTAAACTATTGTACAGTCGGAGGTTGTAACAACTGTGAGAGCAAAGAGACCAGTGGCAGGAGAAGCTTTCTGGTTTTTCATTCCGTCCCAACAGATCGAAAACGTTGAGCACTTTAATGTAGGTCGACGCTATTAGTTAAAAGTTAATTTCATTAATATAATTATATTTAATCTCACTAAGTTGATAAGTGCCATTACAGGAAACCAATCAATATCAAGTAATTTGAGATATATTCAATTTTCCCTATCCTTTAAGTACTAATTATGTAGTTATTGGCCAATTAAGATCATAATATAAAAACTAATTCACCCATTTCTGAATTGTGTTACAGTTTATACTGTACTGTGGTTTACAATGTAGAGTTCACATTCACTTTTCCTTTGTTTATTATAAGGTGCTTGCTTTTAGTTTAGCTTTACATGAGCATAATATCCGCATATTTTTGTCTTATCTTTGAAATTCTACCCGACTTGCAATATTAATGATATTAATTCATTAACCTGACTACGCAGTAGACAATATTGTTATGTTGCCTTTTGATTTTTTATTTGCGTTAAACTATACTGCTAATACTGCCTCAATTTGATAAACATCATTTTAAAGTAATCGCACGACGTTCACTGCAAAATAATTTGAAACACGTTTAATACGATACTTATCTTAAAACGTCTAATAACAGAATCAACTTCTGAATGGTGTTGCTACATATAATTTGATTGACTACGTTGCTTGTCATGCTTTTTATTAAAGTGTTCTAAAGTTGCTCTCTGTCTATAAATAACAACTTGCTACCTTCCCCTGTACTCCATTTTTATCACCAGATGAACGTCAACTTGTGGAATATCAATATTCTGGGAGTGGGGTTCATGCTCATCTTCTCCGCTTTCAATGCTGCTAGCTTTATGGAGAGTATTGTGTTCAAGGTGAGCTGCTTCTAATTCTAGGGTTATTATAGTGTACTTGCTTAGAGTACTTAGGTTATAATGTATTTAATGTAAATTATACAATGAAATATCAGGTTTAATACTGAGAAAGCAGACAAATTAGCCCAAATCATAGTAGTCAGTCTAACCGAGTCTAACCCGTAGTATAGGTTTTATAAAGCAGTTTTCCTGCAAATTTAGCAAGCCGACATTAGAACTATCCCTTCTTCAGGACTATGCAAAACACGGCATCACTATAGAGACAGGGTTCCACAGTCTAGCAGTTATATACGGTGTCTTGGGCTTGTCTAACTGGTTCGCTCCTGCTATCGTCAACAAACTAGGTCAGCTTTAAACTTTCACTTTCACTTTCACTTTAATTCCTGGTTCTATTTGTAGTTGTCAATTAACTACCACGACCATTACATTAAACTCAAGTTGTAATTAAACATTATTATTGACGTTTGTAATGATCAATTACATCTGACATATTGACACCAACCGATCAATAATATGTTGAAGATAAGTTTATAATCTGTTTTTAATGATTGATCAGGGATATTTCCAAATAATATTAACCCCAAATTTCAGGCAGCAAACTGTCTCTGATTTTGTCGGTGATACCAAACATTTGTTTCATTTTCTCGATGTACGAGCCTTATCAGTGGTCTATCTACCTCTGTTCAGCCCTCCTCGGAACGGGAGGTGGCATTCTGTGGACTGCTAACGGAGAGGTTTGTTCGTCCGTTTTTTCGTTTGTTTGTCTGATTTTGATATTGTTCTTGCTGTTGAGTTGGTGTCCACTTTCTGTCGTCTGCAGTTCTCTGACTTCACGAAATGACAAGGTGCACTTTAGTTGCCATGGTTACACAATTCTATAAATTGAATGGTTGGGCGATTGTTTATTGATCATTGAACATAAAAACCATTAAATAAACCATTATATTTGAATAACGAATCTTAAACAGCTAACATTACTCCTTCATACTAAAAAAGCCGATTCTAGATATTTTACCTGTATAAGAAACCCATAAAATATGGGCGTGGCCGGAGGGGACCGAAGATGGAAGAGTTGGAAGTTGAAATTTTTTTTCGTGGTCTTTGAACCTAAGGATCAACAGATAAGAACATGTAACGCATAATTATTCAAGGACATTTTGTTTTTTTGAACCGGCCTAATTGTTTAATAGCCGCGTAGAATATGTTGAGTGTTGATTATATCTGCTAGCAGCTTGACTGTTGAACAATTAATACAACACCTTTAAAATTATTCCGTTACCAGGTGATAGCGAAGAACTCACCCGGTGACACAAAACCCAGGAACACCGGTATATTCTGGTCCTGGTTCAATATGAGCGCTTTAGTGGGCAACACCTTCCTGTACTTTCAACTAGGTCCGTATGTCAGAGTTGTTACCTTTACCATGATAGTTCAATGATTAATTGATAAACATTTTCCTATGAAGTGTTTTTATTTTATTTTTAGACTTCTAATTGTGTTCTGAACGACTCACTAAAGATACCTATTACAAATAGTTATTATTATCACCTATATCATATATATTACCTATTACATAAAACCTATAAGTTACTCACTAAAGTAAACTGAACACCCAGGTAACTCAGAGACGATATCAGACGATACCAGACACACGATATACCTGGTACTAGGCGGGTTCAGTGTTGCTGGCCTTCTCTCTTTTGTACTACTGAAACCTAACGAGGTGAGAGTTACTCTGGTTACTGTCCTAAGTAACCTGGTTACTTTCCTAAGTAATCATGGTTACTGTCCTAAGTAATCATGGTTACTGTCCTAAGTAATCATGGTTACTGGTTGCGATTTATATTCACTTGAAATGTTTGTTTACATTCTGTAGTTACTGTTTAGTGCTTACCAGTGCAGCATTAACTGCAGATTTTATATTAAGCAGTCACTGATAGATTTCACATTTGTGTGCAAGTTATTTCCTGTAACTGTTCTGCCTCAATTCACTCGCAAGCTTGAACTTAGTAACTCGATATAGTAGAGTAATAAAATATACATTAATTAATCTACCACAATACATATCAATATGCAGTGTGAGTAATCTAATGTACATTACACACTAGTGGTTTGTATTCGTGTTTATTTATAGTCCCTGTACAGACTGAATATAATGTGCTGTTCATTATGCACAATGAGTATGAAATATTAATTATTGAAAAGTTGTATAATATACATATAATAGGTACTAATGCTTATTGCTTATTCTTAAATACATTTGTATTCCTGGTACTTTATAGACCCTGTACACACTGAATATGCACAATGAGTATGAACCATTGGAACTGTAATATGATATATATATATAATATATATAATAGGTACTAGTACATAGTTAATATATGCTTAATCTTAAATACACCAAATCTCAACACTCAAATTTCCAGTTTCATTAACAATTAACATAACAACAGTTAATAATAATACATAACATAATTACTCTTACCTAGATATATGTGACTTGACTATAGGTATACTATAATTTCCCTCAAACGATGACATATCATGTTCTTCAGACGCCGCTGGATGAGTGTGAGATAGACGAACAATCAGCATGGCAACCAATTAAAGACGGAATGAGATTTGCTGTTTCGCCCAACATGGGGCTGCTTTACGGAGCATTCATTTTCACTGGTGAGTAACTTTCGAATAAAACCTTCAAACGCAGTTAACATTTTCATTGCATGGTGAGTAACTTTCGAAGAAAACCTTCAAACGTAGTTAACATTTTCACAAAATTTGGCTTATTAGGAAACCTAAAATACTGACAGAGGTCAGAGAGGTATGCTGAAAGTGAAATATTTTGTCATAACTTAAAAATTCATAGGATTGTCCCTGAATTTCTGGAGTTCAGTGTACATAGTGATAATAGGAAACGTGTTCCCCAAGAGAAACTACTTAGCTCTGGCTGGTATCTGTGTCGGAATCGGTCAGGTCTCTTCTGGGTAAGTTATTTCTTTGCAGTAATATTTATCAATGTTTTAAAATGTTCTTTCCTTTTTTTTCTACATCCGTTATATTTTTATTTTGTCGTAATAGTACACAGTACGCATCTGATATATATACCGAAATCTATAAGCCCTTATATTATACCTTTCTCAACACTTGCGTAATACACTCCGGTTCTCACATGATATTACATTATAACAGCCGGCTCTATGAGGTACACACTCCTTACAAACTTCCTACCTTAATAAGTTAATAACCAGACAACTTATTGTATATTATCAGGTTTGTATGGAGCGTGCTGACCTATAAGATAGGAAGGAAAGGTGTGCTGATGTGTACCACCCTGGTTTACTGCATTGCTCTTACTCTGGTCTACCTCGCATTCCCTTCTGATGCTGCTACTACAGCGGTAAGTACACTTACACACAAATACACATACTCGTTCACAACTTTACCCTTTCACACTCACGTTACCAATAATAATCCATCACAGCAGTAAGTGAGCCCACCTAGTTTATAATATATCCCACACAGTCACACACCCCCCTAGCATATGGCCTGACGATTTATTTCATAGCATGTGACTTCATATCTCACTAATAATATGTACCTCTAAGTTATCGGTCATTAACTAGAGCATGCCCTTCCACTTATCACAATTACCATGAAACTATACTCATTACTCAGTAACCATGTTAACTAAGACATCACTGAACAGGAGGTGAGAGCACAAGGAGTCCCGATAATAGCTAGCAATATCTACCTTTCTCTGTTCATAGCTTTACTAATTGGGCTCGGTGACGGGGGTTTCAATGTTACTATCTACGCAACTCTTGGTGGGTTTTTGACACTTTCTACTTTCTTGTTGAATAATCTACTTCTAATACGACAGATGTTAGTACATATGACATAATGCACATGTTATTACCTTATTAAACTCGATATTACAGAATTAATTTGTACTAACTCAATTCAGGACAACTATGGGAAGAAACTCCAGCGCCAGCGTTTGCAGTGTTTAAGTTCGTGCAGGGGATGCTAGCTACTGTAGCATTCCTTTACTGCGGTGTTCTCCTGCTGCCTTATCAGCTACTGATACTAGCGCTCACCTGTGTTATAGGCAGTTTCTGCTTCCTGATATTGGACTACAAGTGCGCTAGACAGGCTGAGTACGAGGAGCTTCCTGATAGGCGTGATCTTGATAGACGCGATGTTTCCGGTAATAACCAGTTTTACGAGGAACTCGAGCAACCTTTGTTGCAGGGTGACGGTTAACATAAACTATTTTTGTTCAAGCGACACGCCCCATGAAAAGTGAGAAATGAAAGAAAATCAGAACATAATGAGAGATGTAAGCTATGATGATCTGAAACGCTTGAAAGCTTGCTTAGTTTTTAAGGGGAGACAGTTGTATGTAAGGTGATGGTAAACTGTAATGATTTGGCCACTTTACTTTAATTTTGTTTCTTGATAGTTGAAATATTCCTTTAAGAAGAGATTGGACGTTCCCAAAATTGCTTAATATTCCCAATATAATATAGAGGTATTCTGTTCAGAAATTTGTTTAAAACGAATTGGGTGCAATATTTTAATTCAACTATTTGATATCCGAAAAATCTCATAGTTTTAATGTTCTACTTTGTTTACTGAACACATCACGCCTAAGTTATTGTTTTTTATGAAAAATTTAAATGAATTACTAACTCGCTTTCCAGAAGAATGTTTGAAACTTCTGTATCACATTACAGTGAATATTTATATCAATGATTCGAATCTTCAATAAATCACATACTTGTCTCTCTTTTCTTTAACAGATATATTTCGTATTCAGCTTGAACATGTTGGATGAAGAATTGGACGAGTTTTTGAAAAGTTTAGATGAAGAAGTTGATGTAAGGCCTCAGAAACAGTCTCCGAAACCGAAACCAAACCAACAAATGCCTGACGATTTAGATGACATACTCAATGACCCTGCGTTTTCAACAGAACAACGGGAAACAAAAAAGCCAGCAAAACTGAAAAATGCGCGATCAAAAAAGTGTACTGTTGTTTATGTCGGTCAAAGTGAATCATCCATGGGACAAACATCGTGTCCAAATATGAGATGTATGAAATGTGATTGTGGGGTTGTTTGTTTCAATGACTTTGAGTGGGTTGGAGATATCGAGTATCTGTTCTTACGGAACAACTATCCAGATTTCGAGAGACTAGAATCTAAGCTGAAACCAATAAAGGGATCATCTGCATATGCATGCCAATGTAATTCAGTATCAGTTAAGAGACAGGGACGTATTAATAATGTGAAAAACTCACTGAAGTGGTTTTGTGGTTCTCATTAAAAGTTTGTTTATTTGAAAGATCTGATCAGATTTGCATCACTTACCACGTTACTACCGAGCACGTTATTACTAAGCACGAGGTTGAATTGTTGTTGACAACGACTGGCGAATTGCCAACATCGGTCACAGTTTTAATCGCTAAGAGGGGAGTCTCACGGAGACGCAATGCTAGTTTTTGTTGATATATTCGCGCAAAACACGTGAGTTCTTGTCATGTCATGCATTTTGTAAATAGTATTTGGTGCAATCAATGCTAGAACTGTGCTGAGTCAAAACACCGCATTTTAAAATTGTAAATAGTTAAACCAGAAGAACGTGCGAGCTGGCCTCGTTGAATTTACTCTGAAAATTGTTTCTATTTATCCTGTGTTTTATTTATTTTCATACCTACCTATTGAACCTATTGATAGGTTTAGAAGTAGGCATCTTCACGGCCATCACGCAATCTGCGGACCACCTCCTTGACTGCACCAGTCTATTATCGAGTTAGAGTTTTCTGCACTGTATCCAGGAGTAGGGGGCTTGTCTGGAAGGGTGTCTAGGAAGTTTCCAAGAGATGTCTTGAAGCTTGTCAAAGTCCTTTGAGTATTGACAATTTTGGGGAGAACATTCCAGAGTCTTCCAGCTCTCACTGCGAATGAATGGTCGTAGGTGGAGCGTGCAGCAGCTGATGCTTTTTTTGTGAGAGAAGGGAGTATAACTTTAACTCCCAGTCTGGCATTCCCTCTGAACTGTACATCTAGGTCATTTGGACATATACCCTGGAGAACTTTCCACAGATGTATGATGGTGTAGCGTTCTCGGCGTCTTTGTAGTGATGCAAGTTTCAGTTCCTTCAGTCTATTCCAATAATCGGTGTCTCTCAGCCCTAGAATTCTTCTAGTGAACTGGCGTTGTATGCTCTCGATAGACTGGATATCATAGATCTTGTTTGGATTCCAAAGCGGGCAGCAGTACTCCACTCTGGACCTTATCAGGGATTTGTAGAGCTGGAGCATAACAGGTGTTGTCCTGTCTTTGAATACTCCAAGAACCCAAGATGCCATCTGACGTGCCTTGTCAACCATGATGTTGATATGTGGTGTCCAGGAGTAATCATCGGACATGTTGACTCCTAGGTCACGCACTAATGGGCTTCTTTCTATGACTGATCCATTTGGAGTGGTGTAGTTTGTGATGTCACTCATAAATGGCAGCTCCTCTGAAAGTGATTTAGAGGCCGGTGTTCTATAGCAAACAAGTTCAAACTTGTATAATATTACTATTTTTCCAGAGTAGTTACTGAATGGGACAACTGTACTTTGTCTATCGTCAGAATGTTTAGAGTAATCTTGTCATGGTTATTAATTAAATTATTGTATTATAGTATTGATTGATTTGTAAAGATTATGATAGATTAATTGCCGATATGTCACATTAATTCTATGAAGTTATATGGATGTTTTAATTAGTTCTGACCAACAAAGATGTAAAACAAAGAAGAAAATTTGCAGATGAGATATCACAAATGTGAGAGTAATTTCGTAGCTTCACACCAGGAACTACACTGTCTCTTGTGATGGAATTTGGATGGAACTACAATTTCCGTGTAAATTTCCATGGAATGCTCGATATTTTAATGCCAATAGGGGTTATAGTTACCACATACGTACCAGCTCAATCGGACCCAGTCGTCTTACCCCAGGATACTTCTGCATGTGTGTAATTCTATTTGGAATTATCGGGAATTGGAATTATTGGATTTATCAGGAAACTCGGTGTAAGACATTTGCCTTGTAAGTTGCACGTTCTTGGTTGTCTGAAACTCAACAATCATTTGATACAACGTTGTATACCTGCTCAACGGTCCAACCAGATAGAACCTCATTTGATTTGTGTGCGACGAATTTGGCAGAATATGTGGTAGAAGTACTGGCCTGTAAACTTATTTTCCCAGCGATACAAAACAAGAATTACGTCTTATTAAATTTTTCCTAGACAATATCGGTGAACTTGAAATATTGTCAACAAATTATAGAGTGATGCCTTTGGCTAATTATATAGCAACATTCGAAGCGCACATTTAAGTTCAACATCATTAGAAGTAGTTATCGAAATTGTGTTTTAAACTTGTAGGTTTTCAAAACGTTTCAGCAGACTTTGTCGGTTCATTAACTTAATAAATCGAGTGATTATCTTCCATCCCCGAATTTCTAATAATTTTGAGAAAACAATCTCACTTAATTGCATCTTTCAGTTTAAAATTTCAATTAAACTTTGTCGGTTCATCAATTTAATAAATCGAGTGATTATCTGACATCCCTAAATGTTTAATTATTTTGAGAAAAAAAAATGCTCGCCTAATTTCATCTTTCGGTTCACACTTACAGTTACAGTTATTTACCTGGGGACCCCAGGCTATAATGTTTACAAACATACACCGAATAGAGATTCGGCGGAATTATGACAGGCTGAGCGCCGCCCAGTAAACAGTTACAATAATGTTAGCCTCAAATTTGCCTACTTTAAAAAAATAATTACCCGTTGAAGTTACGGCATAATATGTGAAACATACCTAACAATTCATACTGAAACTCAGAGCTATTACACTTACCACTGAAAGCTTTCTGATCCGCGAAAGTCAGGAATAAAAAGAAGGGAATCTCGTAACTTGTGCTCACAATGACACACAATCAGCCAACAAAACCACACAATCCCGAGAACAATAATCAGGATAAGCCTCCTTTGTTCCAACTAATGTAGCTTTTCCTGGTTTCTTGAATGATATATTGTTTGTTTGCTACATTCAGAACAGCTGTATTTTCCCTTCTTATTTAGTATTCAGATGGGGTGGATTTGTTCTCGATAGTTCTGCTCAGACGCCTTGTCCTTGTATCTGAACCATCATGTTTAGTGTTTACCTATACTACTGAAATTTAAGTAGACATCTGGGTTTGTAAATGATATACTTAAAATGAAATGCCAATTTTAGATCAGAAAATTATCTCATTTACATTTTTGCTTCGACGGTTCCTTTTCGCATGCTCTCAGCGCCATTGACAATGGCACTTAGAGCATGCAAAAAGGGCCATTGTGACCTTCTGAAGCTCATTTATTTTCAAACTCATAATTATCAACACTGACAAACTTTGCATTTATAGATTCTGATCGCTAACTCCACCGGCCACTCTCCTATCAAAACCATGACTAGACTCTATCATAAATCGTGTTTTGTCTTCTTGGTTGTACGAAACTTTAAAACACAACCAGCAATTCATTCAATGGTGGTAAAGTTTAATAAAGACAAGAGTTTTATATAAAACTCGTTCATTGTTGGCGATTGTTCCCGATTAGATTTAACAGTTTTTGTTGACCACTGTATCTCACTCTCAGATACTGTGTGCTGGTTAGTTATTTGCCGTCATGTGGTACCGATACTACGATTTTATTGGAAATTTGTTCTTTCGTTGGAATTCACGACGTAATTTCAGCAGTAGCAGAAATTAGTAGTAGCCCCCAGAGTCCCAGACCACGTGCAATACTCGAGCAATTCGATCCCAATTTACGAGAGACTGTTCAAATTGGATGTGTAATGGGATCTCATAGAGTGGCCCTCTCAAAATACTGCGTACTGTGTTAAGTTGATGAAAAAACACGTTAAACTACGGCTTATTAATTAAATATGCGCTCTCTCTGCTTTTATTTTACAACAAAAGTATTGCACAACATTTCATTATATTTAAAAACTAATCAAATAGATTGATTTCACTTGGTTGGAACTATGCTCAACTTTAAACGTAGTTTCCGTCAGTGCATCTTGATATATCCCTCATATCCCTCATATCCCTGGTCTCTGATTGGCTGGTTTGAGTCACGTGTTGTGAATACTGTGCTCTGATTGGCTGGTTTGGTGGTTTGTATCACGTGTGTGATACTTGCTGGATGGTTGTTGATTATGATGTACTTCTATATATATTTCTGCCATCTGATCAAAAGCGCTCTCAAGTCGACCTCTTCGGTATATTTACTTTGCCACCTGCCCCACATATATGTATATATGGATCCTCAAATAATACTGAATATCGCATGTTGTAGTTTGTTCAAATTTCGCTGCTCTGTTGTTTTAAAAACAAGTCTCCATTATTTGTGACAGGAGAACACTAATTGTTAATGAGTCTCACTGTGTTAACTGCTTCTAAACTAATTCTACTTAATTACTGCGTTTATATAAACAACATACCCGTCATGTAACCCTGACTGTACTGCTTTGCACTTTGCACGATAAAGAACACCATATAGCGCAAAATACGTGTTTATTTAGACCAAGTCGAGCCTAATTTGGTAATTGATCTAATTGATCTAATTGGTTGTTAAACTTTGCATACGACCCGCTACTTAATTTGAATGAACATAATGTTAATGCCAAACGATTTGCATAAACTAAATCCAATGAAACCCCTGAGGGTGTGAAGTGTCCTGAAAGGAATAACAGCAGCTGTCTAATCGCGATGGAACTACGAAATTTGATTGATGTAGTTCTGTTTTCTTGCTTCTCCTGCAATCATCACTTACTGAACCCTCAATCGCGCACTTGACAGTGCCAAGTGCGAAATGAGCTGGGGAATCGCCTCATGTCCATCACACACCTCTGATACATTACTTACTATAAAAACACTGAATTAGCGCTCCGCTTTTCATTCAGAAATTTTGTGTGTGATCTGCTATTGTAGGGACAGAATTGGTAAAATAAATCTTTGAGTTTGACCCTCTCCCACAACCCCAGAAACACACCCCAGACGGAATGTAACCATGGACATGAACATTACGGACGCAGCCCTATCACGAGCTCCCCACAGTTACCAGTACGAGGTAGCAGATGAGCTGACTCCTGGAGAGGGGGGAGACCAGCTTTACAGTTGCCATGGTCACGTTATCTCCAGCAGAGGCAAATCTGCTCTTGTTATCTTGATTCCTCTGTTCCTAGGAGCGGTTGCTTCTAATTCATGTGTAGTGTATGTCTTGCGGAGGTTTGGAGCTGTTATTGGCAAGGTTACTTGTCATTTCATCACCCTCTTTATGGTCACTGATCTTATGAAAGGTAAGAGTGTAATTCAAACTTTACATCAAAAATTGAACTATTCATGTTCTACATTAATATAAAACTGAACGTGATGTTATATAGTAAAAGTGAACCAGACTTCCTTTATTCGCAGTGTTTCTGGTGATCCTGCCGTCCATAATCAGGATATGCAACCTCGAGGTACGACACAAAATCCTTACAGTTACTTTTAACGGAAGGGTAAGCTAGGATTCAAAAATGTGTGTGCATAGGTTGATCTTTACTAGGCACAAAAGCGATCAAACAGCTCATTTTACATTTTACATGCCTCAAAAGACTATGAGTTATATGACGATAATATCTAAATTTGTTTCACTTATTCACAATGGTTCGCGCAGGTTTTATCAGGTTCCATGTGTCATGCGGGTTACTGGATAAACTTATTCCTACTCCAATCCTCCTTTATGACCCTGGGACTCTCTGCCTACGACAGAGTCATGGTTCTGAGGAAAAGTGAGAGTTATGGGCCGAACAAGAGCAGGTTGAAGAACACTCTACTCTTCAGCGTCCTTATCCCTCTTTCTTACGCCGTTTGTAAGTGAAATGTGTGAGCAAATGTTTAGTTATAGTATTAACCATGAGGAACCTGACATTCTACTCCTAACCTGTCCAGAGTTTTGCCACTTGTTTTCCTGACATGGACAAATGATTTGTGCCCGAATAAGGGACTCGTTGGAACGGGCCATGAACCTTGTTTCATGTTGAAGCAGTTGTCAAATACAGTTTCTGTCAGTGGTTCACGACGTATCAGGTGGTGAAAAACGCCTCTGACACTCTTTTTTCACAGTTGACGTAGCCTACACGAAGATATACGAAGCTAAGAACTCTGACATAGCCCACGTTTCTGAACAGAGCTCTATTTGTTACGATCAAAAGCTGGGCTGGTGCATGACCAAAGCTGCGCCTCACGAGCATGAGAAACAAAGTGACAAAGGTCAGAGCACGTGACCCCCACAAAGTTTACCCCACATTACCGTATTCTATTAGGTTGTAGGGTTTATATGTGCTGGTGCTACGGTTCCGATTTTGGTCTGAACTCTGGAGCTATTAATATTGATTAGCAATTAGGTTTGAGATCGCGGTTAACGTTGGGAGGTACAAATCGAGGAGTAAAAATTATTGCAATCATTTTATTATGAACAACAGCCCTGGCCGGCTCTGGTCCTTTTTAATTTGAGCAGTAAAGCCATTTGGTTAGCTAACTTAACTGTTTTTGTGTTTTTACGGGCATGTTTTCAACATTTGTTAGCTAAAAGTACTATACATATTTACATAATGGCTGCAGTATCTCGTTTACTGTTATGTATCAAATCAGATCGAGTGATTTCAGATTTGTCAGGTTCGAAACGATCAGGAGTATTTATCTGTCAAGCTCAAGTTATTACAGTCCTAATTCTAATCGGACAGCTTACACTGCAGGTATAGATCAAGTTTAAAGATTTAAGTTATTTCTTAAACATGACCGTAATTATATTCAAAATTGTTCACATGTTTGTCGGAATCATGTTCATCTGTAATACAACTGAACTATCCCTGATGAGTAAAAAATGCTCATAATAAACATAATACTATATTACCTTAATAATTTGATTGATTCCGTGACAGAGCGGGCATTCCAACTACAAGAAACTGTTTAATGACGAGTCCAGAGAAGGGAAATACTTCACCCTCATGTTCGGGTTAACCACGTGGTAAGTTTCAGTAAAACCAGTCTCTCTGTTCTTTAATACGACTGGTCAGATAAAAGCAGCATCTGTTTTAAGACAACATTACTGGGCGGCGCTCAGTCTGTCATTCCGCCCTGACATCATACGTTTGTTTATGAACACTAAGCTTGGGTCCCCAGGTAAATACAACATAGAAAGTTTAATAATAACACAATGGCCACCATATTTTAATATAACAACGAAGTCACAAAAGGCTTAAAGTTTTCGAGTGTAGCGTTAACCATTCAATTGTTATTAACATAGTTATTAACAATATGGGGTCCTTTCGAATATTACTCAATCACTATTCGGCTAATTTTTACCCCCTCCCCCTCCGTAGTCAGTTTTACATAACTATAGTGTCAGAATTATACTAGCGTAAATATTTAAAAACTCCCTGATCTCTCACCCTCAATAACATGTGAACGACCCCATATTGTTAATAACTGTGAGTGTCAAACAATGAAATTTATAACTCTACCTTATCTTAGGTTGTACCTGCCGTCCATGCTGGTTACCCTGATGGATACATTTACATCTACAGTCTTCCCCAACGCGTACTACGAAGAGTTCTACATATACATTTACATGTTGCAGTGAGTATAAATACTGTGTGACGTCGTGTCATGCGGTGGGAACTGTGACGTCGTGTCATGTGGTGTGAACTGTGACGTCATGTCATGTGGTGTGACTTAATGTCGGGGATGAAGACAAATAACGACTTTAAAGTATAGTTATTCATTATCTGAAGGTCCCTCAAAATTCAACAGACAACTATAATTATCATGACGATTATGTGCTACTTAAATAATTCTGCCCTACCACTAACTATTCCCCTCAGGCTGATGCCGAGTATGTGCAACGCTTACCCCCTCCTACTATCCTACAAAGAGTACATATTTCCCACTCTAGTCGCCAGTCCTGCCCACTACACCCCGGTAAAACCCGACACCTCCGCCACCGCCGACTCTACCACGGAGGATCGCCGAGAACAGATCTACAGACGACTCTCCCGTCTCCAACTGCCCACGAGAGACCTGCTCAGCTGTCACAGTAGCTCCGCCAGTAAGACTCTTACTGGCGGAACTCTTACTAAGAGTCCTGATCTCACAACTGCACGACACGACCCTGGGTCTCCGGTGAGAGGGGCCAGTAAGGCTGGGGGTAGAGATAAGGACTACTTCGATACCATGGTTCTGAGAGGGTTGGGCGGGGAAAGGGATGTTATTGCTAACCTCCAAGCTATCGAGCGGACTGACGTATAGCTCTTGGTCAGGTGTAATTGCTTGGTTTCTGATATGAAGATGGTCGGTCAAAAAATAGTGTAAATTATGGCCGTTGTGCGGTGTAATTAGAAGCGTTATGCATGGCGGGATAATCAGTCATGTTGTAGTGTATTTTATGGTGCATGGATGAGATTTCCCGAAGGGTTGACCCAGAACTAAAGCTACCCAGATTTACTATTATCTGATTTCAGAGTATTTTCTCGTGTTTCATTATTGCTTATTTAACATTATTTTGTGATCCTGTATTTGTTCGATTTGAAAATAAGCGTATTAATTTCTGGAATTTTTTATGAGGGATCACTCACATACAAAATTACTCGGTGCATTTTTGGGCACAGGCATCGCCTACGTACGCCAGTAAAATTATGAATTCTGAGCATTAAGAAGAGACACAATCCCTAACGATCATTGCATTTTTAAGCTGATAGTCCAAAATCATGGTGACATTATTTATCTTTCCAGAATACGATGCGAAGCAGAAAATGTTTCAACTATGAGCCATAAAACAGAATCCGCAAGGCATGTCACTAACCGACGCCGTCGGTCAAACGGAGGAGTTGTAAACGAATAATTGTAAGTTACATTTTATTTGAACGGTCTTTAAGATGAGTAAATTGAAAAGCATATCTTTGTTATTTCCGATATAATAGAACTGCACTTACAGTAAGGAATAAAGTTAGATCAAATACTCGAAACGGAATTAAATTTGAAATTATTAAAACTTTGCTGGCAAACAAGTCGCTTAACTTCACCACATTGACCGTGACATAAAACAGAGGTCATTTCAACTGCAAATCAGGATCAAAACAGTTTCCAATATATAAATAACAACTGGTCAACACACTTGATTTTTTAGTTTATAGTTAATACCATCAGAAGTCCTTTGTTTGCAGACTATCGAGTCACTATGTAAAGAATGATGATAGTACATGTACATAATATATAGTTGTGTTGTTAGTCACAGCATCCCGCCACCCAGCCACATCAACAAGTCTCAACTTCTCAATAAATCGTTAGTTGGTGGTTCTCTGCAGCACTGAAAGATCTTGGTATCAGTCATTTATTCTACACTTACTGAATTGAAAGTCCTCGGAAGTTTACCACCAAATATCACATTAGGAAATACAAAAAGGGTCACAAAAACAACTACAAAGAGAAGCACGGGATTGCTCACGTTTGGTCGAGCATGGCGGTGGGTGATTATCCGTGTCTACCGGAACTGTGTTCCTTACACGTTCTCTGTCTGGCTGCTCTTTCTTCACTTTCTTTGGGCGGTGATTTGCTGTACTCCTGTTAGAGAAAGAGGAGTTAAATTACTAAGTTTCTAACTCTTTCGTGTTGCATTTATATAAAATCTGAAGATTTGTTGTATATGCTTGCGATTGCATAGGACCACTGGGCTAAAGCAGATAAATAGTTCAAGTGGGAAAAATCATGCATTAAGCTTATTACGAAAATCGATGTATGTATTCGAGTACGCCGGTTAAAACAAAATTAATGATTAAATGTCTACAATTCTAAAATTTCCGTAATCATTGTGACTTTGATAACTAACCGATTCTTCGAACAAGCTTGTCCTCTTGCTGGCTAGATTCTCACTTCGTATCATGTCTCTGACTTGTGCTCTGAAAGGTTCTTACGATAAGCTCAGAAACGCTTTGACAGATCAATATCTTGTCAAACTGCGGACATGTCATATGACCCAGATGAGTATCATGAGTTTATGTTTGTTGTTCAACTTTGGCCAGGAAAACAAATAAGGCGGCACATTGAGAGAGAAAAGCATACAGCGCGCGTGATTTTAGCGCGTGTTTGATACTAACGCTTCATTTAAAATGAATTCGGATTTCGCGACATTGTGGACATGAGCAATAGTATTCTTATCGCTACGGACAGCAGTAACATACATAAAGTGAATAGACCTCCTGACAATATAGTCAATAGACATGACATCCTCACACAATAAAATGTTCAGTTAGAATCAAGATTCGAGGCGACCCAAATCAAAAGGTAAGTAACCGATATGGGAGTCTTAAAAAACCACAATGAAACCACATGACCAATCATGGCCATGGTACTCTTTGAGTCCTTTGTAACAATTTGACAATTTTCGAAAAACATTGATGTAGGCGTAACCGTTCACACTATGTATTTATTAACACATATTATGGCTCCCATCAAGTTCAACAGATCTAGAAAAAAGCTTTGCCACGTCACCCCTGCAGATTTCGTCGATTTCAGGTGCCGACAGGAACTTAAAAATTAAAAGCAAACTTACATTTTTCCCCCTAAAATCGAGCGCTTTCTGCGCAAAAAATTGACCTCAACAGAAACAAGAATTGCGCCCGTTGTTTCGTTTTGGCGGACGCTAGATTTCCATCTCACTATAACTATTAATATAAGCTCTAATCAGCTCACCTTAATAATAATCATATTGAAACATCAGTAGACTACGCGTGCCACATTCAAGTTGGGCTTATTACAAAATACTATACATTACTAGTATACATTAAAATACGCTAGTGCCGCGCATTCATTGACCACATACTAGCTATACACCACATCTCCGCAAGCAATCCCCGTGCGCGTGCGCGTGGCAAGTTGACATGGAAACGAACGGAAGCAAGTAAGGAACACGACATATATTTGACCCACCTACCGCTATTTCCAAAATCCACGTTTTTCTGCAAAAACATCCATTCGTAACCTTTCACTATTGCCTTTTTTCAAAAGGGTGAAAAGGAAAAAATTAAACATGGCTTCAAATCCAAATTTGAACCAGAGATTTTTCACTTCCTCTCGATAAACTCAATTTTCAACCCAAAATAAAGTCTCAAAGGGGGAAATTACTCAGGTCAGGATTGTAGGCAATGATTATGCCAAACTATACATTTTTGTAAATTCATTAAACTTTCAATTTAGCCTAAAACACCCTATTTCGCAAAATTTTTCCGGGGGGCTGCGCCCCCTAGCCCTCGCCAATGGGGTCCGCCCCTGGAACCCGCTGGGGGCTGCGCCCCAGACCCCTGCCACAGCTTCGCTCGCCGACAGCCCCCCCAAAGAAAAATCCTGGCTACGTGCCTAGGAGCAAAATATAGGTTTAGGGCTTTTCAGATGATTTGGCTCATCAACAGATACCGACGTACATAACGGTCAATATGTAGTTTAGGTTTACCTGGCCCGTAGGTTACGAATGTGCCCGAGGAGAAAAAAAAAGCAAACTTAAGAAGATTTCTCGGGAACTTAAAAGTTCACCTCAAAACGAAATCTGCACCTATGTGCCACGTAACTCCTCTTTTCTTCTAATAATCCAGAAACTGCCCTTAGCTTTAGGGGTAAAAAGCTATTTGTTCTATTTTTAGACAAATAGTAAGCCCGCCTGGCAGACGATCTAACATATACTATAAAGGTTTTATTAAACCTATAAGTTTGCTTTAAAACATGACATCAGGGTGGCCCAAAAGTGACTACCCACACGCAACCTTTTAATAACTCACGTAATTCGTCTTCAAATTGCACCAAAATTTCAGAGATTATAGATATGGGTCAAACTTAGATTTCCTGAAAGTTTCGTAAGCCACGCCCAATTACAGTGGGCGTGGCGTGACACTCCCTCTTTTTCACTATTGTCCTTCATAAAATGAGAACACTTTAAGCTAAGAACTCCAAATTTTTTGCACACATTTGGCTTGATAATTTAAAACCTTTCCCAAAGTTTCAAGTTCATTGTTCAATCCTAAAGCGAGATCTTTCTAACCGGGCCTATCGGATCACAAAGAAAAACCAACTTTTAGACCGTGATTCCTGATTTTCCTGAAAAGGTCACGATCTGGTGCGCCATCAGTTCTCGTGGAATCCTAGGACCTTACTTTTACGAAGAATTTGGTGTTTTCCTGTCTAGCAAAGACAGGTATCCAATCAATCATGATCAGGTCGTCATCTCCTCAGTATGTTTGGTAAAGCCTAATGAACCTCATTAATACAGCTAACGCCTTACTCTTGATCAGATTGGGTGACGAGATCACTGATTGAGTGCAGAGATCACTGACTGAGTGCTCGGATCACGTTTCCGATGAATTTTGAAATGGTCATAACTCAGCCAAATTTTGAACAATGAACTTGAAACTTTGGGAAAGGTTTTAAATTATCAAGGCAAATGTGTGCCAAAAATTTGGAGTTCTTAGCTTAAAGCTTTCTCATTTTATGAAGACAATAGTGAAAAAGAGGGAGTGTCACGCCACGCCCACTGTAATTGGGCGTGGCTTACGAAACTTTCAGGAAATCTAAGTTTGACCCATATCTATAATCTCTGAAATTTTGGTGCAATTTGGAGACGAATTACGTGAGTTATTAAGAGGTTGCGTGTGGGTAGTCACTTTTGGGCCACCCTGTATGTGCCAATAATTTAAAATATCAGCAATGAGCTATCAGGCCTCAAACTATAGTTCAAACTTTGAACAATGATTTACAACTTTATAAGTTTAAATTGTGCAATAGAAATAGTTATCCGCGTTATCTCAATGTTTGACTATCCGTTAAATTTAAAGTTTTTTCTAATAGTTTCTTTTGTTATCAAAAATAATATTACAAAGCACTTTATCTGTAAAAAGAATTGTGGATCCATAATGTGGCAATATAATACAAGCTTTGACAATAAATAAATTTATTAAAGGGAAATCTTAGGTTACTCGGCTCGCCTAGTTAAATGATGAATATCTAACTATTATATTTGCCGAAAAGGTGTCGGTAATCTTGCCTTCATAATGTGTAACAATGTCTTCTCTTAAAACATTTTCTAACAAATATTTAAACAACAATAAGGATGTCACTAAACCTGAAGTGGCCTCAAAGAGCCTTTAGACACAATACGTTAGCGTGCCTTGCCACGTAGCGGTCCCCTTTTCCCAGGATTATTATATAAAGAGCTCCATTTTGGTATTTACTTTACTTTATTATTTACTGAACAGCTCCAATTCGTTAAGGTTATTCGATAAGATGAAGTTTTTGTTGGTCGGTGTTTTTGTTCTTCTAGTGTGTGGGGCTTTGGCTCTCGGGCGTAACGGGGTTAGGAAGCCCGTTTCGTTTAGATTCCGGAGGCAAATTGTGAAAGAACATATGAAAATGCGTAGAGTGCATCAAAACACAACGGCGCTTGTGTGGGATACTGAACTGGCAGAGTTCGCTCAGGATTGGTGTACCTATCTGTCGGAAAATGGAGGCAAGTTGTTGCACAGCAAGGACAGTGGGTACGGGGAGAACCTTTACGGGTCCATGAGTACAGCTCCTCATTCCGGTATTGGAATCGACGCAGTACAAAAGTGGTACGCGGAGATAAAGGACTACGATTGGAATAACCCAGTATTCGCCGATGCAACAGGCCACTTCACACAGGTGACCTTAATATGATAGTTATAAGTCGGAATCTCGTTAAAACGCATTCGCTTATAATTGATGAAACCGCAGGTAACACCCAAACCAAAAATCGTTAAGGTGAAACTTTTAGGCATATGATTTTAAGTTATAACTTGATGATCATAAATACATGACATACATGACATTGACCGAGTATCATATATTTCTACTAGGTTGTGTGGAAGGGCTCAAAGAAACTTGGATGCGGGTTTGCCTCAGCGCCATCTGGGAAGTACACAAAAACGCTGGTGTGCTGTAACTATTCCCCACCGGGTAACTGGGACGGACAGTTCGAGGCTAACGTGCTCAAGCGCAATAAACCTTACGTCGAAACCTCAGACTAGAAACTTCAGACTAGAAACCTCAGACTAGAAACCTGACCAAACGGAGAAAAGGGCACTTTAGAAAAGAGTGTGTAGTTTTCATTGTGATGTGTAATGTTTTCAGTAGCAAATATATTTCACTTAAATTAGTTAAGCTTATTTGGTGTGGGTTAATAAATTAGTCAATTATTTAAGTTTTGTAAATTAAGTTCTTGCAGAAGGAAATTTCAAAATAGTTTGTTTCACTGCCTCAGCATCATGGTTCGAAGATTTAACTTCAATGATGAAATAAGAAATATTCCCTTCTTATTACAAGCTTATTATGTAATTTTAAATAAATGTCAAAATCTCATAACTCTATCTACTACACCTACCTGCTATTCTAGTACATATTATGATATTCATTATTCAACATACCAAGGTTGTAATTAACAGACTTGGGTCCCGAGATTGATGCTACTTCTGTTGCACAGGGGAGCCAGGAAAATAGTGAATATAACGTGCACTGCATTGCTACTCTACTACTACCATTAGTAAGCTGGTTATCATAGCTAACTTAGTTCTGAGGAAATCAGGCTACTAACTAGACGAAATCAAGGAAATCAAGGAACTTACACGGTACGCGATTTGATCTGGTCGCTTATTGTATCAATATCGTCAGAAAATCTAACAAGAGCGTCTTTCAACAGTTTAAGTTCATCATGTGTCCACCTTGAACCACTGTAATTTTAATAACTTCAATAAAATGTAAAAAGGAATTGAATATCGTCAATTTCAAGCCATATATGGCAAGTGTTCGATTAAATTACAGTGATTTAAGGAAGAACAGATGAGAATTCAGGGCGCATTAATCTCTAATCAAATTAAGACATTTAATGAAATTACATCATCGTCTGTAGCATTATTTAATATTTATCGGTTTCCAGGACATTTTTGGGTGCCCTCCTTAGATTATATTTTTAAAGAAACCTTGCTTTTGCAGCGTTGTCAGGATCTTGAATTTTGTGCAATCTGGCAGTCAACTCAGCCAGTCTGCTGAAACTTTTTCCTGCTGTAGCGTAGATCTCAGCAACCTGAGATTAATTAGCCAATTAGTTGATTGGGTAACTAATTTGTGAAGATTAAAAAGAAGTAAGAACGCCTGATTTTTTTGCGTATAAATATTAAATACAGGAGCGAGATTTGTTCATATAAAATGATAACATGAATTTTGCTAACTAGGTCTGGTGTTGGTTTAAGAAGTCCAGATTGTTTCTCAGAAGAGGGAACATCGAACAAGTTACTTCTGTCAGCCATCCTCTACTATTTTAGTTAGAAAAATCAATAATATGATTAGTCAATAAGTTAATAAATCACACTATCAATGCTAACTTTAGGTAGTCAAAGAAACGACAAATTATAAATAGCAGACAGAAGTTCACATTTAAGTTTAATTGGACCTGTGGGTAGGCTGCCCAATAGAACCCCATTAACTTTATTTGAATATTTTATTTATTTAACTAAAAATCAAAAGTATGATAGGAGAAAACTGGCCAACACAAATTTTAAAATGTTAAATCTTGATTTGGGCACACTATAGAGTATAAGGCGACACTTAGTTAATAGAAATAACCTTATGAATCAGCATTCAAAATATCATCATATTTTACATTCGACAATTTTATTTTAACATAGTAGAATTTACTTTTTTAAACAAACAATGAATAAATTAACTGTAAATAAAAACTATATAATATAAAGCTAAAAATCAGTACAACAAGTCAAGGAGCTTTGGGGGGAGCTTTAAAAACGAAACTGCATCTAAGTCACTACAATAATTGTGAATATCGAACTATGAACTTCATTAGGTTATAAACCAACAAATAGTTAATTAATAGTTTATAAATCATCAAGTAGATCATCATCATCATCCTCCTCCATCGCTTGCAACAACTCGTCACCTCTAATGAAACACTCAGACTCTACCTCCGATATCGGACTACTTCCACATTCACCTTTGTGAATCAGGGAAAGTGCTTGCTCTTTACAGATCTTCTGAACAGTCTCCGATTTAAATGCCTTCTTCAGAAAGTCGTTAAACAGATCAAACAGTCCCTCCCGTACGCAGCAGGCTCTAACACTCCACAAGCAATCTGTGATGTGATCTCCCTGATGTTCAACTAGCTGATAGATCACATCACACATCATCATGCAAGCAGGTTGAGTTCCCAACTTGGAACAAGCTAACTTGAAATCTTGTACTGGCATGGTGGTTCCTATATTTACACCTGAACCTAAAAGCTCGTCAAATGAAATGTCCTCCTTTTTCACTTTCTTGATGTCATTGCTGATGTCCACATTATCAGTGGTGAACATTTCTCCTGCTGTTCTTTTCTTGGGCTTGGTCTCCACTATTTTTATGTTAAAATGTTTGTGACACTCCTTGACTGCATCACTAACTGTGCTCTCAAAGGTGGGAATTGAAAAGAAGTGGGAGATGTCCACCTCTGGAAGTGGCTTTTCAGGGTGGAGAATGCGGTGGGTGACACACTGATATCGTCTCTGTATGTTGGGGTTACTTATTTCACTGGCTTTGAAATCAGGCTTGGTGGTGAGGTCCATGCATTCAATGAGCTTATCAATAGCAGACACCTGATCAGGTTGGGGGGAAGTTTTGAGTTTTGGAAACTCTGCTTTTTTGATATCATTAGAGAAAGGCAGTTCCACCATCATGAGTGTTGCACAATAACTTTTGACATTGGGAAACAAGCAGCACAGCTTTGGTGGTGTATCTGCTTTCTTAACATACCTGCAAACAGCCACCATATCTAGATCTCTGAGCGCAGTGGCAAAGGCAGCCATCCCGGTGCCACCTGGAGTATCAGTTGGGGGTGGTATCACACTGTACGCATATTTCCCACACAACTCCTCCCTTCTGATGTTGGACCGTTTTGTGGTGCAGATCAAAACAAGCTCCTTTTCCGTTTCTGTCGTCATCAAGCTGGCATCCACTTTCGAGATAGGAATGTGAGATTTACCGTACCTGTATCCCTTGTTCATGCAATCAGGATCTATCTGAGTCTGATTTTCGTCCTTGAGATGGTACACCCTGTCTCGCACCACAGCCTCACCCCCGCTACCACACATCTTTAGACTTTGCTGATGTGATGTTGGGGTTATCTTGTTGATAATATGTACTGGAAACTGAGTACCACCACCAATTTCAAGACATCCTTTAAAAGCGGCAGTCTGACGAACTTTCTTTGTTTTGTAAAGACGAGTTATTGTTAGAGCGTCGTCAATGCTTAGTCCTTCCCCTTGCTCCACAACTGAACAAAACTCGTACATTGATCTCATGTTTCCAGATAAATTTTGGGAATTTTCTAGGTCAGGTCCAATAAGTTTGAATACTATCTGAGGCTTTATTCCATTCATTTCTGTAGCAACAGAGGTGGGATCTGAAGAGAAATCTCCATGCTCATCCGTAAATAACATTATCCTATTTTCACTCATCCAATGGGTTTTTGTTTTCTCTTGATGGAACAGACGGATTGCAACTTCCAGTCCCTCAACCAGGTCAACTCTTGTGTTATCAGTCCCATATTGGTCAGGTAAGTCCTGGATCAAGCCAAGAAGTGACTTATCCCCTGGTATAAGTGGCTTTGCAACAGTGATGTTGTTGAAGTTTGCTACATTTCCATTGATAAGGGACACGTCAGTGTTGAGAGTTCCTACTAGGATTACAGCAACAAGGTTCTCAGGGTAATTATAGAGTCGCTGAGTGATGTACTGTGACATTACAGACACTGCCATCTGTAGGGTGTTACTGCAAACATCTACCACCAACACTATCTTACTCTTCGACATCCTGTAATACGATGTAAATTACTGTATATTATATATATATATATATATTGTATAATCATCACTAGACACTGACGTAAAAAACAATTGTTTTATTTCATCAGTTTAAACTGCATCCGCGTAAGAATTGTGGACCATTTATACCGTTTACCAGGGAAACAAACCAAATTGAAACCAATTTATGAAAATATGGATTGAATCTTTTTTAGTCCAAATCGTATCAATCAAGAAATTTTTGCAGCATAGTTTACCGAAAATTATTGATAATATTCTTTCAACAAACAAAGGCATTTAAAAGCCTAGGAATAGGTCAAATATAGTAAAACCCTGATTTACTGCGTACTTTAAGAAAGGAAAATACCGCGGTAATACAGAATTTGCAGTGAATTGGGGTTTTGGTTTTTTGGGGTCCGAAATTGGTCAACAAATTGCATAGAGCCTGGAATCCATATTCCATAGTTGTGATATTTTTCATGATCTAACGAATATACTTACCAATTCAATAATATTAAACTACAAGAAACTAAATTGAATCCTTGCATAAATATTGTACATCATATTAAAAACATGTACTGTAAATATCACATGTTCTTAAAATTGTAGATCGGTAAGATCATATAATTATTAAATATTCCTCCAGTATAAGTAGCACGAATCGATACTTCTCAAACCCATTGGTACCCTGTCATAGTTTAGTAACTTGTCATCCGACCACAAGTTATGCAACTTATAATGTTATATTGCAATCCCAGTGGCATAAAGAGAGGAATTTAAGAATATAATTCCTAGCCATAATATTTCCACAGCCACCAACTGATTTTTGTTAATTAGTTAATATTTAAATTCAATTAAAATCAGTCACTCTCGATCTCAGGGGTTCTTATTTCTTAAGACGTTCGAATCGAGCGCATTACATAATATATGAGATCTAGCTAGATTCCTGTTGATTCCTTGGACAAAAAACGCGCAAAAGAAAACGCGCTGCATATATTCCTGGTTATTCTTGATTCCCAGGAATCTGTTAGAATCTAATACTACTTCTAGTAGTCGACAATAAAAACCGACTACTTTTTTAGTTGCAGGAACGTGAAAAAACGTCCTGTAGATTATATTCAGATATATATAAATATAACATTGTAGTACATGAATTCGTGGCCTAACTGGCTAATGCGCCAGGTCTACATCAGCAGATTGCAAGTTGGAGACCAGCTGAGAGTGATTTTCTCCCCCACTTTTTTATGGCAATTATGAATAACTAATGAATAACTAATAATACCTCTGTATAATTAGCAAAGTGAAATGAAATCGTCATCCGGCCGCTGATCAGCCGAAAAATGTATAGTCGTTTTACAAATTTATTATAGCCGTTCTTTTTCTTTCCAGACTGGATTCATAGCCACTTTAAAATTTATGCCACTGGGATTGCAATACCATTGTATTGTAGTAATACTTGATTTTAATATATAATAATTGTTGATTGAATTCACAATCTAAACATTGCATTGTTTTTATTTTATCAGAAAAAAAGTAAGAAAAAAGAAAGGCTAACGGACAGACAGAATTATAAACAATAAGATATAAAATTGGTTTGACACAATGGTTAGTCAGTCACAAGTGTGTTTCCTTTGATGCTGGGTTAGACATTCTTTCCTAGAACAAGCATAGTCACAATCTAAACATTTAAATGGTTTCTCACCGGTATGTGTCCTTTGATGCCTGATTAGAACTGATTTCGAAGTAGCAGCATAGGCACAATCTAAACATTTATAAGGTTTTTCACCGGTATGTGTCCTTTGATGCCTGATTAGATCTGATTTCGAAGTAGCAGCAGAGGCACAATCTAAACATTTATATGGTTTTTCACCGGTATGACGTGTCCTTTGATGCACAACAAGGGTTGATTTCCTAGCAGTGGCAAAGTCACAATCTAAACATTTATAAGGTTTTTCACCGGTATGTGTCCTTTGATGCCTGATTAGATCTGATTTCGAAGTAGCAGCATAGGCACAATCTAAACATTTATATGGTTTTTCACCGGTATGACGTGTCCTTTGATGCACAACAAGGGTTGATTTCCTAGCAGTGGCAAAGTCACAATCTAAACATTCATAAGGTTTTTCACCGGTATGTTTCCTTTGATGCTGGGTTAGATTTGATTTCCGATCAGCAACATAGTCACAATCGAAACATTTAAATGGTTTGTCACCGGTATGTGTCCTTTGATGCCTGATTAGACCTGATTCCGAAGTAGCAGCATAGGCACAATCTAAACATTTATAAGGTTTTTCACCAGTATGTTTCCTTTGATGCCTGGTTAGATTTGAATTCCGATTAGCAATATAGTCACAATCTTCACATTTAAATGGTTTGTCACCGGTATGTGTCCTTTGATGCCTGATTAGACCTGATTCCGAAGTAGCAGCATAGTCACAATCTGAACATTTAAATGGTTTGTTGCCAGTATGTTTCCTTTGGTGGATAGTAAGATTTGATTTTTACTGGTAGCATATTTAAAGCAAACAGTGTTTTTGAATCGCTTAACATTAGTTGGGGCTTTCTGACACTCGAGAGACTCACCAGGAACATTGTCACAAGGTGCCCATTCCTCTTTATCAGATATCTGCTGTGTTGACTGTGCTCTGTCTGGATGATCAGCATTATTGAGTGTGGGGTAAGATGTTCTCTCTTGTATTACTGGATTAGGATCATTTTCATCATGTTGCATCATATTATTATTATGGGACGGACAATGTTGCTCTTTGATGTGCTCCAAGAAATACTCTTCATAAAAGCAATGTTCTGTACATTCAGGACAGATAAAGCCCCCTGTCTTGCCTTGTAATTCTTCTTCTTCAGTCTTTATCTCAGTTTTTATTTCAGTTTTTATTTCTGTTTTTATCTCTGTTTTGATGTGATTACACTGTTGACCAGATTCCCTATCAGTACTGTCCATATCGCTGGTATCTTTCTTTATTCTTTCACACAACTCTTTTGTCATAAACCTAGAATTAGTTCAAATTTTAGCAAACTACATCCAGAAAAGAGGGAGGATTATGATGCTATTCAAGGTGGACAAAATGGTATATTTTTATAATGATTCAAACCATTATTGATTAACTTCTGGTGTCAAATATAACAAACAATAGATTAATTGTCAATAATTTCATTGTGAAATACAATAATCATTATATAATATCATATAACCAGGGACGTAGCCAGGATTTTTCTTTGAGGGGGGCTGTCGGCAAATTTTTGCGAAACAGGGTGTTTTAGACGACATTTGGCATTAAAGAAATTTGTAGGACAGCAATAAACTGGGATTGAAAAGAATCAAGTACTCACGTAAATTTGGTAACTTCACAACAGCAATCTGCATTCTCCAATCAGAATTTACGACTTACTCAGGCCTCATCGTCTTAAGATTTTTACATTTCCTACGGTCTAGGGGACACTATTGACTATTTATAGAAGTCTTCTAGAATGTTTGCTTGGATGTTATGACAGATATTTACTAATCCACAGTTCAAATCTTTGACTGACTGCAGTCATAAACACAGCCCAGTTACCAGGCGACCATGGGGACTAGGGGGCTTATCTTTTTTCTGGGGTCCCCTAGCCCCCCCCTGTCTACATGCCTGCATATAACATTCAAAATGTGAACAGAGTGAAGTTAAATAGTTCCATTTAAACTAAACAATTTTCGTTTTATTTGAATGAACAATACATACTTAAACCTGATGCTTTAAAAATTTGCCCACTATTAAAAGACTTATAAAGAAAAAGTAACAAAAATGGTTCACTAACATAATTTACTACTGTTCTACATTCTACAATACTTACAGACCTATTTACTTTGATGAAAGTTCTCTATTCATTAAAAAAGAGATAAATATCCATCTTGGGAATGGACAGTCTTGTTAGCTGAAAATCAATTTCTCTCCAATTGAGGAATTATCTTAAAAGCTATAGGCGCTCTTTTAAGATTTGATGCCTATCGATAATATGAGAACTTACATGGTTTTTCATCTGAATGAGTTCTCTAATGTTGAGTTTTTTATGAGTTTAAAAAGAGTCTATACAAGTAGCAGCAGAGTCACAATATGAACATTTAAATGGTTAGTTACCGGTATGTTTCCTTTGATGGATGGTAAGACTTAATTTCCTAACAGCAGCATAGTCACAATCTAAACATTTAAAAGGTTTTTCTCAGGTATGTTTCCTTTGGTGGATGGAAAAATCTGATTTCCTAGCAGTAGCATAGTCACAATCGAAGCATTTAAATGGTTTGTCACCAGTATGTCCCCTTTGGTGGATGGTAAGATGCAATTTCTGAGCAGCAACAGAGTCACAATCTGAACATTTAAATGGTTTGTTACCGGTATGTTTCCTTTGATGCCTGATGAGATCTGATTTCGCAGAAGCAGCATAGTCACAATCTAAACATTTGAATGGTTTTTCTCCGGTATGTTTCCTTAGATGCATGGTAAGTTTTGATCTCCTAGGAGCAGCATAGTCACAATCTAAACATTTGTATGGTTTTTCTCCAGTATGCTTCCTTTGATGCCTAATTAGATCTGATTTCGAAGTAGCAGCATAGTCACAATCTAAACATTTATAAGGTTTTTCTCCGGTATGTCTCCTTTGATGGATGGTAAGATTTGATTTTTTACTGGTAGCATAAAAGCAAACAGTGCATTTGAATCGCTTAACATTTGCATTAGTTGGGGCTTTCTGACACTCAAGAGACTCACCAAGAACATTGTCACAAGGTGACCATTCCTCTTTATCAGATATCTGCTGTGCTCTGTCTGGATGATCAGCATTATTGAGTGTGGGGTAAGATGTTCTCTCTTGTATTACTGGATTATGATCATTTTCATCATGTTGCATCATATTATTATTATGGGACGGACAATGTTGCTCTTTGATGTGCTCCAAGAAATACTCTTCATAAAAGTAATGTTCTGAACATCCAGGACAGATAAAGCCCCCTGTCTTGCCTTGTAATTCTTCTTCTTCAGTCTTTATCTCAGTTTTTATTTCAGTCTTTATTTCTGTTTTTATTTCAGTCTTTATTTCTGTTTTTATCTCTGTTTTGATGTGATTACACTGTTGACCAGATTCCCTATCAGTACTGTCCATATCGCTGGTATCTTTCTTTATTCTTTCACACAACTCTTATGTCATAAACCTAGAATTAGTTTAAATTTTAGCAAATTACATCATGAAAAGAGGGAAGATTATGATGCTATTCAAGGTGGACAAAATGGTATATTTTTATAATGAGACAAATCATTATTGATAAACTTCTGATGTCAAATATAACAAACAATAGATATAATTATTGTCAATAGTTTCAGTATGAAATAATCATTCTATCCTGTATCATTTAAAATGGCGAACATACCAAAGTTAAATAGTTTGATTTAAAGTTAACAATTTTCGTTTCATTTAAATAAATAATAGATACTGAAACCTGATGCTACAAAATTTGTCAATCAAAAAAACATATAGAAATTTAAGCAAAAAACCCTATGAAATAAACAGAAAACATTCCAGTTACTCCTCATTTTGAGATTTAGGAGATCAATTATGCAATGTTATTCAACAAACAAACTATTAACATAGACATTCTCAGAATCAGCAACCAGGATATTCCCAGACAAATCCTCCTTCCCTGCTGAACCAGGTGATTTGATCCAGATCAGATGTCGAGGAACTGTAACATTAACTAGATTCAGAGATCCAATCACAGTATTGTCATTTTCCAAACAGATAAACTGTATCCTCTTGTTTCCTGGGGATTGACTTTGAATGAGTGCCAATTTTTTAAGTACATTCTAAAAAATCAGAGCATATGATTGTTTGTTGTGCAACAATGGGTGGTCATGGGTTAAAAATACCAGCCTATTTTAAATATTATGTTCAACGTAATTGTGAATAAGAGCATAGTTAATTATAATAATCTTAAGAACTGATAAACAACAAATATTAACTGTGCACACTTTACATAGTTGATAATAGTTAATAGCACTATGTTTACAGTACGAACTGAAGGGGTATCCTAGAAAGTTTCTTGAACTTTTAACTTTTACATAACTTTTACATCGAAATAAATAAATGAAAATAAAACAAATTAAAAAATACAGTTACGCAAATACTGTATAGCAAAAAACAGTACTTTTAATGAAACTCATACCTTTCTCTAGTACAACCAACACTGTTTCAGAAAGTACCAATGCACAGGGTTCAACAAACTCTTGTAACTTAGAGCCCTTACAACCAATACTTTTCAGATAACAACCTTCATGGTTAAATACCACTATACGGTGATTGTCTGTGTCTGCTACATACACGTGATCTTGAGCATCTATCGCGAGAGCACTTGGGTTGCTCAGTGAGTACTCATTTGCACAACTCTGTAAATGATAATTAGATATTTCAACATGATGCTATTGGAATTTAAGATTGTTAGAGCTATCATTATTGAAGATATTATATAAAATAATACAGTAGCTGCAAGTTGAAATTCAACAAGTGCACAGGTACAGGTACGGTATGTTTAAAAGTACACATAGTTTATCATGGAATATCTTACATTTTTACTGGATGTCCCAAAACAGAGAATGAACTCCCCTTCAGAAGAAAACATTGAAACTCTATTCAGAACATAGTCAGCCACCAAAATATTCCCAACAGAGCTAAATGCTACACTGGATATTCCTTGTAATTGTCCAGGGTAGTTTCCCTGTTTTCCAAACTTGTATGACTTTTTCGTAGCACTGTTCACTAGAATAACTTCATGCCCAATTCCGACTGCTAGCATTTTGTTGTCTGGGAATATTGTATTGTATTTACTACTTTAAAATTATAGATGTTGCTAATATCACTTCAACCGGGGGTTACTACCCAGCTCTAAGATTAAATCATTAGTTCTTCCCTGAGTCAATTGACGCAACATACTAACCATTTGATGCAATAACAGGACTTATCATGTCAGACAAAGATGAACATGACTTTGAGCATGCCCACACATCAGCGATAACCTTTCCTTGGATGGAAACTTTTCGCACACGCAATCTGTGAAAAGAATACATTAAAGACTAGATTATTACATTATGCTGCAAAATGTGGTAGGTATGTATGTGAGCAACTGGTAAATTGTATGACATATTTTAAAATTGAAGTATCTAAACAAGTTTTACTCAATCATGACGTGAGGTGAGGACTGACAGCTACAGGTCAGGTAAAATAAAACTCACTTTTGTTTTTGGGCCTTCCACAGAGATTCAATAACATATACATGGTTTTCCTGATTTGCTTTACTCAAACCCATTGGAGTCTGTAATTCATAACTCCAATTTTGGAACGAGGTTTTGCTAGCACTGAAATGCATTTAATATAAACTGGTGCATTAATTTAAACTGCGGACTATTGAAGATAGTTCTATTGATGTTTATTGAGAACAATATCATCACCTGCATTAAAATCGGATTATTTATAATAGGTCTTCCATCGCAGCCCTATTTTGATATTAAAGTGATAATATAATCACCATAATCTAAATGCTTATATAATGAGATGATAATTAGTATGTGTTCAAACGATCTGAAATGAAAACTGTACTTTAGAGAAGCTTTAGTTATCTGAACATCACCATATTCTTCAATAAGAGGCAAGATGGTCTCACAGACTTTGTCAGTCCATGAAATTGAGTCAAGTTTTAGACTTGAGCTGTTCTGTTTAATCCTATTTTCTTCCATAATTTGATATAATCTTTGATTAAGCAATGGTTTCAATTGCAGTAATGCATTGTTAACAGGCATTTTTCTCCATTCCTCACAAATTTCAAGAAACTTTGTAACCTTTTCCATACTCTTTTTGGTACAATCAATTTGTTGTTCAATAAGAGAGGTATTGTCATCTACAGCAAGATCAATTTGTTCGCAAATTAATTTTTCTCTACTTTGTAACATTGAGATGATATAATTTGTTCTTTGATGCACCTCACGTTTAAGATTAATACCATGGTCTTTTTCTTGTTTTCTTTGCAAAGTGTAGTTATTTTTCACAACATCTAAGGAATCAAGAACTTTGTTGAGTTTCATCTGACCTCCAAGTAGAAGCGTTTCTTTAAAAGATTTGCAGGCATCAGATGTTGAGACAATGTGATGACTTCCTGTAAAACCACAAGTTAATTGTCAATTTAAACATGTTGACGTCAATTCAATTAAAATTTGTGATATTTAGAGATTGGAGTTTAACAAAGTGTTTAGTTACAATAAGCTGACAAATTTAATAAATTGTCAACCTATCCTATGTTGGACATTCCAGTAATTTGAAAACAGCAAAGATGAACAATGAACATAAACTTACTTTGGTCACATGAAGTGCACTGATTACACAAGAGTTTCTCACATTCCAAGCAATAATAATCAAGAATTTTTGATTCATGAAGTTCACATGTCATCAACTTGGGATTACATTTAGTTGGTTGCAATAAATGATTTCTTGTCACTTTCATTTTTTCATGCACATTGCAACATGCTGCACAGTAATCCTAAGAGAATCAAATATATTGTGTCTTGGGATAACAATATAACTTCTCAGCAAAAATGATTCCTAAGATCAATACTGGATCTGACTTTATATTCCACAAGTTCTTAGCAAAATCTATTCACTCAAAGAAGAAACTTACATCATCGCAGTCAATGCAGAACATAGCAGCAGGCTGGTTACAAACTGAGCAAGTCCGTTCTTTGGTGGTACTATTCGCATTGTGGAAATACAATGGGTGATAAGGAAGTTGCCTGACTGGTATTGGACACATTTTATCGGAAAAGTTTCAGACCATTTTCTTCAAGTAAAGTAAAGTAAAATACATCTTTTCTAATACTCTTTGAAAAGTACAGGGTGGCCCATAAGTGACTACCCACACGCAACCTCTTAATAACTCACGTAATTCGTCTCCAAATTGCACCAAAATTTCAGAGATTATAGATATGGGTCAAACTTAGATTTCCTGAAAGTTTCGTAAGCCACGCCCAATTACAGTGGGCGTGGCGTGACACTCCCTCCTTTTCACTATTGTCTTCATAAAATGAGAACGCTTTAAGCTAAGAACTCGAAATTTTTTGCACACATTTGGCTTGATAATTGAAAACTTTTCCCAAAGTTTCAAGTTCATTGGTTAAAATATCGCTAAGTTATGACCATTTTAAAATCCATCGGATATGTGATCCGAGCACTCAGTCAGTGATATTTGCACTCAATTAGTGATCTCGTCACCCAATCTGATCAAGAGTAAGGCGTTAGCGTGTATTAATGAGGTTCATTAGGCTTTGATTGGATACCGATGATGACTTTGCTAGAAAGGGAAACACAAATTTTTAGGATAAAAACCAGATCGTGACTTTTCAGGAAAAGCCGTTCTCTCCACCACTTCATCCGGTCTAGTAGAGCCCCAGTGAATTGCATTCTGGGAGTTGACATATCCGTTTACTTGGCCTTGTTGCTGTACCAGATTTCGTCCTCAAAGTAGGGATCCACATTCTGGAATGTGTTGGCGAAATCTATCCTCGATTGGAAATCACGGTCCAAAAGTTTGTGTTTCTTTGTGATTCGGTAGGCCCGGTTCGATGATTCAATGGATGGTTCATTTCTTTTTATTGATTGTAAGGAACCTGTGACTAGCAGGGCTAACAAGCCCTGAAATGGTGACACCACCATAAATTCGTGTGATAGCGTTTTAGGTGCAGTCAGCTGTATAGGCCGGCCCATAAGCAGGCTGCAACCAATCAAGCGGTGCATGTGAGCCAAACAGGCCATTAACCAAGTGACGAGATCACTGACTGTGTGCTCGGATCACGTATCCGATCAGTTTTGAAATGGTCATAACTTAGCCATATTTTAACCAATGAACTTGAAACTTTGGGAAAGGTTTTCAATTATCAAGCCAAATGTGTGCAAAAAATTTTGAGTTCTTAGCTTAAAGCGTTCTCATTTTATGAAGACAATAGTGAAAAAGAGGGAGTGTCACGCCACGCCCACTGTAATTGGGCGTGGCTTACAAAACTTTCAGGAAATCTAAGTTTGATCCATATCTATAATCTCTGAAATTTTGGTGCAATTTGGAGACGAATTACGTGAGTTATTAAGAGGTTGCGTGTGGGTAGTCACTTATGGGCCACCCTGTACCATAACATGTACTGCTTCTTGAGTTCAACAAGCAGAAATATTAATACAATTGAATCTATTCTGTATAAAAGGAGGACCAACAAAGATTAACCTGATGTAAAAAATGTTTCTTCTCCACATATAGAGCAGTTGACTTTGCCATTTACTTGCACACTTTCAATACAGCATTGACAAAAGTAGTGAAGACAGTTCAAGAGACGTGGAATCAAATAAGAATCACAGCAAATTGCACATTGGCTATCCATGTCTGCAATTGAAATCAATAATAATTATATTTTGATTTGGGTATAAAAAAAGTAAACACAATCATCATAAATTGTGCCAGAGCCACATCCATGCATAATGATTAAAAGGACACCTAGTATAAATGCAGCGGAGATTCTATGTTATACAAAATAACAGAAGTAAACAAAAGAAAAAAAAAAGAAAAAAGGGGGACCGCCAACCCATGAAGCTGAGACACCTCACAGCAAGTAGACCAAGTAAAATACAATTTTTAAAAGTAAAATACAATTTTTATTTTCCACAGAAGAATCAATACATATTGAATTATAAATATCCGATAATTCCATTAATAATCATTAAAAGTTGCTTTGTCATTTGTAAAATCAAAAACGAAAAAAAAACGACCAAAGTGGCGAAAAAAAACGACCAAAGTGGCTCTTGCTGTGAAAACTGGCCACGGGCCTAAATATTACATATCAATCAATTACAATTCATTAATATTACCAATATTAAAAACTATCGAAAATATTCAAGAAAGTATTCTCTAGCCAAAGGGCTCAATATTTAAATCTAAATCTTCAATATTGTCTGGTTTATATCGCAACTTGGGCCCTCTGTCCCCCCTTATCGAAATAACCGTTGTCTTTAATACCTCAAAGCGCAAGCGCTTTCTAAGATATGTAACTGAGTCTGAATAACGCTGACCCGTTGGAGATTCCATCTTTTGTGCAAGCTTTTTAATCAAGCGTTGCGCTTCGACTCCCATGCCTCCTGTTGTGGAGAAAACTAAAGGTGTAAAGGTAGCTTTTTCCACTTCTAGGACCCTTGCATTATATGCTCTTTTCTTCTCAGTCTCGTGAGCCAAGTGGCTCTTGCTTGTAAAAGGTGTATCAACTACCCGCCGAAGCGGTGGGTTTGGAGTCCCCCCTGGGATTATATCGTCCGTAAAATTTTACACAATACAAAAGCTACAATAAATTATCTAACAATAAAATTTACATAAACAAACTTAAGAGACCTCATAGCTCGTCTTCTGAGGTATGAGATTGAAGGATACATCATCCTTCAGAAGAAGTAAACAAAAGAATACACCTTATCAAGGCACCCAACGTCAAGGCACCCAAAACCGTCCGCAAATAACAAATTGTTCTCTAATTCCTTTTTTTTCGTCCGTCAGATGAATGCGATACAGTTTCAAACAACCACATCTGATTTCAGATTCTCCTGTCTGACAGGCTCCATTTGTTTTCGCGAAATTTTTATTTTCTTGAAAAACCATCTCATAATTGATGTAGAAGTGGCGATTAGAATTATTATTATAACAACAGTCATAGCTCTTAGAGGAGAGAGAGGGTTAAAAAGTAGTAGTGCAGTAAAAATAGCAGAATTAGATATAAATTTGGAGCCAGTTCTTTAAACTGGCTTACTTATACTACTTAAAGGGTGTTTATTTAGTTTTCTATTGAATTTATATTGAATTTTTATATAGGGTAATTGTTATATTATGTGTATATTGTTTGAATAATCTTTTATCACGTTTTCGACTCTGCGTAGTAGGTTGTCATACGTCGTATGACCCGCCACGCACGAGTGCGCGGCTCCCCTGTATCATAGAAACTCTACGGGGGTGAAACGACTGTGAGGGTCACGACGCGATACAAGTAATAAGTACATAAATAAATGGTAAGAATGATGAATGAAAACAATTTTATCTAAATATCAACATATTCAGATGGTGCAACATGTTGTAAAACTACTTTCCTGATCAGGAGTTGTGAGCAAAATTAAGTTTAGGTATAGGAGGTGCACAATAAAATTGAACTTGGTCGAATAAAAAAAAAATGTTGTACTGTCAGGCTATATATTTCCAGTCCTATATATTACACCTTTAGTTTATATTAGAGGACCTTTGGCTTATATACTGTTACCTTAACTTTGTTATCTCTCAGGATATATTGTTAACTACATGTGCTTGTGTTAATCCTTTGAACACTCTTTTACTATACCCAGTGGAGTATCATTGCCTCGGAACACAGGCCGACAGTACCACAACTGCACAAATAGTTTTGATAAGAATGTAAAATTTTTCACGATACCAAATTATGCAGCGTGTCTCAAAAAGAGTTTCTCTCTTGCCCCAGATGGCAAGTTCGGGTTAATGTCATGTCCTCCCTTGTCAGTATTTAGAAAGAATATCCATTTCTCTCCCAAACGAACCTTTGAATTCTTCCAATCAAACTCAGTGCTGGAAAATTGACTTAAGAAATCTCTACCCAAGATAACCATTTCTTGGTTGGTACTAAGGTTGGTTTCATGCAGCCATACCCTGTAGTTCTGGCTTTTGTCAGAGGAGAATCTTATGTTGTATTGTGTCTTCGGACCAATCAACTGTCTGCCCCCAATCCCCTGCACGGAAGTACTGCTCCCATTTTCAATCAGCACTTTATTAGTAGAAATGATAGAGATTTCTGCCCCACTATCTACAAGAAACTGTCTAGGATGCCAGCTCTCACCTAACTCAATCTGTCCTTCAACTTTGCTGTCATATAGTCATCTTCTGTCATGGTTGTTCCGCTTTGGAGGGAACTTCTTATTCCTAGAGGTTCTCTTGGAGGGGCAACTCTCCTCAGCGTGTCCTTTTCCACCACAACAGCTACAGACTCTTTGATAACATGTTGCTTTAAGGTGACCTGTCTTCTTACAGATATCACATATTGGTCTGTCTTCTTTTTCAAACTTACGATCTGACTGGACAGCATACATTTCAGTATCCTCCTCATCTGTCACTTCTAACCGTGAACGAAGCTGATCGGGCTCATAAAAGCTTAACAGCGCCTGGGTCCGTTCACCAACTGTGCTAATGTGAGTGGCAGTGTGGTAAGACCCATTTTTAACAGCGTGAATATTTAAATACAAGCGCGCTAGCTGCTAGCATACTTGTTTCATTTAATTTTAAATCAAATTTATTCGGATATATATTTATTGATTATGTATTGAATTGGTGATAAATAATTTAAAAAAATTGTCTTTTCTCGATCCACCTCCTTCAGTAACTCCCGAGCCCATTGAGGTACCTGCTCTTCTTGCTCTACCGGGAACGCAAATGTTTCACTAGTCGAAGCCTCTGAACTTGCTGAATTCTTTTGAAGCTTTTCCATACAGTCTTTGAAAAAGCTGGCTACACCGGCTGCATCTAGTTCGCTTTTGATTTTATCTTTCTTACACTCAAACAGCTTCTTCCCCCCGGGTACGTTTGTCAGAAACCGCATGATGAAGACATCAGATGGGATCTTAGCACGCCTGGCTAACTCGTCCAGTTGGAAGAAATAAGACCGTATCCCATCCATCGAAGTATTAACCGGCAGCAAGTTGAAAAATGTCATGCTTTCGGTGAACTGACATGGTGGGCCATCAATGAGATCTTCAAGGAACTTAAAAGCTGTTTTCACATCTTCCTCTTCTGATGCAGTGAATGCGAGCTGCTTCTCTCCCTCAGTCCGGTGAATATAAACTGGTAAACATGCAAGCTGCTGTTCAGGTTTAAGGGTTGCTGTAGCCGCTAAGAAAACCTTCTGAAACTGTGCGATTTTCTGGCCTTTAGCCAGATGAGGAATTTCAATTGCTGTAATCATTCTTTGAGGATATAATGTCGGCCTGTGTTCCGAGGCAATGATACTCCACTGGGTATAGTAAAAGAGTGTTCAAAGGATTAACACAAGCACATGTAGTTAACAATATATCCTGAAAGATAACAAAGTTAAGGTAACAGTATATATTGTTAACTACATGTGCTTGTGTTAATCCTTTGAACACTCTTTTACTATACCCAGTGGAGTATCATTGCCTCGGAACACAGGCCGACAGTACCACAACTGCACAAATAGTTTTGATAAGAATGTAAAATTTTTCACGATACCAAATTATGCAGCGTGTCTCAAAAAGCAGCTGATCACGCTACTTTGAAGAAATTTAGAGTATCAGCCGTCGCGTCATTACCTGGGGACCCCAAACTGATAGTGTCATAGAAGCTGCGGCGAAATGACAAACTGAGCGGTTCACTAAGCCATGAGTCTGATCTACGTTTCCAATATTAGAATTTATGATATGTATTGATTGAATAATTGGTAATAAATTTAACTTTTGTTTTATTAACTTTTGTTTTATTACGCGTACTATATACGTGACGCGCTTATTTCTGTAGTTGCGCGCTACTGCTATGCAAGCTATGCAAGCGAGAGGGCTCTGGTTAGAGCAAGCTGAGCGCCACTCAATAACATCTGTCACCATTGAAGTGGCAGCGGAATAACAAGCTGAGTGCCGCACAATAAAATTTTAAAATACTTTTTGGAATTATGAACAATGAGTCTATTTTTGTTTTTGTGCCATATTATTACGCGTGGCTTTTGGCGGCTGGAGCTGGAAAAGCAGCTAATTTGAGTTGTGAGTTTTAAAATAATGTTTGGTGAATGGATATCAAATCATTGTAGCGCGATGCACTACTTGGCCGTGCCGCGCATCCAATAATGCTTCTCGCAACCACAAATCGGCGAGATGTGAAGGCAGAAGGATTGACATCGTGAATCAAATCAAATCACAAATGCAAATATGACCTTGACGGTCTGACGGATGTTACTCGTCTAAATTTCTCCGAAGTAGCATGCGTCTTACTGGGCCGCGCTCAGCGCCTCAGCCTGTCATTCCGCCGAATCTCTATTCGCTATTACATATTATGTTTATAAACATGATAGCCTGAGGTCCCCAGGTAACATGCGCCGCGTTACTGGGTCGCGCTCAGCCTGTCATTCCGCCGAATCTCTATTCGCTATTATGTTTATGAACATAATAGCCTGCGGTCCCCAGGTAAGCGCCGCGCCGCTTTCTTTTTGAAATGTTAGCCGAAATGGCCCGATGGCAAGTGCTACGAAGTAGCGCGCGCCGGGCCAGATCATTAACAATGGTCAATCGATAAATATAACCCAGTAAAGCTTATTTTATTATAGTCCATACTCAATGATAGTCAGACGCAACTTTTGGTACAAAAATTATAATAATATTTGAAAGACA